TACACTTGTGTAAACAAAATGACAAATCAAATCTGTCTAAAGTCTAAAGTCTGTTCTTTCCATGATGTATTAGAACAATGCATTGGCTTCTGTGGTTTTGGTAGGTGCTGTCCATGCAGTACTGTCAATCTTCAACTAGATCTACCAAATCAAAGAAATGTTATAATAGTAATAATAATGTTAACCCGCTCCGAGTCTTTGTACCAAAGTGTTCTGTGGTTTTGATGAAGATTGGCTCAATATGTAAGAGTTTTTCTATTTTTATCTTGTCATATATGAAAAAACTCCTCAAATCATAAACCTTAACATTTGTTCCTATTAGTGCAAGTGACAATCAACTTGCAAAAGCTTTTTTTTTTTTTTTTTTAGGTTTAGTCAGATTATTAACACTTATTGTGGAGGTGTAGTTTCACTTAGTAACACTAAACCCTAAGAACGTCATATGCAGGGGAAAGTTTTCTCCCCTGCATATTTTTCCCAATAAAAGGGATCTTCATAAGATGGACAAGAGAAAGTGCCATATCTGAGCCTGCTGTCGCACTGAACTCTGAACTCCTGTCATGGATTTTCAAAGAGGTAACCTTCTAACCCGTTGTTTAACTAATCAGGCAGCTTACAAAGATTAGATGTGTAAAAAGCTCCCAATGGGGCTGCAGATCTTTTTCTCTGTGCATGTTCACGTTTGATTGATATCTGTTCTGTGCTGTTTTATCTCGACAGTAGTCCTTATCTTGCTGTTCATCAGATGTATGCAAGTGACGTGTGGGCCACTCACCAGCAAAATAGAAGACACCAAAAGTGATCTACTGAATGTGATCAGGGGGGTGCTGAAACATCTGGTAAGGAGCTGTTTTTATTTAAGACTACAGATTTATATTGGAGTTTATAAATTTGGTGAAGAAGTTGTAAACACCTTTACTTTCAACCTGGTAATCTTTCTTTAGCCTTAAAGTGTTAAGTCATGAAATGAAGTCGGTACTTAGGTTGTTTTATAATGAGATTGTGGGAATCAGTGGCATATCTCCAGCAATACATTTTCAGATTAACTTTGGTTTTTAAAGCACAATATATATATATATATATATATATATATATATAAGTTTTACGATCTAATTTTTCAAACAAAAGATACAATGGCTTGCATGTCCTCAGAATAAATGATTCAGGTGTAGCTTAACAGTTTGATTCAGTTAATCTAACTTAGATAACACACAGTGATATATTTCTTTACCTATTTTTTGACAATCTAGAATAGATTATAATAGTTTTAGAGTTCATAAACAAACAAAACTCTCCATAAGGTCATTAGAAAGGTTTTACATTTTTATTTAATTTGATTGATTGACTTTATTGATCTCACAGTGGATAAATAGAATCTATTAATTTGATTAGGACAGTTCATGTTAATGAAAACATGAAAATAAAAAAAAGTATATAAACATGCCTGATTGCAGTATAGCCTAATCTTCATCCGTTGTCCCACGGACATGCCTTAGCATTAATATGCATGTCTGCTTGAGTGCAAGTCCATGAACTGTGCAGTGAGAGAACTCAATAGTTAGGTCTCTTCTACATGAATGACTTCCTCAATGCAGCATGGAGGTGATTAGCCTGTGGTGCTGCTGAGGAAGCCCATGCTGATTTCATAGCTGCTGTCAGGTCATTGTGGACTCTGGTGTCTCTCTTATTAATTAATGCTATACATTTTTGAATAGATATAAAAACAGTAGCTGCAGACAGAAAAAAAAAGTTATTCAAACAAAACCTGACTGAGACAAAATAAAATGAAAGAAAAAATAGCGTTGCTCTTGGTACTGTGTATTTTCTAGTTGTTTATTTATTTGGTCAAACTGATTAAGCTGAAGGTCCTTTCTACATTTAGTTTATGGGTTGATTAATCATGGAACCATTGTTCTTAGAAATACATACGATTTAATAGTAAAACATCTCCCTCTAACCTTCTGTGCCCCACAGACTGATTTAGGATTGTCTTCCAGAACCCCCTGCTCCTCCTCAAACACCTCGGAGATCCCCTGTCAGAAGCACCAGGATATGTCAACTCAGTCCATAGTTGAACATATGAATGAGCTCGCAAAACACATAGAGGAGCTGAACAAAGATCTGCTTAAGGCAGTCCAATTAATTATCGACATGGAGAGGGGAAATAGTCGTCTGAGCAATGTAACCTGCCCTCACCCTGATTTATCGGTTGGGACAACTTCGATTCACAAGTTTGCCAAGTGTTTTCTGCAGCATGTAGAAAAAGAATTTACAAAGTCAAATAGTTGATCATGCCTTTATGCTGTTGCCTTTTTTTTTTTTTTTTTTTGAAAGGGAATAAATGTATTTATAAACATTTATTTATTGAAAATAAAAATCATAAACACATTTCACTTGTATTTATTGTGTTCAAAGTTTTAAAGCAAGTTGCATATAGAACCTCTGTGAACTTGAAAAAAACATTCATCATACGGACAGACGTCCTCCCAGACACAGGAAGAACTATGCAGATCCAATCTGCAGAGACGACATACAAAAAAAAAAAAAAAAAAAAACTTTAACAGAAAGGTTAACTGAAACTGGAAGCACACCCTTATATAAGAATTAATTTAACACCTGAATACGAAACAAATGGGCTTGAAGAAAAATCTGGAGCAAACCATTCATTAAACTGCACAACAGAAATACATACAATTTAAACATCTCCCTCTAACCTTCTGTGCCTCAAAATTGTTTCCCAGCATCCCCTGCTCCTCCAACACCAGAACACGCCTGTCTGAAGCAGCAAATTCTTTCAGCCCACTGCCTGGGATGATAACTTGCTAAAGAAGTTTTTAGGTTGACAAAGAATAATCTGTAGAAGCAGTTAAATATTTTCATATCAGAAATAATTTGTCTCCAAGAACACAATTTTCAGTTTGATTGAACTTTGAGGCACAATGTCTCACAAAGTCTGTAACCCAAACTACTTGTATTTAATTAAATGTTGGTGGAAATTCAAAATTTTTTCCCCTTACATTTCCTTAAAATTTAAAGATGAATAATATTAATTTGATCAGATACGTGAACTTATTATTCAGACTATAAGCCCCCCTTGTTCGCTTCAACTTAGAGATTTGAACATCTTTACAGGTAAGTCACTGAGCCAACAAGCCACTTTTCTTAATGTGGGAAATGTTCTATATACACTAAAATACTTAATACATTTATATAAACACAGATGGTGCATTTTGCTTTTGTAAACTGCACTCTTCTGCTGAAAAAAAAAAAAAACACAATACAAGATTCACATCTGCCTGAGGAGTGGTGAGAAAAAGGAAGAACAAAGACTCATCAGGCTGCAGCGACCACAGGCTAGGACACTTTGACCGTAAGGCTGATGTAGGTCAGATATGTTTGTCTGGAGTTTTACTCTCAAACTGTCAAAAGGACCAATATTTTTGTCTATAATGCACTTTGTGGATGACTTGATCTCCTCCCTGATATGGCTTAGTTGTTCTTCTTTGAGTCATTAATTAGTGCAGCTGCAAAGCTTTAAAAAGTAAAGCAGTTCATTAAAAAGTAAATGCTTTCTTTTTATTGATGTCTGCTGAAAAGAAAAAAAATGAAGCCCTTTACTTGTTCAGAACACAAACAATTCTCTTCTGCAGATTTGTAGCCCTGAGTGACCATCAGTGAAAAGAAAACATTCCATTTTGTTGAGTAGACCCTGCAATACTGCATGCAAATCCAATCTGTTCTGCATTGTGCTTTCAGCTTTGCTTCCTTTGAAGCACTTCATTATGGCTCCATCATCCCGTTTAAAGATGCAACACCACTGCTGTGTTTTCCAACTTGCACACTAAATCCAGGAGAATCATGTTTAAGTTCAGAGTGGAAAGAGAAAGTATAAGATAGGCATGGGTCGGGTACCATTGTTTAAAAATGTATGGCTTAAAAAAAAAAAAAAAAGAAGAATAATGAAGCAATTAAATATTTCCTGTTTTAAAGTCTAGATAAAGTGCAAAAGTGACCCGGGTTTTCTCAAGGTTTGTGAAATGTAGAGTAACCTAGCACCCCACCTCCACCTGTTGCTTAACACTGCAGAAAAAATGCATCTAGAGTTTTCCTTTACTGACAAAAGAGGCTGGGTTGGTTTTGTGTTACGCTAAAAATGTCATTATAGGAAGGTAAAGCAGTGCCATAAATCCCTTTTATTAAGTTAAAACTTTTTAAAAACATGATTGGTAAAAACAATGGAGATGTATATAATAAACAATTAAATTAGGAGTTTAGTCAATATTCTTCCAGATTTATATGCATAAAAAATAAAACAATAAAAAATTGTCAAAGTTTGACTAATAATGTTATTAATTTAGCAGCAGAGGGAAGTTTTTATACATTCCTGTTTTGCCCGTTATATAACAGCGCTGAGTTCATAAAACAAAAGTTTGCCTTTAGACTAAACAGTAATGTTTTTTACTTTGGTTATGATACCGGCCCATGCCTACCACAAGAACGGCAAGATTGATCATTGGCAACTCACCTCATTCAATGGGGGATGAGAATAAAAACAACAAAAAACCAGAAGAATTTTTGCAGCCGAGAGCTTATCAATAAATCCAAACTCCAACTTTCATCAGGAAAACATTAAATATATATATTTTTTCCTCCTGGTGCAAGTTCTTTCAGTGTTTCCCTTTTTAACTTTGCGTATTGACATCAGAAAAGCACTTTTTATCATTCCAAAAGGAAAACACAAGTACCAGCTTCCCAAGAAATATATTATATATATCTAATAATTATGTCTTAAAAGTACAAACTGTAATAGTTACCGCATTTTTTTTCTCTGATTAGTCAGTAAACAGCTGACCAGATGTATAACTGTTAGATGAAAGTAAATGCAATGAAGCTCCTTGTTACATTTGCTGTTTCACAGATTTATGTGGAAATTTAGGATCTTTGGAAGGAACAGAGACCTTCCTGGATGTCTTGCAGGAAAATGTCCTTAGGGCTTTTTGGTCGCCTCCAGTCCTGAAAGCATGGCTACGCGTCTGTTTTTGTTGCTTTCTCGATGGCTTCTGTAGGAAGCAGGGAGGGATCGCTCAGGATGGATGTGGTAGTGCAAAGCTGACGGAGTGTACTCAACACCACTGAGTGAAAAAAAAAACAGAGAAAGGACCATTAAGGCAAAACCCTTGAATCAATGCTTATCATACAATGACCCAGTAAAACCAGCAAATTATTTCTTGATTCCAAACATCCTCCATATTTACTGGTCTGCCTGATAACATTTTAAATGCCTTAATTCTCCTTGCCACTGAAGAAACATAGGTTAATGCTAAAATGAAACAAACACCTTCAGAACATTTGAAACTAAGAAGAATATCACTGCCAGAACTTTTTTAAAAATTTTATATCTCAGGTAGGGATGGGTATTGCTAAGGCTTTATCACTACTTCTCTTAGCAAAACACCATTTGGTTACTTTCTCGATTACCCATCTATGGAACCATCAGATCTCTGAGCTTGAGTCTCTGAGTACGGTGGCCGGGAGGTGCAAACCAACATTACAAAATCTAAAAAACTTTTACAAGTTCCAAAACAAATTATCATTTCAGAAAACAAATTTATATTTTTTTTTAAAACTTGTTAATTTGATAATTTGTTTTGGAACTTGTAAAAGTGTTTTTTAATGTAAATTTGTTTTCTGAAATGATCATCTGTTTTACCGTATTTTCACGACTATAAGGCGCACATAAACGTCTTTTTTTCCCTCAAAATGTGCGGTGCGCCCTTTGGTGCGGTGCGCCCTATGTGTGTTGCAACTGCGACTTTTGAGACCACCTCATTGAGGAGATGATGAAAGAGTGGCTGAGGGAGGTGAATGTAAGGAGACCAGGTGGTTTTTTTTCCACTCATCACCATCGCTGTTAATCTGACTCCATGCCTGCCCATCTCACAGCTGATGTGAAAAACACGGTGAAACAAATTAATGCGCTCGCTGTGAACCGGACGCAGCAGGTGCAGCAGAAGCAGCGAGTTTACATGCAAAGTCAATGGGTGACGCGCGTATAGGTGCAGCAAAAGGTCCCGCAGCGCGTTTTGAGCAGCAGGCACAGCGCGTCGGGAGCGCGCCGCCAACGCGCTGCTGCTGCTCGAGATGGAAAAATTGAAGTTTTGCTGCTGGACGCGCCGCATCAACCAATCAGAGAAGCTGATCTGGGAGCTGACAGCGAGACAGACACAGCGCTGTGATGACATATGATATTAAGGCAAATGAAAGGGCTGGATGGATGAGGAGATGATGAAAGCGTGGCTGAGGCAGTTGTATGTGAGGAGACCAGGTGGTTTTTTCCACGCATCACCATCGCTGTTAATCTGTGAATCCATGCGTGCCCATCTCACAGCTGATGTGAAAAACATGGTGAAACAAATAAACGCTGTGCTTGTCGTTATCCCGGGGGTCTTCAAAGTAAGGCTGCGAGCGGCGTGGGAGCGATGGATGACAGACGGAGACCACAGTTTCAGGATAAGTGGAAGGCAGCGCCATGCAGGCAAGTTACGCCACCGTTTGCGGATGGATTGTAGATGCTTGGACTAACGTGTCTGCTGGCTCTGTTGTTCAAGCTTTTGCAAAAGCCGGCATTAATTCTGAGGAGCCGCCCGGCACGGAAAGTGACTGACAGCGAAGAAGGGGAAATTGGCATGTCTGCTTTAGCGCAGCTGTTTAATTCAGAAACAGAGGATGATGACTTTGATGGGTTTGATTAATACTTTGTAATAAATACATGAATAAAGCACAAACATACTCAGTTTTGCTCCCGCTCTATTTTTCTACCTGAAAACTTAATTCAACAGCAGCCTCTGGGCGGGTCTCCTCCTCTTCACCGCGGCGGCTGGCAGGGGTTTTTTCATCTAAATAATCTAAATCTTGCAGCTATATTTGCTGTGATCAGTGGGAATAAAGTAGTTTTAATATGTTTTTAAGTGAGAAAGTCCACCTGAAAACTTCATAATTGCAGTCAGTTCATCCAGATTATCTATTTCTGTCGGAGCCGCTCAGACCCCCACATACCAGCGGTGCGCCGACAGGAGAAATCCCTTCATCAGCAGGCTCTAGGCCGGTAGCCTCCGGGTTCACGCGGTGGCTGGCAGGTGTTTTTCATCTAAATAATTTAAACTGCAGGCACCAGGATACCGGTAATAAAAGCTAACATATTCCGTCGTCAGGTTTCAGGATTTTAAGTTAATTTAGGAGTGACCACAGCGCTGTGTCATCTGCGATGTGTCTGTCTCACGGCCAGCTGCCAGGTTTGATTAATACTTTGTAATAAATACATGAATAAAGCACAGTCATACTCAGTTTTGCGCCCGCTGTATTTTTAAATACGCAGTAGAGGCATTTAAAGGTAGTAGAGGACATGTACCTGTATATAAAAAACGCGCCCTATAGTCCGGTGCGCCTTATGTGTGTGTTAAATACAGAAATGGCACACATGACTGAGAGTGCGCCTTTTAGTCCGGTGCGCCTTATGGTCGTGAAAATACGGTAATTAGTTTTTTTTAGATTTTGTAATGTTGGTTGGTGTAATGTCCCGGCTTTATATGTAAGAATGAGGATTTCAATTTCTGTTCTGGATTCAATAGGAAGCCAATGAAGAGCAGCCTAGATAGGAGAAATATGACTTATCTTTTCATTTTTCATCTGAATTGTTTTGGATCAGGAGAAGGTTTTTAACTACAGTATGTGGACTTCCTGATAGTAAAGAATTAGAACAGTCCAGCCTTGAACTAACAAATACATCTAGATCTAGCATGTAACATTTTCAACTTGAATAAAGTGCCTAATATCTTTAAGCTGATAATGATTTCCTTGTTTAAAACTCATTTAGAGGATTTTTAGGATGCAGCTGTAAGACAGAAAGCTGACAAGTCCTCTAAGGCTATGTTCACACTGCAGCCTGAAGTGACTCAAATCCGTTTTTTTTGGCCCATATGCGACCTGTATCTGATCTTTTCATGGCTGTCTGAATAACACAGATCCGATTTTTTTCCAATGCGACCCAGGCCACTTGGCTATGTGGTCCTGAATCCAATACGAATCTGATCTTTTCAAATGTGACCTGTGTCTGAACGGCCAGGTAGCATTAATCCGACATGAACGCCATTAATACTCGACAAAGGTCACTATTCTGGGTCTTGCTATGAAGAAGCAGCAAGAAAAACAACAACCAGGGAGGACGACGATGCATAGAGCAGTATTTATGTTTAACCATTCTTTAAAAGATTGTGTTTTTATGGTTGGGAAAGATTGCTAGATGCGCTCAGGCACTACCATCCATGTTTACTTCAGTAAGCACAGAGCATGCTGGCCTTTGATGTCATTGCGTCCTCGACTGCACATGCGGGACACTTGGATTGTAAGACTGCAGTTCACATAGGAAATCACATACAAGTCACATATATTTGGAAATGTGAATGGCAATAAAAAAAAAAACGGAATTGAGCATTAAGGCCTGCAGTGTGAACGTAGCCTGTGTCTTAGCTTCAAGAATTCAAAGATTGTCATAGAAACTGAAAACTTCAAAACTGCATAATTTGCGGGAATTTAACAACCTGTTTCATGACATGTGGTTAATGATACATCAACCACAGAAATCCAACGATGGCACAAAACCATGATAATGTGAACTCAGAAAGGAGGACTAATAAAAGCTGATTGTCTTAATGCACTGAACATTTCTGAAAAAGAGAGAAGGTGTCAATATATCTAAAAAAAAAAGAAAAAAAAAAGCTAATTATTCTGCAGTGAATCTATGAGTGAGTACTTGGCAACAGAAATGCCTAGATGAACTACAAAAACTGCTTTATTATAATTCTTCACATCTAAAGTCAGACTTAGATAAAAAAAACAAAAGTTCCATCTGAAATTCACGTCATTTCTGAAATATCATCTGATATGAAACCCTAACTTTAAATGATGAAGCTTCCCAACATGTCTGGGTTTTATGGCAGATGACATACATGGCCTTTGAAAACTATTCCCACCCACTTAACTTCAATGCCTTTTAGTACCACAACATTTCATTTTACCCAAGTATGCCAATAAATGTACTTTTTTTCCTTCCTTTTTAAACTCCCCCCGATACTTAATAGCAATACACCTGAATTCTAGTGTTTTGTATAAAAATACATTTTTATTTAAACCTTGGTGTTTTTTATTAGGGTTTAATGTGATCGAAACAAAACTGTTTAGTTGATTAAAATAAAATATTAAAAAATGGTTTTAAAATGCGTTAGAATCACAAACCTTAAGGTGGAGCAGACCTTTGTATTTATCAGATGGCAAAGTCTTTTGTTTATACTTTTTATCTCAAGTCAGATTGGATGGAGATAGCCTATGAGCATCGATTTTCCAGTCTGATGATTGTTAATAAGATTAAGGCCCGAACTTTGACAGGGCCACACTAAAATATAAACGTACTTTGTTCATTGTACTCCGACTGTACATTTAAGGTCAACAACCCGCTAGTGGAGGAACCTCTACCTCAGTCTAAAGTGTGTTTTAGTTTCCTTCCAGTAGTGCAATTACGGTAGCTCAGTCTTTACTCCCATCAACTCTTCATAGCTCACCTTTGCATTTAAAGGAAACCGATCTTCATACTATGATTCTACCACATGCAAGTTTTAAGGTTGAGGACACCATCTACAGGGGTTACTCTGTACAGAGTTTCTCCACTGATCTCTATTTATTCACTGGATTGCTGATAGACCGTTGGTAGAACACATTGCTTTGAAGTCACCAGCTGCCATATTGGTACTCCCTAGTTAGAACAGTCGGAATTGAAACAATACATGTGCTACAGCATCAAACGACGATGATGTTCTCATTTTCAGGGTGGCTTAAGACTTTTAAAATTAAGTCATCACTTTGACACATTTCTGTTCAAAGCATCTACAAATTACTGTCATCTAAGGTAAAAAAAAATATGCACCTCACATTGTATATTAAGCATGAAGTCTGTGAAGTCTATAAATCATCAAATATGACTTACAAATCCATCACAACACAATTAGTGTGTTAGTGGAGCATAATAATACGACTACATTGACGATGTACTTGTAATATGTATGTATTGATTAAATTGTTTTATCAATGGTAATTAAATTACAGGCATTTTTATGGCACGACTCCATGAGATTGGGGAATACCAAGATAGCGGCAGGTGACTTCAGTTTTTTCTAGTGAATAAACAGAGATCACTGGGTTTCTCTTATGGCTATCTCTAAAGAAATCAGCAATTTGCCATATTTCCATGGCGGATAGAACTACCTACCCACTGTAAGCAGATTCTGGACATCAATAAAACATGGCTCCTTTGCAGCTACTGTCTTGATTACAATAGTTACAGAGAAGTGTTGTTGCATTATAGGCCTACCTAAGGCGCTGCGATTGCTTGGGTCTGTTTTAGACTGGAGAGTAATGAGCCTTACCAGACTGACTGACACACCATGTAAGTTAGTCTGCCTGGCCAGGCTAACTGCTATGTACTTTTCTCCTTTTATGCCACAGCTTACCTCTGTACTGCAGTTGATTAATTACCACCAAGATGTAGCCTACATAGAAGCGGACAGATTTAAAGAACCAATAGTTAACATACTGGGTCTGAGGACAGGAAGGGAGCAGTGATTGTCGAGCCATTGTAGCGTGGTGTGGCAAAGCTCTTCTCTGCTGCTTGTTGACACCATCCCATTGAACGTCTCAAAGAGGGGTTTGATGATGATGCTGAACTGAATCGAACACCAGTCAAGGACAAATTCAGTCATTCAACATCAGAGACAGACATACAATGTTAAACATCATATCTAACCCCTGAAACGCACTTGTTTGTATTTCTAAAATACTAATTAACATTTATAGACATTTAGACAAACAGTATTTTCTACAGATGCATAATATCAGGAAAAAACAACATCATGAAACCCACATCAACAGCAATAGGCCTTAGCATTTTGGACACTGAAATCTAGATTAGGACTGTAGCAGACACATGGCTGGTGTATAGAACATGAATGCACAGCTGAGATATTTAGTGGGCCTTTAAGGTCCACATGGTCAGAAAACAGATAAACGGACTCAGCAGAAAGAAACTTAAATTAATCTAGCTTGCGAGGTGGCCTATCAGATCTAGCAAGCCTCCAAAGCTGTGTCCATAAGTCTTAGGGAGCACATGGAAAAAATTTTATAGTCAGACAAAAATGGAGAAATTATCTGGAGTGCATTGATAAAAATAAGGAAAAACCTAACAGCTATTGAACAAGACAGGATTAACAGTATAAAGAATAACATTGGTTATAAAAAGCAAAGAATAAACACATGCTGGCCTAATAGTCAGTTTCTTTGGAATAAAATACCTGTTTAAAAAGATGTATAAAAAGTCTTTTAATAATTAAAGATCAAATAGACCTCACAGAAAGAAGTTGACTGTTCCGGAGCCTCAGACATGGGACTGAAGGCTTTGTATCCCTGCAGAGGACTGGGAGCGACTTAGAAATAAAAAGGCACAAGAATATTTAGACGTTTCAAAAGAAAACCTCAAAACAATTACAAAGTCAGGGTGATAGGTTCATGCCTTGTCCCTGTTAGCAGAGGGGCAGCTGAATTTTGAAATAGTTTTTGATGGTGAAGGGACTGGCTAATCCTATCATAGCGGGAGTAACAGTTGTTCAGTGTAGAGAAAACAAAATTGTGAAGCAACCTCTCAAAGACAGTATGAGTACAAATATCTTTGGCTTTGCGCATAGCACCCGGATGACTAATGCACACTTAAACAGCATTTGTCTTTTTCCTCAATTAATTAAAGCTCAGATTCATCCATTCTATACCAACGGGTACTATTATTAAAACATCATGATTCACTGTAATAAGTAGTAAAAAGATCAAACCCAGTTTAAGTAGTTAAATCACCAGTTAAAACCACTGAACATGCCGAGAAATCGAGTTTCAGTACTATGACAACACTTAAAACCACAAAGAAGCTTCTCATAAATGCCAAGAACCTGCAAGTACTATTGTTGCCGAGTAAAAACCACATTGTCTAAAAGTTCAGAAAGAAAGGTAAATTTGGAAACCACCTGAAAGTTTAAAAGTGCTTGTCACATTCTTTTCTCATAAAAAAATGTATATACATATAAAACAATAACCGCATCAAAATAGTGGTAAAATAAATGCCACACTGCTTTAATAAGCGGCTGAGAAATATGGCTGGTGTCTTTTTTTATATTGTATTTTTTGATGTGGAAAGGGAACCCAGACATGCAAACTGATTGCTTCTAAAGTAAACGGCAACAGACAGTGGTGAAGAACCAGATGTTTTCCCAAAAATATTTCAGTCACTATTGCAGAGAGACGAAACCGAGTCAGAAAAAGAAATTTACGTGTCATTAGATAGCAGAGCACTAGTTTAGGGCTTAGTTCTGTATGTGTTGGGACAGCCAGCAGAAGTAAAATCAAACACTTGCAGGGCAGGGGCCTGTGAAACCAAGCAGGATTACTAGGTTAGAGCGACAACTTCAGGTTTAACTCTTGGTACCACAAAGCTGGATTCATTCATAGCCTGGCTAGTCACCGTGGTAACGTAGTCTGAAGGGGAAACCTGCTGCAGAACAGGCTAGTTTTTAGGATTGATTTGAATTCCAGAAAATGCTCCAGCAGCCAATCAGCTGCTCAGGAATCAATGACATGACCTTTCATTGAAGACAGTTTTATTCAAAGTCCAACTTAAAACAACGTTGCCATTAAATAACTTGGAAACCACAACAAAGTTGACAAAATAAAAAGTTTTCAATGTATTAATTTATTTTTATATTACTTATACTAATTGTTTTACTATTCTGTATTTGTTTTCTCCAGTATAAAGTCTTCATACATCGCTGGCATTCACTTTTCTCCTGTATAATTGTTACAGGGAACTAAATAAAAAAAATAAAAAAACGCATACATAATAAAATAAAAATCAGAGCACAAATTATGAGAAGATCCTTTGGATCACTATGAAAATATGAGTGATAAAGGTTTTAACAGTGAGGACTGGCATATTTATGCCAGATCCTGGGATGTGTGTTGGCTGTGCAATCCACAGGAACCAGTGCAATGGTAAACTGCTAGGAAAATAAAAAAGGTTGTAATGTTACCCTGAAATGGATCATTGATCACAAAGAGTCTGTATGATACTGAAACAGAAATTCTACAAAGTTTCATTTAAGTAGAAAAAACATTAAGGTATTTCTGTACATTTAGGGCTGCATTTGAGGACTTTTGCCATTTTAAAAGCAGAGATTTTTACCATTTGTTCTCACTGAGTTCTGGCAAAAATCAAGATTTTGGTCTGATTGATCACTTCTTGTATCAACATGATGCAACCGTGGCACCAGCTTCCAGATTTCTTGTAGTCTAAACATATTTGAATCTTACTATTCCAATAAAATTGTGTTTTTGTGTTTTATCTGCAACCAAGTCTTCTTCACTTTCGTGGGGTACACGATTAATATGCAGTACAGGGATGCAGTCTGTGTTAAATGTCACTGATCCTTGGTCAGCAATCCTTTGACATGTAATCTGACGTCTCTTTCATGCCATCAGTGTGTGAATTTTAACTGAGACTGTGTTTCCCCCCCCTCTTTTTATATCCGTAAGTGAATTTTTTGTTTTTCACAGGAGTTATACAGTGCTCTCCCTTCTGCGCTCCTATTGTGATTGGTCCGCTATCTTGAACCCGCCCCTTTACGCAAGTGCATTCACAGATTCATGATCAGTTCAAGCTGGATCGACTTGGCGAGTTGTTGATACCGCTGATCCTGTTTGCCATTGATGTGGATTGGTTCAACTGGATAGACTGGAAGTAATCCAGCTATGCTGAGCTCGCTTCATGGTACGGGCCTCAGCATAGAACTAGCAGCCAGTGGTGGACGAAGTACTTGACAGTATTACCTGAGTGAAAGTATTGATATTCATAGTCAAATCTTACTTAACTATGATTAAAAGTTACTCAGTAAAACATCTACTCAAGTTTAAGTATTATAGTACTTCCTTTTTAAAATACTTATGTATTCAAAAGTACATGCATTTAAAAGTACTTAAGTATTTAAAAAATGCTCATCAAATTTTTGAACATCAGTGCATTAATCTAATTTTGAGTGTAATTTTAAAGAACGCGGTAACTTTCAGAAACCACCTGATGTATTGATGCATAGAACCACCTTCTACAGATTCTAAACCATCTATAAAGAACTTCAGCATAACAATGCCACAAAAAAGGACAGCTATTTTAATTATTTATTTTCAAAAAAATCTCATGTTTTCACTATGTAATAGAGGTTTATGGTTGGATCTATTACCAGAAAGAAACCAAAACTGATTTGAGAACTAATCCTACTGAAAAACTCCTTCAAAAACCTTGGTAGGATACTATCACCAGGACAAAATTAAGGCCTTGGCTTAAAGACTTTCTGAAACTTGAGAAATTGACCAAGGTTTATAATTATAAAAAATAATTGTGGATACATAAAGTATAAAAATAAAATTACAAAATACCCTGATAAACATATAAAAACCCTATATGATGACAAAACACTGAAGATGAACAGTTATGAGCTAGCCATGCGCAGATGTTAGCAAATAAAATATCCAGGAGTGATATTGAAACTTGGAGCATAGAACTAATTAAAATCACTAAAGCAGGACTAAACATACAACTATTTTCTCAAGTACCAGCTGAGTTGAAAAGGAGCTGCCAAGGATGCAGAGCAGGGGCAAGGAGAGAGGAGCAAGAAGCACAAGCGTGTTGCAGATTCTGGTTGAACTACGCAGCAATTTAGCAAAAAAAAAAAAAAAAGTTACTTTTCTGAATCTCAAGGTAGACCAGCCAGGTTTTCCACTTTTGGAAATGCATACTGCTTGAATTGCAAGCAGGGCAGACTGGGACATACACAAACATTTTAATATAAAGTTTACTTTACCCTTGGCTGGAACTCATAGGGACAGAAAAGAGGTAAATCAATATGGTTAACCTCTTTAAGCTTTAAAGATAAAAACAGTGCAGGACACATGCAGCTTATCTCCTCACCTCTTTACAAAATAAAATAAATTAAATATTTTTGCAAAGAATAACCCTTCATTGTCTCACCCAGTTATAAACTGTTCCATAATCTTTGTTTTGGCTGCATTGGGCTCTGTTCTGCTTTTTAATTGACAGCCAGCACGGGTCTGCTCCTCTGCTTTCTTATAACATCCAAAAGTCTGTCAAATGTATTTATTAATTATTTCCTTCTCATAATATGGTAGTCAAATACAGGACAGCATTTCAATTTGTGTGACACTGGTACAGAGACAAAAAGGGGGCGTGGTCCAGCATGTGTCGGGATCTGCTTACTCCATGTGTAGCAGGAGCCTCTTAAAATTTTTCAATATCCAACTTTTATTCGTAAACGCAAGTATGCCGCTGTCATTCACAGCCAAGACCATGCAACAAATTTCACTCTAATAATCGACTGAACCGTTATATTAGAACTTCTTTATGGAACCATTTAAGGGCATAAAGTGTCATCCTGACATGTTTTACGCCGTCAGCAAATGTATCTATAGATGCAGTTCGACAAGGGAAAATTAATATCTGTTCAGTTTGACATGAAGACGATTCCCACACAGGTGCATCGGGAATTCCGAAAACATACCAAAAACAAAAAAACAACAGTTTTAGAGAAAGCTTTTAAAAATATGTAAATTCCCTATACAACAGAGTGTGATGAATCAGGGGACACTGCAAATGCCACAACTAATTATGTTGCTCATTTATCATAAAGATTTACTGTGGCTACAGATTTAACCATGAAGAAAATGAGTCACTGACGAAATGACTCAAGGAAAGAACATAATGCTTCACGTAGCCGTAAAGGAGGCACCGACCGGTTCCCGCACAACATTTAGGACATTGTCTACGGAAATATTAACATACGATGACACAGCTGGAACACGGGTTGACCGCGCTTTTCTATACGAACCCTGCCAATCTGTGGGCAGATCTTTCTTTGTGGTCCTAAATAATGATGGGAAACACACCCACATCAGTCAAAAAACGATATACTTAGATTCAAGGACACAACTTAACCTTTGAAAGTGCTCTCATTAAAAGGATACGATCCAAAACTTCCAGTTCTGGAGAGTTCGGCTCTTCACGTAGTCATTAAACTTGTCTTGCATGAGATCGGAATGGTTTTTCCTCATCGGCACGCCAGTCGCAGGCAGCTGCTCCTGACACAAGCTATGGGAGAGGGAAGGGTACATCCTTTTTATCATAAGGTTGACTTTGGTCAAATTCAAACTTTTCTGTTCTAGTTTAGAGATTTGCATTATTTCTATGTGTTTAAAATGAAATAAAATTAAAAAATAAAATAAAAGATACAAGAAACTCAACAGGTAACTTTAGTCTTCATGGAGGCATTTTAGGTGAGATCTTTACCACTCAGGAACATGATAAAGTTCAACTAATTTAAATGTTACATATCATGTAATAAATCGCTTTCTCTTTCTTTAACTCTAGCTTTAACATTTTCTTTTAGAGAATATGAAGATAATACAAACACTGCGGTTTAACTAATGGCCAAAAGTTTTGGTTAAGTCATTAATTATTAAACATTCTTTTCCTTGTTCATTAACTTAATCAACAGTTCGTATACATAAAAGAAGTTTGTAATTTCAAAAGGATCCAGCTCCAGTAAAGTCTTTATGGATCTTGTTGGATTTAACCTGACCCTCTAATCTGAGCCATTATCACCAACATGGCCAGAGGATCTTGGATCCAGCTTTGTGTTTCAATGCATGAACAGAGGCCAAAGATCCTTGTGAACTGGGTCCAAAACTAGCATTTAAAACCAGGGTCATAAAGTTACATTTTAGTCCACGTCTAAAATTTGTTCAAAGAGTTTTGAGGCTTGTTTTTGTGCTGATTAATGTAGCGACTGTTTCTCCATGCAACTCTTATCTTGCAGCAGGTTCTTCCTCCTTGTGGTGCCTCTATACTGAGCTAATATGCTTCTTTTAGAATTTGTAAATTAAAAAAAGGAAGAAATTCTACAAAGTTATGTAAAATTATGAGCATAGCTTTAGATATCAGCAGGTATTTATTGCATTTTATTTCTATTACTTCTTGTTTATAACCTGGAAAAAAAACATTTTCAGGGACAGACAGAAGCTCTGCAGTTATAAACTTCTACAGTTTTTTTTTACTGTTGAAATAAAAATATATTAATATCCATTAATACTTGGTATTGATTATTGTTTTAAGAGTTAAATTGAGCAAAGAATTATCTGCTAAAAATCCAAACTGGATTCCCAGGTTAGAGCTCCTCTAATTCGGACACACCTAATGGATGTATTGAGCTCATCTATCTCCTCTCGTAGCCTTTTGACCTCGTCCTGTAGCTGCTGCCTCTCCTGCTGGAGCTTTCCAATGTGCTCCACTGTCTTCTGCAGTGTTACCGCGTTTGTAATCTAGAACACACATGACAAAACATAAATAAAAGGAGGAATGATTGCCTTGCAGTTTTTTTTTAAATAAGAAGCGAGTAGAGAGACTTACATTAGATTGTGACTTCAGAGTGGGAACGAGGTTGCCAAGTGTTTTGAAGCCAATGTTGATATTTGATCGTCTCTTTTGCTCAGCAGATATGTGGCGGCTCTGTTACACAATTTAAAATATTAACCATTACTTATGACAAAGTGTATCAAAGTAAAATTATTAATCTCTTTTCTTAAACTAGTTTCAGGCTATGATAAAAAAAACTAATTGCAGAAACAAACCTGACTGTGCTCACTCTTTACAAGAGGTTTACTGGTACTGCCCATTATAGACTGAGGACTGGGAACCTGATCTAAACCACAAGGTGACCCTTGACTGGATCCTGGCTGACTATGACCTATAAAGACAAAAAACAACAACAGTCATTTAAAATCAAATAATCTACAAACATCCTCTGTGAACCTTCTAATGCTTACTCATGTCGGGGCCTTAAATGTTTTTATCTTTTTGTTGATAGACTAACAATAAATGGAAGAAAAGTGATGTTTGATCTTAAAAATCTTATAAATGTAATCCTCCCAGAGTCACCATTTCGTAGGGAGGAAACAAATGATTGAATCAATCATCCATCATTGATTACAGAAATACATACTAATTTCATAATCGGACCACTAACAGGAGAATAAAAACTATAAAATATGTCATTTACTGAAAGAGCAATGCACTCAGAGCAGTAATTAAGCTAAAACTGTACAAAAATATAACAATTTTCCTTTTAAGTAAAAAAAATTAATTATTTGTAAATTTGCCAAACCTCCTCAAGCGGCAGCTTTAGCTTTACCTCCTACAATTTCTTTTAAAAGAAAATTTCAGACTAAGCCCTAATATAAAATGGAATAATACATTTCTAAATAAGACCTTGTTAATTATAATAACAAAGTTTCTTTTTCATTTATGCCAGTTACAATTCATTGAAAAAAAGCTGATTAAATGCTGTTTAAGTTTTAAAATATTATTGAGGAAATATAAGTTATGGAAAGCCTTTTCAATCAAAAAATATTACAGATATTTTAGGCAATGACTAAAATAATCTATAGCTGCAGATTACAAAGTTAAATCTCCTGGTGATTGATATATTAAGTGCTGTAACCTGGTGGGTTTTGGGGATAAATTAAAAGTAGATGTATAATAATAAAGGAGTCTAATTATCATTATCAACACCTAAGCTATTTGTGTTGCTATGGTTACATTGTATTTGTCAGTCACATTAAATTCCAATAAAACAACTTAAGCTTTCTGGTTGAAACACAAGAATAAACTCACCAACACTTGAGGGATCCTTCTGATTTTTTCTGAAACAGGTCTTGTCTTCAGGAACGATAGGCTGAGGCGACTTCTGAGGCAAAACCTGAAACCCGGGAGCCTGACATGCACAAAAACAGTTTAAATGAGATACAATACCAGACTACAAACCAGCCAACATCGATGTTTACTGGTCAAACGTTATTTTCACAACCAAAGACCAAAATGTTGTTACTGTGTTTATTACAGTTTATCTGCAAACACAAAATTAAGCCTCACCGCTACAAGATTGGAGGGGGTGATAACACCAGTGGAGGGTGGAGATGTAACGATTACAGCATTCGCATGGCCTGGAAAAGGGGCTGAAAGGATTTGTGTGCCTACACATTTAGGAGAGAAAAATCACAAACGAGTCATCGCAAGAATAGGTTTATAGGTTTCACTTCATAAAGTTTATTAATGGAATAACTAATGATTACACTTGTCCTATCTGAATAACAGCCACAGAAGCTGATGGAGGCCACAGACCTGGGATGATGAACTGAGGAGAAGGCAGGGAACTTGCAGGAGCAATCCTCGGCACCGGACGGACTTTGCTGGAGCTATTTGACTGGAAAGGACGAGGCAGAGCAAAGGCCTGATGCTGCACTGGAGCGGCAGGCAGCGGAGCCACGAGCTGGAGTTGGGAAGGAGGAGCTGAGATGTGGCTGACTGTGCTCGCTGTGTTGCTGGGTGTGACGCTGGAGGGGGCTGTGTGTGTTATCACAGAGGGGGCCACAGCTTCATCCAGCACTGAGCTGTTGCCTAGTGGTGAGGGAATCATGGATGCTGCGGAGGATAAGTTCTGACCCGGTAGGCAGTGTACCAAGGGATCGTGGGTTAATGGCTGAGAGACAGAGGAAGCTGCTGACTGACTGTTGGACGCCACCTGGCCTGCAAACAGGGGCATGTAGTTATGGCTGTAGGCTGCTCCTCCACCACCTGTCTGACTGGTCTGGCTGAGGATTGGCAGCGGGCCTGCAGGGGGTATCTGGTTGGGCGAGAGCTGCAAAGAGGACATTAACGGGGCCTGGCGAAGAATAATAAAAAGAAACAAAAACATTTAGATCCTTCTTAAAGCACAAGATTTTATAAAGTTGACCATTTAGAATTAATGTTAGCTGAAGATTTTCTGTCTTCTGCTGGTTTAAGTTCATGTTTGTTTTTTAAAAATCTTTACTCATGAACGTCTTTTTTAAAGTATTGACCCTTCCGTCAACAACCAGATGCATTTGATAAAGTTTAGTTGTCCTTTATGTGATGCTTAAAAATTGAAACAGAAACAACTAATAATCTTATGCTTATGATATTTGCATCCTACAGTGATTCACAGACTAGGTTTACTATGAATAAACTTTAAGCTAATATTTAATGAATCTTTAAAACCGATCTGGATTGGTTGAGAATTTGATCCAAACTAAATGTATGACAAAAAAAAAAACCTTGGTCAAACTAAAGATACTCTTTCTATGGAAACATCTTTTTGATACTGGGTTGATACTGGGTTAGGCCTGGGTTCTTAAGATTAGGTGGAAACAAAACATTTATTTAGGTTAAGCGTGTTGAAGATTCCGAGAACTGCAGTAAAACGGATCCCAGGGACCAGAGTTGGGAATCCCTGATGTAGGTTATTGATATAAAGCACAGTTCAAAGTCCTTTACAAAAGGTATCCAGACTCCTTAAACTTGTGTGCAAAAAAACATGCAAAAAAAAACAAACAAACCACTGTGTTTTACTAGAATGTATTGATAAACTTCAAAGAAATAGTCCATAATGGTGAAGTGACAGGAAAGGGATCCATGGTTTTCGGGGTTTTGTAGATTAAAGAGAGGAAAACTTTTTTTCGAATTATGATCCTAAATTAAATCCAGTAAAACCAATTGCTTTCTGAGGTTAAGCTGAGGCAGACGATTAGGAGACACTGGATAAAAAACAAAACAAAACGTTAAAGTGTCAAGCAGAAAGATTAATAATCAGAGGATAAGTCCAGAGGTGTGTGGTAACTCTAGAAAAACTATAGACTACTGGTTTTGTACTCCATAAATCTGTCCTTTATTAAAATGTGACTGAGAAGAACCACGTAGTTAAAAGAAATTCCTGTTCTCAGTTTGGTCTCATCAGAACAGAAGCTGCTCTGGTCAGATGAAAAAGAAACATTTTCTGCCAACAACCGCTCTGTGTCAGAAACATTCAATGTAAGTCACATTGAACACATTGTCCCAATAGTGAAGCATGGTTTTGGAGGATTTATGACCTGGGGAGGCTGCTTTACTGCAGGGAGCTTTTGAGAGTTAAGCGCATTAAAATCCTGCTATGGTTCAGATATCCAGGCAAAGCTAAAACAGAATGGTTCAGTTCAGGGTTCTGCACCTTTTACATACACGCCTTTCTGCTTCTACACTCCTAGGCCAAATATTCAGGTCATTAGCAGGACTCTGGAGAACTCATACTGAGGAAGTGTGTGGAAGCAGATAGACATCCAAAAGGTGCAGGAAAGCACACATCGAATGCCGGTAAAGAATCCTGGTTTAGATCATAGTATTTTTCTGGTTTTAGGTGGTTAAAGGTCAGACATTAAACCACAAAGAACCTGTGACAAGGGAGGAAATTTCTGCTCAGAGACTCTCCGTCCAATCTGACTGAAGATGAGATATTTTGCAAAGCCTGTTAATTTCTTTGCATGTGTAAAGCTGATAGAGACTGCCCCTAAGTGCTTAAAGTTGTTAACTGCATGGATAAGGTGGTTTAAGAAAATACTGACTCAGTTGGGCTATACAGTAATGAATCTAATACTATTCTTTAATGATTTAAAAATATATATATTATATTTTCCTTCTAATTTACAATTTTGCACAACTATTTGTTAATCTATAAAAAAAAATAAAAAAAGGAAATTAGTCGTTGAAACCTGGCAAAATGTAAAACAGTCCCAAGATCATTAGCAGTTCTCCCAGGAACTTACGATACATCAAAGGTATTTCATAACACAGAGAAAAGGATTTATAAAAAAAAACATACTGGCTAAAATCAACTGGAAAAAAAAATTTCTGAAAAAATAAATCAATAACATTTTACAACAATAACCAATTTGCTCAAAGCAGTAATGAGATAATGTCAGAGAAATGTCCTTATTTGCCACAAAACTTATTTCAATGGTTATTTTTTCACCTTTTAACTGAATATTTTGACTGACTGGATGTTCACTTTAACACAGACCAATTCATGGTGAATACATGGAGACAAAGGACCATGGGAGCCATTATGAATAAAGATGTAAAAAGGAGACAGTAAAATATAATTTTGACAAATAATTGAAATAAATGTACACACATTTTCAGTGTGGGTTAAATGCTCCAAAAAATAAAATAAATAAAAATGTAACAACCTTAAACATTAATCGGTTTATCCAGGTATGTGTAAAACTGGAAAACCAAGTTTAGTAATGTTATTCTGTTAAGCTAATCTAATGTGTAGGTACAAGAAGACAGAAAACTGAAAGAAGTGTGCAAAGTGGACCAAAAACTCTACATCAGTAAAGCTTTAAAAAGAAAATAATGTGCTTTTTCGGAGCGTGTTAGGGCCTGAGCCTTGAGCTGGTGTTTACCTGAGAATGAGAGCTGCTGCTGGATTGAGGGGTGACAGATGATGGAGTGGGGGAAACAAAGGGAAGGACAGGCTGACGGAGGCTGTGAAATAAGTCTGGAACAAGAGGCTCTATGTTAGCTGGAGGTTAGTATAACCAAACTATGCGTAATGTTAGACTCAGCTGATTCCTACTACAGTGCTACTAAAACGTGTGTGCTTTGATCCTATACTTTGTGCTCTTTTAGTTTAGAGGCACTGCTACTGTGGATGGAACAGTACCGCAACCTTGAAGCGGGTCAAAGGAGTCCATGAAGTCCAGGTTAGGCTGTAAGGGGATGAGTCCTGGCTGGATCATGTCTGCATTTCCTGCATGAGCTGCAGACATTGGAGGGAGGAGATTGGAGGACATGTATTGGTATGTGCAAAATATACATTAAAGAAAAAATGTAAAAAGTAATGCAGGGGTTCTAAACAAAAATTTCTCACCAATTTCCCTTGGATTGGGCAAACCCAACGGCTGGTGTGCAGCCAGCGTGGAGAACAAGGTGTCTGAAAACTCAGACATCAGAACATCCATGTCAAAGAGGGTGTCCATCTCCATGGGGGCAGGCGGTTCATGCCTGCGGGTCATTCGACGCACAGCAACTTCTTCATCCTGATAAAAGGAAGTACGGAGCATGTCTGGAAAGACTTCTCCAAACAGCGATAACTGCTCCTCTGGCCCCTTTGAATATTCAAAATGCAACCACCAAGCTAGTTAATGTCAAACATGCATGCAGTGTGGAGCAAAGCAAGCCACAAGAGTGGGACAATCTTAACTAGTGCACCGATATGATGATGATGGTGATACTTCCTGAGTAAAATTATAAATAATTAATTAATCCCCCAAATCAGATTGAACATGAGCCAGTTACAGATATCATGGCGTTTCCAGGTATTTATCAAGACCTACAGAAAGCTCCTTAAAGAGACATAAGAAAACGTTCCCAGACTATTTGAATAGAGGAAAAACTGCCATTTCATTAACTCTTGATGAGCACTTTAGGTCATCTGGCAGAAAAATAGCCAGAACAATAATTCCCCAATAAGAAAGACATTTCACTTAAGTCAGCTCAAGTGTTCCACTGCTAATGCTATAAACACCAACAACGGTTGGATTAAAATTGTGCAGTACATTTAGAAAGACTAACAGGGAGCAGGGTCACTGAGCAAAGCAGAGAGGCTTTACAGACTTTATGCTTTTTAACCTTTTCTCCTGATTGGTAAAAAAATAAAATAATAAAATTGGGAGAACATAATAAAATTGTGTTCGTTTATATTGCAAATGCAATTAATTGCCCAGCCCTAATAAAGACTGCAGACAGCATCAGAAACTTCACTGCCAGCTCTTTAGGCTGTTACTCGTGTCAACAGACTTCTAGTGCTGCAATCTATCAGGCTCCTTTTATATTCAAAGATATGAGACTTGTCTTCAGCATGCTGCAACATGCATTTTTAAGAAAACAAATTGTTAAAATAATTTATTACAAAAGTTGCAAAGGTTATTGTACACCAAGTAACTCATACTGGCTCATGCCTAGACTGTTTACAATTTTTATGCAGAAATAATCAACATAACGTAACTGATATCCCACAGGAAAACCACTGAAGCTGTGTAACGCATGTGAGCATAGATTTTAAATATAGATTTGGCTAAAATCAAGCACAGGGTGGATGTCTTTGCTTATGTTAGCAAGTAGGAGTGTCCCAATCAGATATTCAAATTGGAATTCTGCCCAATATCAGCCAGAACGAATATCGGCAGACATCGGCCTGCATCGTAAATCTCTGATATAAGCACACCAACAGAATAACTATGGTACTATTAATTACTAATAAATGGGTTGGTTGTTCTTTTACCTATTGTTGTTGACAGTTGTTCTCTGAGTGATATTACCTGATTGAGGCTTTTCTAAAAGGCCACACTAAAAAACCAGTAATAAAAGTGTGAATGATTTGTGCTGATAATTATCGGGGCAACATTGCTACCTACTGATACTTAAAGCTCCAACATCAAAATCCATCAATATCACACCAGAAACAAAAGTTTTATCGGGACACGCCTACTAGCAACATGACAATACTCAAACATTCAATGCCAATAGTGTGAGTGCAGAACTAAAAAAAAAATCATGCTTTAAAAATAAAAAATAAAAAAATTATTGTGAAATTCAGAAGATACATGGGACTACAGAGCTTAGATAAAAAAAATATATATATATTTTGATCAGTCCATGTGCCTGAAACATATATACCGTAAATTCTCTAATATTGGCCTGTATTCCATTACCTGCCGGGACTCTAACATTGGCCGGTCTCGCTGTCAGAGGAGGTAAATAATGGCCGGTCTCTAATACAGGACGGGGCTATAAACGTTTTTTCTGGGCATACCTCAACATTATACTTGTGGTAGTAACATACAAGTACCACAGCCCTGCGCAGCTGGACGACAGGCCCTGACTGCTGCCCGTCTGCGCGAGGAAGAGAGCAGACACGCAGCAGAACATGAGGAGGAGCGCGAGTGATGAGGAGATTAAAGGGAGAGATGAAGAGGGGGAGGAAACTGAGGAGGAGGATTAAACAGAATTGGAGGCATGGTAACTGTACTTTTTCAATAAATGAACCTAGTGTTTTATAGGTTCAAATAGACACAAAATCTCATTTTTAGAGAGCTGGGACCAAAGTAACAAAGGCTACCATCAGTAACACACTACGCCGCCAGGGACTCAAATCCTGCAGTGCCAGACGTGTCCCCCTGCTTAAGCCAGTACATGTCAAAGCCCGTCTCAAGTTTGCTAGAGAGCATTTGGATGATCCAGACGATGACTGGGAGAATATCATATGGTCAGATGAAACCAAAATAGAACTTTTTGGTAAAAACTCTACTCTTTGTGTTTGGAGGAGAGAGAATGCTGAGTTGCATCCAAAGAACACCATACCTACAGTGAAGCATGGGGGTGGAAACATCATGCTTTGGGGCTGTTTTTCTGCTAAGGGACCAGGACGACTGATCCGTGTGAAGGAAAGAATGAATGGGGCCATGTATCGTCAAATTTTGAGTGAAAACCTCCTTCCATCTGCAAGGGCATTGAAGATAAAACGTGGCTGGGTCTTTCAGCATGACAATGATCCAAACACACCGCCCGGGTAACGAAGGAGAGAAGCATTTCAAGGTCCTGGAGTGGCCTAGCCAGTCTCTAGATCTCAACCCCATAGAAAATCTTTGAAGGGAGTTGAAAGTCCGTGTTGCCCAGCGACAGCCCCAGAACATCACTGCTCTAGAGGAGATCTGCATGGAGGAATGGGCCAAAATACCAGCAACAGTGTGTAAAAACCTTGTGAAGACTTACAGAAAACGTTTGATCTCTGTCATTGCCAACAAAGGGTATATAACAAAGTATTGAGATGAACTTTTGTTATTGACCAAATACTTATTTTCCACCATATTTTGCAAATAAATTCTTTAAAAATCAGACAATGTGATTTTCTGGATTTTTTTTCTCATTTTGTCTCTCATAGTTGAGGTATATCTATGATGAAAATTACCGGCCTCTCTCGTCTTTTTAAGTGGGAGAACTTGCACTATTGGTGGCTGACTAAATACTTTTTTGCCCCACTGTACGTGTGTGTGTGTATATATATATATATATATATATATATATATATATATATATATATGCTGATTCTTTAAAGCTACAGTGTGTAATTTTCAGCGACATCTAGCGTCCAGACTGCAGACCGCAGCAACATGAACATCTCCCCCCCACCGCTCCCCCCCCAACAGTACGGCGAGCGTTACGGGACAAAATGTCTTCCACTACGTCCGCATCACCTACCTTCTCAAGTGATGAGGTTTGTTTACATAGATAATTTTACAGATAGTATTCTCAGGCATAATACTGCCATCTATTGTTCAGTACCGTCTCAGTTCATCTCTCTCAACTTGCCGTAGTTACTTTCGATCTTAATGGGCGATCTCGCAATCGCTAGTTTGTTGGCTCTGCGCTGCCGTAGCGCAAAGATGTCTGCCTCCATGGCTGCGAGACCTGCTCCTATGTAATTATAAATAACGAATTCTAAGGCAACGCAAATATTAAGGTTAAGAGGCTGAGCTCGTAGATGATGATAAATAACATAGTTATGTATAATATATTACATTTGACTGTATATCCCTATAATTATTACACACTGTAGCTTTAACATTATTCTCAAGAATCTGCTGATGTTGGGTGGAATCCATGCGACCCTCAACTTTAACATTCCCAATGGCAGCATTGGCAACACAGCCCCAAAGCATGATGGAACCTCCACCAAATTTTACAGTGGGTAGCAAGTGCTTTTCTTGGAATGCTGTGTTTTTTTGCCGCCATGCATAACGCCTTTTTTATGACCAAACTACTCAATCTTTGTTTCATCAGTCCACAGGAACTTATTCCAAAATGAAGCTGGTTTGTGCAAATGTGCTTTTGATTTCCTCAAGCGATTCTGTTTGCGGCGTGCTTCTAGAAAATGCTTCTGTCGAATCACTCTCCCATACAGATTCTCCTGGTGCAAAGTGCGCCAAATTGTTGAACGATGCACAGTGACTCAATCTGCAGCAAGATGATGCTGCCGGTCTTTGGAGGTGGTCTGTGGGTTGTCCTTGACCATTCTCACCATTATTCTTCTCTGCCTCTGATATTTTTCTTGGCCTGCCACTTCTGGGCTTAACAAGAACTGTCCTTGTGGTCATCCATTTCATAACTATGTTTCTCACAGTGGAAACTGACAGTTTTAATCTTTGAGACAACTTTTTTGTATCCTTCTCCTGAACGACTTTGTTGAACAATCTTTGTTTTCAGATCATTTGAGAATTGTTTTGAGGCCCCTATGATGAATCTTCAGAGGAGATTCAAACAGAACAACTTGCAACTGGCCATGTTAAATGCATTTTCTCATGATTGGATACACCTGGCTATGAAGTTCAAAATCTTAAGGAAGTTACTAAACCAATTTTGTGTTTCAGTAAGTCAGTGAAATTTAGTTATGGGTAATGAAATCAATAAAATGATTTGGGTACCCACATTTTTGCACTTGTCAAGTTTTGTTTCAATGCATACTGCACATTTTCTGTTAGTCCAATAAACCTCGATTAAATTCTGAAATATTGCTGTGTCCATCAGGTATTAGATATACCAAACTAAAATAGCTGATGAAAACACTCAAATATAATGTGATAATGAAGAATAATAGGAGTGCCCAAACTTTCTTTATATGACTTTGTATATATAAATATACATACACACACATATAAATATATATACATATAAACACTAAGTATAAAAAACTACGATCATCTCCATACCTTAAGTAAGCTGGAAAGGTCATCATCTTTATGTTTCTGTAGCTACAAAACAGTGGATAATGTTTAGTTACCAAACAGAGAAAAGACAAAGGAAAGACTACAGAATTGTTTTAGCAATAATTAGCAGTGCAGAGTTTCATAAAAGAACAATATACCCTTTTTTTAAAGTACGTTCTCCACTTGTGATATTCTCTGATAACAATTTCAATTCTTCTTTTCCAGTTTTTTCCATCTGAAGCAACAGCCTGTGAGAGAAAAGAAAGAAACAGGAAGTCTCAAAGAGAATGCAGGGAAAACACAAAGCCATGTGAAAAAACAATGTACATAAAATTATTTGGTTGCAATTGCCACAATAATCTGTCATTACCTCCGCAGGACGATGGACGTCTAAATCCATGTTTCCATCCAGGGGGGTAACAAAGTGACACACAGGATTTCCCCTTTTCTCCACATCTAAGGGAAGACATCAAAGCCTCAGTTCACTCTCAGGTCAAAATATAAAAACATCCATGTTTTTTATCACCAATATTCTTTCCCCTTTAATAAGACTGCACATTTTAATTCCTAAAGCAGGAGGCACTTATATAAATAGTCTGTCTGCCCATCCATTATACCACGCTTTATTAAGTGTATCCGAGTAACCTAAATTAATTTAAACACCAACATTTTGAAGATTCAACAATATTTATATTAAAATGCAATTCAAAGCACAGCTTATACGTTTATTTAGTCGCAGATATTGCTCAATGAATATTAATAACTGGATAAAATGCACAAACAGAAGAGCTTTAAAACAAAAAAAAGGCAAACCAAGAAGACGAACTAGATCCTGATGTCTTTATTAATTACACTGTAAAAATGTAACCACATAGAAAATCCTCTATAGACTTGAGTTCTTACACTGCATATACCAGGCTCTCCATATGGCGTTGTTCAACCGGATCTTGTCTCTCCAGAGCAGCTTTAGACCTTTAAAGTTCTTCCATTTAGGAGACACCAACTTTCCACTGAAAGGTAAAAGAAAAGATCAACATTCATTAAATCAAAAGCTTCATAGAAATAGTCAGTTTATTTTCCTAAAATTTAAATCTATGTTTGCACATTATGCTAATTTTATGTAACAAAGACAAAGTAATGTATAGTTATGAAGAGGGGAAAAAGATTAGGAAATGACTTTAACTCTTTTACAAATAAAAATGTAATATGTGCTGTAGCCTGGCCAGCAAGACTGTATTACTCTGTAGACTCAGATTCTATCTGACTGGACCAATCACAGCTCAGAGGTCAGGACTTTACGATGCATGTGCCAGAATTACCCATAATGCAGCATTGTGTTCCTGCAAGCATAACAACAACCTGGTGACCGCAACGGAGCAATGTTGCAATCAAATTAAGAACGTAATAGAGAGTACACCTTATATCCTTAGATTGTTTAGGAGAAATGGACAGAAATCATTCACTGGAGAGTTTGACGCATTAAAATGTTTCAGACTAACCATGAGGCTGACCCCCTTAGTTTCATCTTTGAAATCAAACTACCAGCTCTTTACCGGATTAACACATATAAATAATATAATATAATTAATACATAGCTGTGAAGTGCGTATGTAACTGACCCTTTGCTACCATTGCATACACCAAGAATTAAAAGCAAATCAACTAACACCAGAGGTCAAGCCATTAGTTACTAGAGTCTGAGCACAATTTAATGTCATTAAGAATCCAGCTGTTTTGTGAAAAATATTTCTTAGGAAGCAAACAGCATCATCAAAACTAGGAAATTGATCAAGCATCAGAATTAGGTAATAACAGAATAAACAGATCAGTATAAAAATGGAAAAAGTATGTTCCTGTAGCAAACCTTTAGGCCATCTGCCTAAATGGTAAATGGTAAATGGCATGTACTTATATAGTGCCTTTATTCAAGTTAGGAGACTTGACCAAAGCGCTTTACACTACATTCATTCACCCATTCACACACACACTGATAGTGGCAAGCTACATTGTAGCCACAGCTGCCCTGAGGCTCACTGACAGAAGCGGGGCTGCCGTACACTGGCGCCACCGGGCCCTCTGACCACCATCAGTAGACAATGCAGGTGAAGTGTCTTGCCCAAGGACACAACAACACTGAAAGTCGGAGTTGGGGCTTGAACCGTCAACCCTTTTTTCAGGGCAAACTCCTACATCCAACGCCACTGTCGCTGACTAAATGTGCAACAACTGCATCAATCGAGGGAAGAGAAGCAGCCAAGAGGTAAATAACGATAACAGCTAAAATGACCTGCAGAGGACAGACTGTTCATGATCAGAGAATATCAAGCAAATCCTATAAAACATCAAAAAGTTGACATCTAAGAGCTATACAATCACAGTGTAGGATCAGCAGGGTAGACCAAGGTCAAAATCTCCAAGAAACTGCTGTTCATAACATATTCAAAAGGTAATTCACTGGTAACAACAACTGAATGGTGACAGCTCTATTAATAGTTGTTCCAGTGGGGCTCATTTAGAGTGAAGTTGGAGGGAATCCTCCGAGCAGCTGGCAGTGACGCTGCAACTGTAAATAGAGAACCATGGGTAATATGAGCCTCACTTTTTTTAATCTTACTACCTCCCAACATATCTGGGAGATGAAGTTTTACTTCCAGCACAAAGCCAATATAACCGCTTTTTTTATTGGCTATGGAAAACATAGTAGGAAGATTAGAGTATAAGGGACTTCTTTTATGATTAATTGTGTTCAAAATTAAAGTAGAGGTACAATATTTTCATTTTAATGACTTATTGTACAGGATTATTCAATACTGTTTTTTCAGACTTTAAATGTGCAGCTCAAAAGTCATAGCAACAACTCTTTCCTTAAGACATTTTTTCAAAAATACAGTAATATGTCCACAGAAGTGGTGCGAGATATATTTTGCTGGGTGAAAAGTTTGTAAATATTTACTTCTGGTTTTGACTTCAACATCAACATGAAACGATTCTGCACTAATAGGATTAGTAAGATGAAGTCATGAGAAACAGAGCTGGTTTTGCCACATCCTATTGGCTCTAAACGAGCTGAAAACGATCTGCTTTGAATTTATATGATTCAAGTCAAAGAAAACAAACTAGAAGCAAAGAGAGGGTGAACGTCGGCCAAACTTTGGTGCATTAGTGCAGTTTAAAGGAATGGGCTTCAGGAGACAAACAATGGTTGTGGCATTTAGAAGCGGAGAGTTTCTATCAGCACCATATACTGGAGAGTTTAGATGCAGCCCCTATATTCTGATATTTATTTTTTTGCTGAAATTTAACAGATTGTTGTAACCAGTATTGGATCAGACATCTCTAATACTCTTATTTTTTAATATTTACGAATCAATCTTAGGAAAAAATATATATTTTCATTTTGTTTTTATCCCTTCACTTTTTTAGTAAGTATTACCTGTTTATCTTTGATTATTCCATTTTCATTTTTGTTACTGGCAATATTAGCAAGTTTAATATTCTTTTCAATTTGCCTGCTGATTGTTTTTTACTCAATCAGCTTTTCAGGTATTTACAGGTATAGAAGGTTATTCGTGCTGTGATACCAATAATTTACTCAAATGGATGATATTTGCCTACTCAAGAACCCATATTATTCTTTGGGAGTGTTAGTTTTGCAGTCAGTACTCTTGGTTCATTACATTATCCAATTTTAGTACACCAAGGTTGTATTTTTTTATACTTTGTTCCATCATTTTAACTGCCATTAATGAGATGCTTGAGAAGGAGGCAGAGGATCCACTGTTTTACGGAGTGAACAGAGCAAAGACTATCAGTATTGTCCATCCTCTAGGGCCCCGTTACAGAAAGTGGGGTAAATCTGCTCTTGAGTAAAGAGGAGTTTTTTTGAGCTAACTTATTTGGCTCTGTTCTATTCAGGATTTCTGGTTTCAGAAGGGTGATTTTGATCAGCTAACTCAGCTTAGATTTCAAGGTGAGTATATAAGAAGCCCTGATCGGTTGAACCTGAAAAACACGATCCATCATGGAAACGGGAGGAAATAAGAAGCCTCAGAGTACCCATTTCTTGCCAATCGAGAGTAAAATATTAATGACGGCATATGGAAAATATAAAAACATTTTAATAAAATACTGTTCCTGCTTCAAAAAAAGTGTTCGGTTTGATAGAGAATTAAAGTAGCATTCTCAACAATAATTTACAACAAAAAAAAAAAAAAATGTGTTTGTGCACATAAAATATGAGTATATCCTCATAAAATGTTTAAAAAACAGTTAAATCTGGTATTATGGTTATATTTGACCTTTATTAAATGAATTAAACATCTGTTGACGTTTATTCTTAAAAAGCAGTTATTATTTTATAAGAATTTAAACCTTAGGAGTATGAGAAAGAGCAGACATGCCACTGAAAGCAATATTTTTCTGTACCTACAGCAACCTGTGAAATTGCTGTACCAGGTGTCTTTACAAGAAGCCATAGAAACGTATTTAATCAAAAAGGAATCTAATCTAAAAAGTTGTTTAAAAACTATCCTTCATGCCGTGTCCTGCAGGTTTTAGAGGTTTCTCTGCTTCAGCACAGCTGATTCTGATGGTTGCAGTTCAGCAAAAGCCTGTTAATCAGCTCTGAATGGAAATCAGCTGTGCTGCAGTAAGGAACCCTCTAAAACCTGCCGGACAGCAGCCTTCAGGACCAACTTTGGACAAGCCTGATAGAGAGTTAGTGACTGAAGCTTTCGTGGCAGATAAAAGAGGGTAAATTACTCTACCATATTTGTGAAGCTTTTTTGTATGAGCAGCTGCTGTAAAATATAACTGAACAAAATCTAAGCTATTCAATGACAGAACAGAGGAAATAAACAATGAACACAATCTGGATTCGAACGAAAGGAAAATTGTCCTCGCTGCCAAAGGAGAAGGATGGCAGAAATTATGAACGATCTCAGGGGGATTTGAGCATTATGGTAACAGTTTAAAGGTAAGTCCCCAACAGTCTGCCTTCAGGATAAAATCAAAGTGCAACACAAAGAATTTGTATCATATAAGCCATTTGTGTCTGAAATAAAACAAAATGATTGACTCTGCATACATAGTGATGCTTAAAAATCTACAAACATGTTTTAAAAAAGGCATCTTATCATGTAAAGTATATTGAACATTTGCTCCCAACAATTTACAGGCTCCTGTAGAAAAGGACATATTTCTGATGCCATTGCCTTAATGAGCAACAAACTAAGGATAACTGAGATATCCTGCTACAGAATATGTACGGGATGATTTCATCAAAGGATAACGGCTACCTGGCTTTCTGAAACCAACATATCCACGGATGCAGGGATTTACCCCTTAAACTTATTCTGACTAATCCCATTTTCTAAAAGACAAACATTACCACATGGAAATGTTTCAAGCTGTGAAAACTAAATAATCACCATCCATCCATCCTGAAAACTTGTTGAAAACTGTATTTGACAAAACTACTAGCTGCATGCCTGTTAAGTCGAACAAATTGGCTATTAATGTTTAAAGGTAATTAACCAGCCATGATAACAGCTCCTTCGTCTAAAACAAGTACAATGGGAAAGCTTTCTGCACAATAAACATGATTACTTCAACTTAGGGCTGCAACTAACGATTATTTTGCAAATCGATTAATCCATATTTTTTTCAATTAATAATCGGATAGCCAAAGGTTCCGTAAAGAAGAATTTTTACAGAATTAAACCAGGTGAAACTCTTAACTTTTCCTATTGTGGAGTTCTGGATATAGCATATTAACAGATGAGCACTTCATTATTTTATACCCTTGGTATAATTACTGCTCTAAGTGCTCTCGGTCAGTTAAAAGACTTGTTTTAGAGTCTGTAAATACTTTAAAATTATATCTCTAAGATTTTCCAGGTTGAGAGAATCTAATAACACCCTATGCCTAATCGGTGATATGAAAACATCTGTAAATCTAAATGAAATATTTTTCCAGTGTTTTTCAACCCTGGTCCTCAGCGCACACTCCCCTGTAGTTTTAGACTTTTTTTTCTGCTTCCACAAACCTGATATTAATGGAAGATGCATCTGTGGAAGATAACATTCTTTCTATACTGCAATCATTTCAATCTGGTGTTTTTAAAGCAGAGAAGCATCTAAAGCATGCAAGGCAGAGCGAAATGAGGACCAAGACTGGAAAAACTGGTGTAGCTGAACATTAACTGACCCACAAATCCTCATCGTAGGGAAAAAAAATGGAATGTAATCTAAATCATGTTATCTTGACAGCCTCACTCCTATTTAGGGGGCTGGAGCTGTGCTGACTTTGCAGCAAAATGTCCACAAAAAAAAAAAGGAACTTTGCAGTTCAGAAGAAAGAAATGAAGGAAAACACCCGATCTGTAGGACTGTTTTGGCAAATCTGAACACAAATGACTTATTTAAATCTATTTCCAACTAAGAAAGTTAAGATAAATGCAGACTTGTGGCTTGAACAAACTGCACAATCAGACTGTATCAAATGTAGTTTCTACCTTGATAACATTTGGTCACATGTTGCATAACCTTATAAAATAGGCTATATGTTTATAATGGGCCATTTTGGTTTGCAGACCAGTGTTGCTTTGCTGGTAATGCCTTGTTATTGTAACTTCCACAGCTTGTTACAGATAACTGAATACATAGTGTGGGAAATTATTTCACACCCAAACAGAAGTCACTGAAGCTTATGGCAGGACTGAGGCAAGGCAGGGCAAGTCAATTTGCACCACTGAGACAAGGCAAAGCAATTTGGTGCAACTCAAGGATTGGTGCAACAGGAAGTTAGGGGAATGGAAGCCTCGTGACTGTAAAAGGCTAGAGACGAAAGCTGGACGTGAGATTTGAAACATCATTTTTACATTTGTACACAGAAAGGAGACATGCTGCAGCTTACCTATAAGCAAGGGTCATGCACTCAAAAAGTTTAGTCAACGAAGCATCAATGGAGAAGTGCGACGTGCTCGCCTTTCCAAAATGATAAGTCTGACAGGTCTGTTTGTTGACAGTATCGAAATCGTAACCCTTCTTCGGTGGGTGCTCGCTGTGCGGCGAAGACACCATAAAGTGCCCGCTGTGGATGATCTGGGACTCCAAGCCGTCCGCGCGGCGGAGCCCCATGTGTGTCTCCTCCACGTCCGAGTCGTCATCTTGCTCTTGCTTTATGCTGGCCGCTGGCCGTCGATAAGTTGATCGCTGGCATATCTCTCTGGTAGCCATGTCGGCAACTCAACAACAATTAGCTAACCTTAGCCACTAAGCTAGGACAATAAAGCTCTTCCTTTCATGGGGCTCGTGGTCGCTGACGGCTCCGGAAAACACGTTTCTGGTCCGGTTGTTAAAGTTTTCCAACTGTGTGCCATGAAGGCAAACTACTTAAGGCATCATACAGAAAAGTTTGCCACTGCTTATTAGCGGCAGGAGTTACGAGGTTGATATCTTGTATATAGTTGACGCAGCTGGCAAAGGGCTGCTGCTCCCTGTGTTAAGCCGTATCTGATTGGTCAGAGTCACAAGCATGTTCTACAACAGTGCCGCTGATTGGTCAGATTTGGAAACCCCACCCACACTTTAGAGCCTAAAATAAACCGAGACGCCGGAAGATGCATCAAATTGGAAAGTGTTCAAACTAATTTAAACAGGTTTGATTTGATCAAATGTAGAGTATCTTTTTTTCCCTACTGCAGAAGCATGTATTCATCTAAGAAAAGTTAGATATTTGTCAACATCGATCATTGCGATGATCATCCTAGTCAACAACATTGGAAGTAGAAATGGGAGAAATGCCGTTAGATTTAAGAAGAACACATCAGTAAAATTACAAAGCTATAACTTGTATAATCCAAACACGAGACATTTCAAAGACGAGCTGAGAAAAAAAAAAACAAAGATATAAAATAATTTGGATAGACCATTGGAAATAGGGCAGAAGAATTTAAAATAGCCTACAAAATATAGAAATAAATCCATACCTCTAGCTGTTATACCACCCTGGATTTCATCAATGGTACACATGCATTTATTGGAAAAGAAAGAAAGAAATGAAAGGGTTTTTGGAGAAAAATAAATAAAAAAAAGCGTATATAAAAAGTAATGATCAATAATTCAAATTTATACAGATCTATAAAAAATAAATGAAAAAGTAGGAGTAGCAGTCAAAGTACCCGGATTTCAAGTCAAGATGAGAAAGCAATTCCCTGATCGTTTATCTGTTTACAGTGGCTGGAGGACATTAGACCTTTAAAAAAAAAACAACTAGCTCAGATTCATGCTCCATATTGATGAGTGTAAAAAAATAACAATTCAGATTGATTGGTTTAACAGTAATAGTTCTATGGATACTGGATCATATTGGATAGCGAAGATGGCAAATAAAAAAACAGTGCATATCAGTAAACCAGAGACAGAGTATTATTAAACAAAAACTGAATGACTGAAAATATGGTATAGAGAAAGTTAAGGGAGCAGCTTTATGGGATCAAAAAAGTCAGTTGGGGAAATAAAAGGAAGAAGGAACAGAATCCAGGAAAGAATGATAACAAGGTTAGGTTTTGACTCAGGATTGAAGATAGAAAAACAAAATACAGGAAAATTTGATCATTGTGAGGAAAATGAAACAATACAGCATGTTTTATTAGATTGTAAAATATATACAATAGAAAGAAATTACATATGGTGAGAATTTGAGAACATTTAAGAAACATTTAATATAATAGATATGTTACAGGGAAATCTAGGAAACAAACACATTCAGAATATTCTAATACTTTAAAAAAGAAACATAGCTTTAAAATACAATTTGATTATATACTATATCACAAACCACACTCCATACCAGTCATCGGTGATAATCAATACTTAAAGGTTTTTGCAAACCACTAACAAAACACAAGGAGATGCATTAAGTTCATTAAAGTTAAATTCCAATCAATATTCTGGTGGAGTGGATAAATAAATCAAGCTGTATAAGTATTGTAATTTCTTGTTTTGATATGTTTTGTATTGTACACAAATAGTACAAAATATACTCTTCCTAACCAGAGAAACCATCTTCCTTTAAAAGTACTAGACAAAATTTAAAATTTTCAAAACTATCTCAAAAGGGTTTCAAACTGACTTTATTCAAGCAATTGTAATTATTAAATACACAAAAGGCCTTTGGTTTGCATGCAATGTTTTGATAAAATAGATATATTTTGCAATTTAAGGTAATTTTATGAACAGCTCCATTAAAGTAAATACTGTTTTTTTTAAACTAAACTAGGCTCAACATTTAAACACTCTAAGAAAATAATATTTTGCTATACTTACATGTTTTGACACATAAGTTTCAAACTAGTTGGAGTCAACCATTTTTGCTCAAAGAAGGCATCAAAATGAAAGGTCATTCTTTTAAATCAGTACATATATAAACATTTCATATCAAAATAAGAACATAAATGATAAAATAGTTTTAAGAGGTATCCTTTTTTCCATGAGGACATCGTCTCCATGACGAGCTGGCAGGATGTTGATGTCATCATTCTGAAGGGGAAGTGCTCTGTGCGTTTCGAAATGGCAGGCCAAGGATGTGATCTGTAAATGTCTCTGCAGATATCTCTTCTGGGATAATATTCCCTTCACCTGTGCAGATACAATAAACAGAGATTTATTTTTCAAGAGTTTTCTGTTGATTTCAGCGTCTATAATTTGTGTTTTTCTGTGCTCACAGTGTGTCTCTTCTTCTCCTTCATTTTTATTGACCTGCAAAAGGGTAGCAAAACACTCTGCTACCTCCTTTTCTGTCATGTGTTCTCCTGTTGGGCATATTATAGTGATGCACATCACAGATCATGATCATCATCAAAGAAAGTTTACACTGACATCATAACAGAGAAAGCTTTCCCTTATTTTAGAAAACCTGTCAAAAAAAGAGACAGAAAGATTTAAAGTGTCCTGCAGTTTACCTTCAGCCTGTAGAAGTTCGAGCAGATCATTTTTCAGAAGAACAGGCACCTCTGTCCCTTCCTTTTTACCAAGGACATGAAAAGCTTGAACAAGCTCCTCACTGGAGATCCCAAAGGCTGGCCGATGGTTGATGTACAGCTTGATGAACTCCTCCAGGCCAATGTCAGTCACATGTTTTCCAGTTTCAGCAAATTGGCTGAATTTGATCTCATTTTGCATGTCTTCTAACTGATAAAGATAACACGGCAAACTATGATACAGTTTCTTGTGATTTTAAAAAACAAAAAAATTTTGTAACATTCTTTGTACCTCTTTTTCTGTAGGAAAGTGTCCCAAAGCTCTCACTAGATCAGGAATATCCGACAGAGGAATTTTGGCACACACATTCGGTCTCTTCAGTACTGCAGCACCTTGGTGACGGATTATACAGTAATAGAAAAAGTCCTCCATCTCCTGAAGATGTAGATACTTTAAATATTAGGAGTGTATAGATAACATGACAACAACTTTCTGACATTGTACTTTTTTATTATCGCTTTAAACATGGTTAAAATACATTGGAATGAATAAGGAGTTAGCCCTTTTCGTATTTCTTGTGTTTTCCCGTTGTTTACAAGCTAGGACTGATTACTGAATTAAAAGCCAGTCTGGGAACAGAAGGCAGGCTTTGGGAATCGCTCACACCCTAGTGGCAGCTGTTATCGTTACAAGGAAAAGTGGGGAACCTTCCTAGGAGAGGCCAGCATTTCAGAATTATTGCACAAAGAAGGAGGTACCACAGAACACAGAACAGCAGCACTGTAGCCATGGGGGAGTGTTCGCGTAGTCATTAGAGCAGTGCGCTTGTGCTTTTAGAAGGTTGCGAGTACCAGGTTTGATCCCCACAGCTTGCACTCTGGGTCTCTGAGTAAGACCCTTAACCCCACACTGCTCCTCTGACAATGGAAGCCCACTGCTCTTCAAGGGGATGGGTTAAATGCAGAGGTTTAATTTCTGCAGTGTAAAGTTAAATTGTTATTATTATGTCCTCGTTATTGTTAACGATATGACAATAAGAAAAAGACTATTCTGTTTCTTGATATGATGGGAGAATATAGGATACACGGGGATCTCCTGCTACACTAGGGGCATTGTTCTAGCATTTCACCTTGAATGTGTTTTCAAGTACATGATTCACAAAATTAGCCTTTGATCCACATATTTAAATTGTAAAAAAACATTACGACTTTTAATAGTCTAGTGACGACCAATAATGCAAGTTCTTACATAAAGTATAATTCTGTCTCCTGTAGTGGTGCTTCCAAACACAAATTAGTTTTTTAGTTGCAGTGTTGGATTATTGTGTTGTTCCTTTATGGTGGATGTGGAGATTTATTAAATCCTTAACTCCATACATCACATTTTAAAATCAGTTGATAGTAAGACAGGCACAAAAACCTAAGATCATTGTTTGTTTAACCTTTAACTCACCCTGTAAAACCTGCCATCTCTTCCACCATCGAGCATTGAATAAAAAGGCTCCATGTCTTTTCCACCCAGGGCAGTGGCTGCATGCAGTACGCTATGATTATAGGACAGAGGACCAGGATCAGGAAAAGTCTTTTTACTTTTTATGGATTGTCTCTGGTTGACCACAGGATAGAAGCAAACCTTACTCTAAGTTCACCCTCCATGACATGACTAAACTGTCAGATCTTCCTGCTGTAAAGAGAAACTTTCCATCATAGGAGCAGGCAAATGAAGAGACACCGGTGGGATGACAAATCAAAGCGGTGGATTTATAGGGGTTCCCATCCAACGGCAAAATCTGAAGACCCAACTGGAAGAGGTAATAAATCACTGTTTCAGTTTCAGTTAATAAATCTTCTAATTAAAGAGCTACCACGATGGAATGCTGCTCACTGTCTGACCTTGTCCTCTGTGATGAATGCAAGATGATATGAGCTCATCTGAGCATCTTTTGATTTGGGAAGAACCAAGATTTGCTTAATTGGAGAACCGTATGTTGGGCCAAGAAGAGTCTTTCTGTTTTTTGTAGAAAATGCATAGTTTAAATTATGCTATCTGTAAGAAATTACAATTCTTTCATAAGATTACAGACCTGCATGTCAGTGTTTTGCTGTTAAAAAGTTTCATCTTGTACTGGTCCGATGCAACGAGAAGGAGCTCCTCTGCGTTGAGAGGTGGATGCCATACTATGCACTGTGGCACCGCACTTTGCTCAATGCGCTCAGAGCGAAGGAGGAGGAGCTTGTCCTTGTGACTGTTTTTCAGATCGTACTCCACCTGATGAACCATACATATAAATAGATGAGGAAAAGCTGCAGCTTTCAGAAAAAGAACCCCAAAACAGTTCAACAACAGTTTAAGCATAGTGACATAACAGAAGACTACACTTTTTGTTTTATTTTCTCTAAAAAATGATCAATTATCGTAATGTGTAGCTTGAATAAAAAGAATGACAGGTGGAAGTAGCGAGTGCCGATTAGGCATTTTCAGCATCACATATCTGTGAACAAAAGTGACTCAATAGCTACATACAGGGAGACGGTATGTATTTCATGGTACATATTTTTACCACTGGCAGACATATATTAACCCATCATTGAAAATAAAGAGCCTTGATTTTCCTAAGTGTTAAAGTTTGCTATATGAGTCATTATTCTGGTTTGCAAAAGGAAAGACTTGTAGCACTGTGAGGCAACACCCTTATGGCCCTTCCACCTCTAAAATTAGTTTGGTGCTGCTTGACATTCTAGAAAATTACCCTGGGAGAAAATCCACCATTGCAATGCATTCTGGGAGATGTCCAGAGTAGATTTAATAAAACTGCAATCTTCCAGACAGCTCGTTACTGTGTCTCATATCCTGTCTGAAACTGCACCTACGCCTCCTTCTCACCACACATTGCCACACAAATGGCATGCGGTAGCTAAAAATTCATGTCTGCATATACTCCCAGTATTTTGCACATTCTGAAGATCAGAATATGTTTTCAATGTTTATTTAGCCAAACACACTAAGTTGACTGCATCTGCAATTTTCCCTCATTTTACAGATATAATTCTGGCTGTGCCAGTAACTAGAGCAGCGTTTTCATTGTTTTTATGCAAACCTATCGTAAAGAAAAGAGCTGTTGTTCATTGGTAAAAATTAAATTTAAAATCTTATTTAAAATGACCTTTTAGGTTGGCCCCAGGGTTTGGTGGAATATTTGAGGGTTCACAATCAAGGTTGCTCAAGGTAAAGAGTGAGGTTTTGAAAAGAGGTGTCATCTGCACTTCATGCTTTCTGCTACTGACAAGCTTTATGAAAATACTATTTTCATTTCCCAGTTTATTTCCCATTTATAGTAGATGGATACATTTATTGTCTAATTTAATTTTATTGGACTTGTGTATTATTCTATACTTATGTTGAATTAGATTTTAAAATGTTACTAGTTGTATCACAGAATCCTCAATTGCTTAGAAAATATCACTCTCTACAATGAAGGTTGAAATAATTGAAAATTAAACTTTTAACTTGAATTACAGAAATAAATTAAATTCTCAGTGATATTAAAATTTCTTGAGATGTATCTGCAAAGCCAAAGAAAAATAACTGGATTAAAAAAAAAGTCAGCTAACCAGTTGGCGGTCTGATCCCAGGGACAGCAGTCTTGGTTGGGCGCTGTCTAGATGAACCCCAAAAAGAAGGTCTTTAATGGGCTTGTTGTGATAGCAGTACCTGCCCAGGTACATCCACTGAGGAGATGCGTCTTTGTTTGTCTGGGAGCAGAAGACGGTCACTGCTTTACCGACATCCTAATAGTGAAAAGAAAGATTCAGCCTGATTTTTATTTTTCACAGGTTGGAAAGAAAATCAGTGATCCATGATATGTTATTTTCATCTACTTAGAGTTTAACTTTTATTGTAACCAATGCTTCTTAGTTTTTCAGTAAATGCAACACAGATAAATACCAAATTTGAAAGACTTGCTTACAGCAGTGGCAAGGTATTGGGAGTCTGAAGAGAAAGTGATCAGATCGATGCTGTCTGTGGCACAGTGGAAGCATTCGTCAGGGTTGTTTTGCAAAGTGCAGGCATCCAGTATGTAAACAGCTCCAGTCCCAAAGCCCACTGCCAAGAATCTTCCTGCAAAAAAAAAAAAAAAAAAAAAAGACAACAACTGATAAAGTAAACTTAACTCATAATACAAATAGATAAAACTTAGCATGGACATTTTTTATGTATAATGTCTCTTTCATATAACAGCTGCACACCTTTTGGGTCGAAAGCAACACAGTTTATATGTTTCTCTTCTTCAAAGACCCTTATGCCAGAGATTAATTTCTGGTTATGATCCCATAGTTTCAAAACGCCACGTTGGTTGCCCAAGGCTACAGTTGGGTGGGAGGGATGACATGCCACTGCATGGAGAGGGGCATCATCATTCTGTAGAAGAGTCTGAGTGCCACCAGATGTGTTCACATGTATGACTTTGAAACTGACAGTGGAAACAAGAAAATTCCTGCAGAGGAAGGAGACTAGAATTAAAAGCAGTGATTTTGGAAAAATACCTTTGAATTTTTTCACATTTGATCACATTACAACCACAATCTTCAATTGGATTTAGCTGGAATTTTGTGCGACTGACCACATCATCATCACATCAAGTTGTCCAAACTTGGAAAAAAATATGATGCACAACATTCACAAAAGCCTAATGTAACTCTAGGCGGATCCAGACAGGCGCCATCAGGGGTCAGTGCCCCTGTAGAGTTGGTTCCGCCCCAGTTCTTATAACTAGTGTTATAAGAACTGGGGCGGGGATACCAGTATCGGACGGCCCTAAAATTGTGGTATCGGTATCGGCGAGTACCAACAAATAGGGCACCCATACCATTTTGAGAGCCATAAGTTTATTCAACTATTGTCACCCACTCCTGGTAGGCAATAAAATTTTCTACTGGATTCACTTTGTATTAGATTTTTTCCTGCTTCACAAAGGTAGGCAGCAGCTTGACAAAGTCATGATGGCAATTATTTTACATTATTATGGTATCGGTATCGGCTGATACTGCACAGCCAAGTATCGGGGCCAAAAAATGGCATCGGCGCAACACTACTTATAACCCATCCATTTTCTGACACCCTGAATCCCATGTGGGGTCGCTAGGGGTGCTAGTGCCCACCTCCAGCTATCTACAGGCAAGAGGTGGGGTACACCCTGGACAGGTCGCCTGTCAATCGCAGGGCAACACAAAGATAAACAGAAAAACAACCATTCACACACACACTCACACCTAAGGAGAATTTAGAGAAGCCAATTAACCCAGTGACAACCCACGCATGCTCAGGGAGAACATGCAAACTCCATGTAGAGGAGCCTGGGTATCGTACCCATGACCTTCTTGCTGCAAGGCGGCAGTGCTACCCACTGCACACACACTATACAGTACAGTGACAGAAGTGACTGTTACTTATTGGTTCCTTAGATTAATTATATCTTTAACCTTACAGTATACATCACCAATTATTTAGAAATGAAGGTGTGTTACTTTAAGATTGAGCTTTATTAGGAAAGGATCACAGTTTTCTTCTTCTAGATTAGGGGTAAACAAGCTTGGATTTGTGGCTCACTTAATGTACTAAACAAAGTACTATTTCCCTGTTTTTTGCATATGATATTCTCTTGTTAATTGCTCCAATGAAAAAACACCCACCCCATCGTGGCTCTCATGGTAAATTTAGTCGAGAGTAACTGCTTGGAGAATCTATTAACAAATTGGTCACTATCGACTGGGCACTCAGTCCACTAATATGGCCTTTGTGAAATGGTTACTGTGTTTGTGTTATTCATATACAATCTGACAAAAAACACATTTCTGATTTTAAAATGACAAAAGATGAAATATTTCAGCAGTGAAAATTCTGCAAGGTTTGGTAACCTGCAGGATAAGATGCAATAGAATTCATAATCTTGTCATCAACTGTCATTTTGTTTCGTACAGCTTTCACGACATTTCCATTCCTTAAAGTGCAGCAATGATCAAATGTAAACAGTGTGTAAGAACTGGCTGGTTTTCATTTCACCTGATAACTAGGGGTTTTTCCTCCAGAGTGCACTCCTCCCGATAGGCCGGCATAGGTATATCTTTTGAAAAGGATATAGAAACGATTGGATCCAGGTGGAAATCTTCACAACAGCTGACAACGGTGAAGTCTTTATCATAAAACCGGATTTCACCTCTCATGTCACCTGTTACAACATAGCTGTAATAATGACATAAGCAAACTGGTCATGGGGTCAATTTAAGGTACAGGTACAGTGAACATTGGCAGCTCTGGATACCCATCATGTGTTGTGAGAACAGTGATCGGTTCTTTTGTGGAGATTTTCCTGACATGCGAGACTTCATTGATGGTCCACACCACAATGCAGTTGGCTATGGCTTTCAGGAGCCGATGATTTCTCCAGTCAAACGTAGTACGACTGGGAAACCTGTCAGCACTGTAAACCCACATACTCGGATATGGAGAAGGCTGAGCAAATACTTTGGAATCAGCTGGACTCATGAACTGCAACAGATAAATCGACATCTTTGACCTGTATATAAAAAAGCACTGTATATATCATAAGTAAAACTTAAAACATTTATATATTTACACTTTTTGTCTTCAATGCCAAGGATTCTTTGTTTCCGCTGGTCTGAAAAGAAACAGTATATTTCAGATACAGTGAATTGTGATTGCATCTGTTTGGCAATTTGTAAGAAAAAAATAGCAACTGAAGTTACTCTGTTGCAGATGAACATGTGACTTTCACCGACGCTGAAAACCTGAGTGCTGTCATTTGGGTTAAAGGTGATGTAATCCTGCCAGAACAAACCAACATTATAATCTGCTACCTCCACCAGTAAAAGACATTTAAATGGGTGGGTAGCATGCTTACTTGAAAACCAAGTTTTGGATTAAGTTCAGTACAGTAGAGGGGCTTTTGTGCATCGCTGGTCCAGTCCCATATACAAATACTCTGGGAAGATCATTACAAAAGAGAAGTAGCTAGGCATGATGTAGAGCTTAGTTAAATACAGTAAAAAAGGAAATGCCATCAAGATTACATTGACATTGTTAAAGTCAAATGCACTTCTTTGAGTATTCATATTTCATCATGGTTTAAATAACAGATCAGCCATCGTTTGTTTTCAGTCTTTATTGACAGCATCTCATTATCATAAATAATCTAGGTTTAAAAACCTCAAATATTGTTTTTTTAAATGAATCTGTCTAAACTAATCTTTTCAAACTCACCTGACATCCATTTCTCCCAAGGGTTGCCAGGTATTTTGCGTCACCTGAAAAAGCCACAGCAGCGACACCGCTGGCAGGGTGGCAATCAAACAATGTTTTCACAGGAATCCTGGAAGATTTTTCACATACAGATTTAACTTAATGAGCAAAGGCCAGAATGGGACACAAGAGATACCGTAATATATGTAAAAAAAAAAAAAAAAAAAAAAACATTACCCAGAGTAGGAATCCCATATAATCACCATGCTCGGTGAGCCACTGTCTGCTGTTGCAATCCAGCGTCTGTTCTCAGTCACGCACATGCATGAGATGGAAGAAGAGTGACCCTAAAGACAAAGTTAATGTTTAAAATTCAAATGCTTCAAAAGAAAACCTATGGAACGGACATCTTCTAAAGACCGTCTACTTTGTTTTATAAATTATAAATTTAATAAATCTATTATTCTAAGCATGCAAGCCTCTCTAAACCACTGAGAATTATATTATGAAGTTATAACTCAATTTCACTTTTAAGGTTTTTGTGTTTCAGGATGTTTTAGGGTGTGGCGGACAGGGCAATGCTGCAAATTCTATGCATGGATTCAGCTGAATCCATACATTGTTGCAGTGCATTCCATCGAACACGGCCCCAGTGTTTTTGAACAGAGAAATCTGGTGTTTTATCATTTCTTTTACCTAAGATTACATATTAACAGTTTTTAATCATTTAAATTTGACTGTGTGAAAAGAAACATTTATCAGTGGTTTGACAAACTCAGAACATATATTTATTTACATTAATTTTAATAGAACTATACAGCTTGTGTATCATGATTTGAGTAAAATACCTAATGACGTATACATATCTCAGAGTATTTGGCAATTGTTTGCACCAATGTCTTAACGTCACTCAAGCTGCTCAAAAAAGTTATCATTATAGAGGAATAATGCCTGAGGAATAATGCCTGATGATACAACAACAACTGGGATCAAACTGAAAGGCTTCCTATTTCCTCTGTATTAAAATTGCCGTCCTAATATACAGCAGATGGAAATCTGTTCTGGGTTCATCTTTACTCCCAATTAAAAAAAAAAAAAAAACTGCCTTTAACCTGAATAATTACAACACAATATCTCACATGTTTACAAAACATTACTTTTTAACAGCGCTTTACATTATTCCTGTCCCTTTTATGTTTTTCACATTCAGGCTACAATTTAGAATAAATTACTTTACTGGGGATTTATCTAATGGATGTAAAGTATCACATAATTGTGAATAAAAAAAAACAGTTGCTATTTTTCTTTTTAACAAACACTAATTGTTAAGTGGTGAACATTTGCATTAAGACCATTTAACTGTTCATCTCTATGTGAAAATCCAGTGCAAGCACCTGCACTCATTTAGCCTGCCTCTGTGATGCTGTTTTTGGGTTGAGTGGCTGGTTTTCTTCTCCTGCTCTGCTCCACCCTGCTGATTGGCAGATCAGCTTCACTTCCCACTGTCATCTCCCTGAAAGTGTTTCCATCTTGAACTCTGTCTTCAAATACCTTCCACACAACATCAGAAGGTCTCGTTGGCTGAGTGAGTCTCATTCCCATTGCTTGTGTGCTCGCCTTGCCCTCACTTGGTTCTCGTCGGGCTCTGATTCTGGTCATTAAGCTGGACTGCCTCTGCCTACCACTAGTCTATTTAAACCAGCCGTGCATGTTTCCTGTTCAGCCGCTCAAATTGACATCTTTCCATAAACCTTTTAAGCGCAACACTGTGTCTGACTGGTATATTGGGTTCTCTGCAACTACTCTGTACATCTGCCTTCAAAATTCAAATGATGATGATGGAATTTATTTTTAGTATGAGTACAGCAGTTTCAATGAAGGCCACCTATGTTTGTTGGAGAATATGAGAGAACAAACCGCACCATGAGGACCAAAGAACACCGGTGACAGATTGGGGGGAAAACTCTGGTGGAGATTCTCCTTCTGGCAGGAAAATGTCGTATATATTTTACAGCAACAGAAAGTTTGATATCAAAATGTAAAGTGTAAAAAAAACAACCAAAATACAAAGACTGTGGCAGAGATGATCTTTTCAGCAGAAAACAACCCTAAGGATTAAACCTGAGCAAATACCAGGATAATTAACATAATACACATTAAAGAGATTTAAATCCAATCTAAATCTAAAATCTAATCTTTCTTTGTTCCCATTCATTGCTCAAAGTCGAGCTTGAAGTATATATATATATATATATATATATATATATATATATATATATATATATATATATATATATATATATATATATATAAAAGAGAGAATATGCAAAAATGTCGGTATATACATGTCCAAAACTTGTGAAGACATATTTACATAGTACTATTACAGTAAAGTGACCAAAGAGATTCACTGGTAAAATAAGGGATAAAATAGTAAAAAGCAAGGTGATAAAAGCAAAAGGACAGATATAAACATTGCTGGCCTAAGTATCCTTGCATCATATCTATCTAGAATAAAAAGTCAAAGAAACATATGACTTTTTTAAAGGTCCTTTAAATATCACCCAAGCTACTTTATGGATTGTACAAGTGTGATTCAAAGTTTAGGAGCTACAGATCTTTTTTATTTTATGGCAGAGTTGTCAGAATGACTAAAAGTATTTTATTACAAATGAATAACCGGAATTCTACAAACTGTTCAAGCTGGGGAAAAATGCAAATGTGGGTCACATTTTTAGTATTTTGTTAATAAACTATTTCTATCCACTTAAAGTTTACATTACTTATAAAAGTATCAGCCAAAGCCCTACTGAGGGCAGCTCACTGCCTTTTGTTATCCTTTTTGTTTACTGCTATCCTTTCTAACACAGTCCTTACTTTCCTATGCAGTAAAGTTGACCCTGAAACACACATTTTGGATTTGAATATTTTTTGGACTCGTATGAAAACCTTTTTCTCCTCATGTTTGTACAATTGCTTAATAATTGTAGTACTTTACAATTCAGAGAAACAGAGATTATGAATAAGTTGAATACCCACTTGGTGTCATTACCTGCAGAATGTGCTGGGAATCTGTGGTGTGATTGAATATGATCCCAAAATGACCTACACCATACAGGAAAATATGCTGGCTCTGGTCTTGCAGACTAACAACAGGAAGGGTGAGATTCATCCCGAAGACCCTCTGCAGTGACTGAATGAGGTTAAGCAGAAAACCAATAAAACTCTAAATTATATATTCATTACAACAAGTGTAACATTTTCATAGACAGAAGTACGGCATGGACATGGTTGAAATCTTTGAAGTGCATTTATAAACCAGCATGCATGTGCATCTAAAAAAAGGTTAATCTGGATTCATCAGCAAACACACAGAGTGATATCTTTCCCTCTATCCATCTTCCATCGCCTATTCCGTCAGGGTCGCATTGGGGCCGGAGCCTTTCTCCGGAAATCTATGGGCGAGAGGCGAGGTACACCCTGGACAGATCGCCAGTCTGTCGCCGGGCAAACAAGAGGCAAACAACGACACACGACCATGCACACACACTCGCACCTAAGGATAATTTAGGGAAGCCAGTTAACCTATCAGTCATGTTTTTGGACCGTGGGGGGAAACCGGTGTACCCACGCATGCATGTGAAGGACATGCAAGCTCCATGCAGAAAGACCCCGGGCTGGGAATCAAACCCAGGACCTTCTTGCTGCAAGGCAGCAGTTCTACACAAACTGCTCCTCTGTGCAGCCAGGGATATCATGCCATTGCTTTCAATTCTGATACTTGCTGATAAAAAAATAAATAAATAAATAAATAAATAACAAAAATAAAAAATAAAAAAACATTCAATGATTCTAAAATAGTTTGATAGTAAAGAGAATCTATCAAAAATATATTTTATTTCCTCTGATTATTTTGCCAACCTGCATCTATATTCTCTATTGCTTGTGTACCCTATTTTAGACCACCCTTTCTCCTTCCATTTAACTTTCCATTAACCTACTTTGACACAGAATTCCTCAGCTGACCATGCATAACAATAACCTTATGATAGTCATATCACATCCTATTTTTCTTGTCAGTTATATTAAAAGAAATAAACATGAAATATATCCAGCTGTGTATGGATCCTCTACAAAAGGTCTCGTTTCACTCCCTGTGTTTCAAAATTATGTTATTGAGATATCCATACATTTATAACTTACAAATGGATGCATTGGAGGTTGAGCTGTCTTCTGAGAGAAAAGTGTGTCTTTGGTTGCTGTGCAGACTTGTGACTGTCCATGCCTATTCTTGGCTCCATCTCTGTGCTTAGACAGCTTCTCTTCATCCTCACCTGCAGTCTCACTGCTCTGCTGTCCTGCTGCACTCGCAAATGTTTGTTGCTCTTTGGGTTTCCTCTTTTTTCTAGCACCTGACATGTTGTCTGAGGAAAAACACATTATTCATTTCTGATATATATATATGTTTTTATTTAGATTGTTCATATTTCTTTCTTTATTCAAACAATAAAGAAAAATAAGTAAAAGTAAATACCAATAAATATATAAAAGAAGATGCTCAAAAGGGGATTTTTTTTTAAGTTAAACTTTTGTATTCTTTACCCTTCTAAGTGTATTACATTGATTGAAATATATCTAATTTAATCTTTAGTTTATTTTAAATTCAAGTTAATGGAAAAAAATGTTTTCCCGTCAAGTTTTAACAGCTTTTTTTTATTTTTTAAGCTTTACGATTAATTATTAGTTCAAATGAAAAGCGTAACGGTTTCTCACCAATCTCCACGGATCAATCTGCTGCTTTTTCCCTGAAGATCGATTGAAAGCTTTGAAGAACTTGTTCCTTCCGGATTCCTCACACCTAAAAAGTTGAGTCTGGTCAACTTTAAATGATCAAATTATGGTGTTTTGCGGGGAATAAAACACAAAAAAAACTTCTTAACGAAGCATTTCGTTGCCTAGCAACGCTCCAACTGAAGCGCACGGTTTGTCTTCCGGTCAAGTTTTCCAGATTAAAAGCCAAATTCTCGAGGTACGCGTTTCTGTTGACTGATTAAATTAAATTTCTATTAAATGTTTATTTTATTCACTTGTTAAATTCTAAATCATAAACTCATAGAATTACTGCAGACAAAGTGATATAAGGTTTTATTTATCTTAGTGTTGATTAATAATAATTTACAATTAATATTTAACATAGTTCAGAAAAAAGGAATTTAAATTGAATGATATTAGGATATGGTGTGCATTATTATACAAAAGAATACTGACAGTTATCCAGCAAAGACTTATTGACACCGAGGGAGTGTTGAAGCCTTTAGAAGAATATAAATGAAATGCGATGTTGAATACAGATGTCATGATGGGTTTCAGAAAAGCCCAGTATGCAGAACACCATGGAAACAAATGAAAAGTTTAACAAGTTTATTGATCACAAGCACATGGAATAAACACAGGAACTGGTTCAGGCCTGGGGGCTGGTTCACTGGAGTCTGTGAGGATGACAGTTCAGTTAGCTTGGAAGCAGATTGAGTTTGAGAGTTTCAGGTTTATACCTTGAGAAGTCCGGGTTTGGCTTTGAGAGAGGAACTGTTGGGTCCAGAGACTGTTTAGTTCAGCAGAGTCCAATAACCGCTTCAGCGTCTTACTTCTAACATGAGGGCAGACCTTGGCTTTGGGTTTCCAGCTCTTAGTCCAGAGCTGCATGGGAATCCAAAAATGAGTCTTCAGGTTTGGCTCAGAGGGCAGGCTCGGCAGGTTAAGCTCATCCAGAGCTCGCGAGGGAAACACTGGATTCCTGAAAGCAGAGACAAAAGAATTAGAATCCTATCAGGACTCAGGAGCAACAAAGGTTCTCAGAAGATGCTAGGCTCAGGTGCTAACCAAACTGGATTTAACACTGCGGCGTCGAGGCAAGGTCTGAAGGCAGGTTATATACTGTGGATCCTCTGATGATGAGATGCGCCTCAGGTGTGTCGAAGGCTCAGCTCAGGAGGATCCATGGCGGACTCTGCTGGAGAAAGGTGGAACTTCTCCAGCTCCCAACAACAGAAGATAATCCCAAAGCACTTCTATCCACTTTTATTTGACATAAAAGGTAAAGTAGAAAAAAATAGCTCTTAAGTACTAGTAACACTTTCTAAACATATTTTAAGCAAGAAAAAGTAAAAAGGATCATCCAAGAAATTATTTAACTTTAGAGTGCAGAAAAAATGTGATCATACAATGAACATTTCAAACTTGAACAGGTTATTGTACTTTGTACAATGAAACAAAATAAATCACATAATTTAAAACCAATAGATTTAGGCAGCGAAAAAAAATACAAAACAAAAAACCTTAGAAGTTATTTGATCTTAAAACCTTTATAATTAATAGTTTCCAAGTACATTTCATTGATTAAACTAGGCGATCTATATGTTAAAACTGTTCAAAGTATGTTAGCAGCGAGTAATACTGCTAAAGGAATAGTACACCCAAAACGTGATTAGCCTTCATTTTCTACTCACCCCCATGCTGAACAACACTCTGGAGTACTTTTTTGATATCTCAAATGCATCTGGAGATCTGGGAGGCTTCTTGCTGTCTGCTGACATTCAAATAATGGAGGTCTATGGTGCCCGAGGCAGAAAGGTCCATAAAAGTCCACAAAAACGTGTCAATATTCCTCCATACTGCTCGTCCAATGTATTCCAAGTGTCCTGAGTGGGTAGCATCCATAATTTACTCGAAACGAAGTAATTTAGAATGTTTTTAGAGCATAAACAGTAGTGTATAGGATTTCCTAAAAGCGAGTTCACGAGTCTACGGAAACCGCGGCAGACCAAACCAGATGAAAGTGCGCATTCAGCTCGGCAAAGAACTCATGCTCTTCCTCAACACTGAAGCCTCAGACATTTTTCTTTCGTTGTTTCTTTCTTTGCACAGGTAAACAGCACATTTGTTCTTCTACGCTTGCATTATCGGCAGAGCAGACGCTGAATGCGCACTTTCATCTGGTTTGGTCTGCCGCGGTTTCCGTAGACTCGTGAACGCGCTTTTAGGAAATCCTATACACTACTGTTTATGCTCTAAAAACATTCTAAATGACTTCGTTTCGAGTAAATTATGGACGCTACCCCCTCAGGACACTTGGAATACATTGGACGAGCAGTATGGAGGAATATTGACACGTTTTTTGTGGACTTTTATGGACCTTTCTGCCTCGGGCGCCATAGACCTCCATTATTTGAATGTCAGCAGACAGCAAGAAGCCTCCCAGATCTCCAGATGTATTTGAGATATCAAAAAAGTACTCCAGAGTGTTGTTCAGCATGGGGGTGAGTAGAAAATGAAGGCTAATCATGTTTTGGGTGTACTATTCCTTTAACTGTCACCTGACCCCCCAAGCTGCACATCAGCATATTACAAAATAAGGAATAATAAATTAGAACAATGAATCTTGATGAAAAATGAAAAAAAAAACAGACATCTGTATGCCACACATGTCTGCTGCTTTTTGTTTTTAAAACATCATTGTTCCTCAAAATTAGATCTCTCTAATTAGATTTAGATGTAAATCCACTGAAAGTATTTGAATGTTCACTTGTTTATCATTGTGCTCATTGTCATACCTTTACTCATTTAACAAATATGTTCCATATGTTATAATTTAATGGTATGATACTGGACGCGATCACTAGAAGTGTTTTGAATGTTACTTTCTGCTTTTTCATGATTTGACTTACATTTGGAAACCTCAACTTTAAAACATATACCTAAATTCTTTTCAGTGTTTGACGAAGGTACTTTTTATCAGTTTGATTAAACGGTATAATTCAACATGGAAAAAACAGAAAAACGGCCGTTTTATCCTTTTTCTCCTCAGAAAACGATTCGTTTTCCCGTTTTGTGGTTTCTGCACATAAAACCAAAATCCAATAAACGGCTTGATTTTTGTTTTTTTGTTTTCGCCCCCAAAACGGAAACACCAGTCAATTTTCGGTTTCAGAAGTGGGCGTGGCTTTCAAGCTCGCCGGTCCGGTGCCCTTCAAAATAAAGGCATGGCATGGAAAAACTTTCGTTCAAGTGATTACTGGAGAAATGCCACTGGACTTAAGGAGGATGAAACTGTCAATAAATTACTGGTTAAATTTACAAGGGCATGAGGAAAATCACCCTACTAAACAGATATTCAGAGAATGTTGGGAATATGGCCATAATATAAGGAGTTTTGGATGGGAAGGAAATATTTATGCAGAGTATTCTGGGATAAGTAATATAACATACTGTAAAACTGTAAGTACATCTAAAATTGCTCCATGGTTTTTCGAAATGCCAATAGTAAATTTAGAAACTAAAAAAATAGAAGAGTCTTGTGGAGGTTTGTATCAAATTATTCAGCAGCATTTAGAAGTAAGGTATGAAAATATGACACAAATATATACAGATGCATCAAAAGAGGAAAATGGTAAAACAGGAGTAGCAGTATATATTCCAAAAGAAAATATTTCTATCAAGAGAAGAACAACAGATAATTTATCAATTTTTTCAGCAGAGATGTTGGCAATTATTTTAGCATTGCAATGGGTGCTGGAGGTGAAGCCTAGAAATGTAGTTATCTGTTCAGATTCAATGTCTTGCCTGACTAGTTTTAAAAGTGGAAAATCTGAAAGCCGTCAAGATCTTTTAGATGAAGTCAGTTATTTAATGTATGGTATAAGGCAACAAAATATAAGTATTCAATTCACATGGGTTCCAGCACACAAAGGAATCTTAGGTAATGAAAAAGTAGATAAGTTAGCTAAAGAAGCAGTTAAAGTAGGAGAAATTGAATATGATGTCCCGCTAAGTAGAACAGAAATAAAAGTAATTATTAAAGATAAAATAAATAAGGTATGGCAGAAGAGATGGAATTTAGAAAAAAAAGGAAGACATTTATATAAAATACATAAAGATATTAGCATAGGATATAACAGTATAATGAGTAGAAGAGAGGAAATATGGATAAACAGGTTAAGGATTGGGCATACTAGTTTAAAAGCAGGTCTAAAAATAATAGGGAAACATCCAACGGGTAATTGTTGTTATTGCGGAGAAATCGAAGGAGTAGAACATGTGTTGATCTATTGTAGCAAATATACAAAAGAGAGGAAAGAACTGGAAAGGGTAATGGGGAGTTCAGTAAAGATGGCAGATTTATTAGGGAAGCATCAATCAGATAAGATAATTAAAGCACTTATTAAATATTTAAAAGATACAGAATTAGCTGGGAGAATTTAGTGTGTGTATGTGCGTGTGTGTAAGTATAGATAGAATTTAGTTTCATGAAGATATAAAGATATACAGACATTATATTTCTGAATTACATCTCCGTCCAGTTGATGGCGGTAATGCACACAGGATGCAAACTGCCAGAAAACTCAATAGAAAAAGAAGAAGAAGAAGAAAAACTTTCGCTGTATAGGGCTTGGTCGTCGTGACGTAAGCACTTCGCGTCGCCGCCATGTTGAATGCGTCTTTTACCGCGGCTCAGACTACTGCCTATGACTACCGGGTACTGTACTCCCTCTCAGCCGTGTTTTAATTTGATTAATTTCACCTTAACTTGATTTCAACCATGGTAAACCGTTGCTGTATTGTGGGCTGTAACAGCTCAACGCATGATCGCCATGGAAACATAGAAAATGGGTTAACTTTCCACCGCTTTCCTGAATGGACGCGTAACCATGGAGACCAAGCGTCAGAGATAAAGAGTCGTCGGCTTGCTTGGATCGCGGCTGTAAGACGACCGAACATAACTTTCCACAGTATTCCAATGTCAATGAGAGTATGTTCCCTGCATTTTCATTCTGGTAAGTTAAAGATGCACGGTTTTATTTTATAGCCTACATTGTTTCTTTCCTTCAAAGTTGGGATCTTTTACGGGAAAATAATAAAAACGGCAGCGGGAAAAGGCTCAAATACGTGAGAAACCCGGAGGGTTGGCAGTTAACGTTACTAACTACACCTCTGAAACACATAGCAGCTAGTTAAAAGTACATTACATGCGTGAGTGGTTGTTAGCATTAGCGGTTAGCAGTTGCTAAACTAGCAGGTTCCAGAGCCCGTCTGATCACAGCTTACCTTCGTACGGATTACTGTGTTCCCACTGTTTGCTGGCTTTATGATCTGCAGCTCCTGAACTCATCCATTCATGAACTGCACATGAGACTCCAAGGACTTGTAGCTTCGGAACTGTTTTGAAGTATAGGCGCTCACTCATCGGTGCTCCACTCATTGTTTGGAACTTTATATGGATCCAAATTATTAATAATGCTGATTTTGTCACCATACCGGTCCCTGGCTTCTCTATTTAATGTGTCCCGGTAAATTCCAGATCCTTTTCGGGATTTTAACATCTTTTTTCTCTCTACTTCTGTCTCTTCTTTCAACAACAACGTTGTGTCAGAGCTATGTTTACGTTTGCGTAGCCGTCAATATGACTGCGACGTCCCACAATGCAACGTGGATCCCGAGCCCTATTTCCTGCCCTCATCGTAGCTTTTGCTTGTGTTCGAAATTAAACATATATTTAGATGTAATATATATTTATATTTTCTATAGCTACAGGGTTTACTCGGAATAAAGTCATCAGAGAGATTTAACTGCGAGAGAGCAGACATGGTAAATTTGACACTCACGACAGGTATTTTAAATGACCAGCAGATGTCGCTGTGCATCAATGGGACAATTAATCGCAATATTAAGCGTATTTTACCACCTCATAGTCAATAAATGGAACATTTATGAAACGGAGGGCTGTGTGAGGAACTTCATTTTTGTGGCGGTAAAAAATCTGGAATTTTTTTAGAGATATATCTGGGAAAACAGCCAATAAAATCAGGAGTGAGGTGAAAAAAATTATCCCTGCATTTCCATGCCTGAGATGTTTGTACCTCTACAGCAAGATAATATTCTTATGTAAATACATACTGATAGGATACTATGCAAACTCAATTTTAACAGTCTTGCCGGGGCTGGGTGATTTGATTCTGCGCTGGCACATCGTCCTGCGCTTGAATTCAGATGTGCATAAAGGTACATGTTGATTCGCACATTTTAGTCGCATATGAGGGGACATGTAACATCAGGGGCTTTGGCTCAGACCCGTCATTTGTCCTTGTCCCTTTACAGTCTTTACAAATTAATTCCGTCCGCTCCAACAAAATCTGAGAACGTGAAACTGAGTCTTTGGCATGCGTAATTACGCAGAGCACCCTGCGCAATAGAGATTTGTCTGATCAAGGCAGCGATTGAGGTGACAAACCTGTCGCTGTGAAAGGGGATGAAAATGATTATAAACGTTAAGAGGTTAGAAGTGATTGGAGTTGAAAAAAATATACTTTTTGTTGCAGTAAATTCTATTAGAATAACTGTCATTCTAATTTATATTTTAAGATTCAGTAAGATCTAGAGTTTTTCAATATTTTTAAGTAATACGTGAATTATATTGTTAGAGTGAGATGTATTTAGGTTTCCTTATACCATTAAATATGAATTATTGTATGTACATACACTTACATTCTAAACAAACTTTACTATGAAAATGCAGGGTTTTGAGACGTACGCACAACGCATGCGCACTGTGGCTACAACAGGACCGACTTTCTGTGTCCAGACGTCTGAGGATCACAGAGCAACATGTAGCACTTAAGTCATTTCACAGGTAAGTTATTATTGTTCTGTTTTATTTATTATTGTTCTAACAGTTTTTTTAAAATCACAGATAAAAAGTTATTTCACTGTTTGTAGAACCTATTTTCTCCTGTGGCCCTTAAGCATTTAACTTTGGTAAGCTGTAACTATGCTTAATGAATAATTTTTAATTAACTAATTCATGCTCCGTTTGAACATGTAAATTTCAATCAAAATATAGTTGTACTTGTGAATCTTTTGTTGATTCAGATCAAAGAGGAATTCAGGAGAACAACAACCATTCCAGTGGATCAAACCAGGCAAAAACTTGACAAATACACACGAAAGCTGATGAAAGCCAGGGGAGGAGTTTTGGGGCCCAAGACGAGTTTGCTCCTGGACCGACTGAGTCAGGTGTGCTTGTTTTGCTTGTTGATATGTTTTACAGGGAGATGGACCTACTTTTTTCTGATTCACAGACAGACCAAATTCTTTGGCAATGCAGTAAAGTGTTTCATGTAGATTAACAGGACCATCCCAGTATTTTTCTGTTCTTTGTGCTCTACTAGGGATTTAACAATATTACAATACTACTCTACCTACCTCAATAACAAGCCTGTGACATTTATTGCATTGTAAGACACCATTGATGTATCAGCATTGACATAACTTATTACTTATATTTATGAAATAAAATAGGATGTCTTGCTGCCCTCAGCTGCCTGTCTGTCCCCACCTCACTGACTAACTTTGCTCCTTCTCCATCGCTCCCTCAGTCACCCACTTCATCTCGCTCTTTCTCTGATATCTGGTCACACGATCGGTTCAAGACACCCCTAGGTCTTAAACTTCCCTCACATGCTCATTGTGTATTTATAATGCTTATGTTTATGTTCTTAATCTGTTCACAGAAACAGAGCATTGAGGTGAGAAGAGAAGCCATTATCTTCAGCCTTATACTGTACCATGGGAAGAAGGAATATGACTTTTTGAGGATTGCTTGGTAGGTCATGTTTTCAAACATTTAAAAATAATCTTGAACAAGGGGTTCATTTAAAGGGACATAGTGTTTGAAAGTGATTCATAAATGGGTAATTATCGCAGCATGTTACCATTGTGAAATTTCTTTCAGACACTCCGGCTAGGTTTAGGTTTCCTGCTTTATTTTATATAGTTTTTAATATTTTAAATTCAAATATTGTATAGAAAGAAAGAAATGCATGGAAACCAACTGTGTTAGACCGCTGTCTCACATCAGATGGGATACCCTCACAGCACAGGGGAAGAAGCTGTTTCTGAGTTTATTAGTTTTTGATTTGATGTTTCTGAAGCGTTAATCTGTAACAATATCTAGTATAAGTCAATATCTATTATAAGTCATTTTGCCTTATGTAACTGTGGTGTAAATAATTGTATGGTGAACTTATTGGTTTGCTACAAGAGTGATTGACTTGTAATGTTTGTATGTTACAGTTTACGATGGCTAAAGCGATGGCAGTGGTCAGAGGCCACTCTTTAATAAACAACTGAAAAGAGAAAGAAGTTTGGTTATTGGAGTGTCGTTGTCTGGCTGTCTAGCCGGCTGAAAAGTTGGGAAAACTCAGGGCGAGGACAGCACAGTGATGTCAGTAACTCTGTTTTCAAAATCTGACAGCTATGAGATTGTCCCAGGATGCAAGAGTACAGCGAAAGCTTGTCCACTGCTTATGGGACTGATTTATGCCCTGAACTGTGCATACCCTCCTATTTTGTGCTACACTTTTAAAGTCCTCTAAGAACTCTTGCTGGAGATGGATCAATTTAAACTCTACACAAAAGAAAACACCCTGAAGTGAAAGTTACTGTCATGATTCTGTCTTCCTAGAGGAGGAAAATATTTCTGTAATGAATGTTTTAACTCTGACAGTGTTGTAAACTTTTCACTACATATTTAAAAAACACTGTTCCAGTTTGAATGTAAAATTTATCACTGCCCTATAAAGAAATTTAGAAATTGAATTCACACTACTAGTGGAGTTACTTATTTGTGAAGCCGTTTCTTTAATGCATAGAGTATTGCTTCATTTTATTTGTAAACATTTATCCAGAGACAACTGGCATCAAATATATTGTTTTAGTTTAACATAATGGAAAAAGTCAAAAATGTTTACTTTAATTTCATGTCATAATTACATGAATTGCCTTGAAACCTTAATGGCACATTACTTAATTATGTACAAAAACTGGAAATATGTTATGTTCTATTGTAAACTTTAAGCTATTGCCTTATGTAACTAGTTTTTACATTTCATTCCACTTTAATAAAACTTTGTCTTAAATAATGCTGTGAAGTTATTGAAATGTCAGCCTATGGTTCAGCTTGAATAAGTTTGAGGTATTTAAAAAAACATTTTTGCCTTTCTAAATAACTTTAACCTGGGCATTTTTTTTACCTGTATGGGAGGTCTTTGAACTCCAGAAATAATATGACTTCTCTGCAACTGTCAGGAGAGAGAACTATACTGTCATTTAGTAAAATAATAAATTTTGTTTTGCCATTAAATTTGGTAATTGTTAGTGCACCATCTCAACGACTGTTTGATCATGAGCTATTCTAATGTTACAACACACTGGTGGTGAACACTTAATTGTCTCTTCAGTGTTGTAGAGAGGGTGTGAATAGTTCTTCACTTACAGCAGCTTGTGCAACATCCTATCTAGACTCGGCTCTAACATCCAGAGCTATTCACAGCACAGAGCCAGTTTTTTTAAGTCTATGTTTCTGCTGCACCAGCAGAACCGTCATAAACATTTTTCTACGTAAAACGTTCTACAAGGCATTGCTCATTCTTTTTTGCATTGTGTTCTGTTTTCTTTAAAAGGGATAAACACTAGAGTTATGTTTGAATGACTTCGAAACAAAATAGGAAGCACAATTCAGACAAAAATACAAGAAGAAATATAAACCAATTTAATAGCTGTACTGATCCAACAAAAAAACAAAAACAAGTAGTTGGCCAAAAACTTTTAACATATTGAACATGAACCAATCAAATAATAAAAAACATAATACATTAACATGAAATTTTAAGTATTTACTCAATTAACTTCAGGCAATTAAGGGCTTCTGAGAGTCCTGCTACTTCTTTGTAGCTTGGCAGGTCATCTCTACACTTGAGGCACTGATCAGAGTTGTTCCTCCACTCCTGAACACACTCCGCACATCCCACCTGGCTCCGACAGCAGGAAGTAAACATGGGGCGAATCATAACAGCTGAAAAAGCGCAGATTTCTTGAAGCAAGAAGTCTCCATAGTTAGTTTTTACTTGACAACTGAAGTTAACCACAGTTAGCTAATTTAATTATTCTTCTATCGGTCAATTAGAAACGTCCAGCTCAGGTAATGATGTTTACTTTGTCTTTGTTTCTTTACCCTGACCTGCTCATAGACCCAATAGGATTTATTTTCAACATGACTTTAACGTCGTCTTTTTAATTTAGTTTTTAGAACCCTTTCCGTTGGTCGAAATCATCCGAGGGTGTTCACCCTACGAAAAAACAGAGGATTGGAAATGTTCTGCATTTTTATTACCCGAAAAGGCCGCCAGAGGGCGCTATGTACGACGTAGACGTTTAGGCAAAAAAAAAAAAAAAAGCCATTTGTATTATTTCAGGCTGTCCAGCTTCTCGTTACCATGGATACAGAGAAGCGGCATTCCAGTTTCAAACGTTTTGGATAAGTTTCATAACAAAGCGCGGATTTCTTGAAGCAAGAAGTCTCCATAGTCAGTTTTTACTTGACAACTGAAGTTAACCACAGTTAGCTAATTTAATTCTTCTTCTATCGGTCAATTAGAAACGTCCAGCTCAGGTAATGATGTTTACTTTGTCTTTGTTTCTTTACCCTGACCTGCTCATAGACCCAACAGGATTTATTTTCAACATGACTTTAACGTCGACTTTTTAAATTAGTTTTTAGAACCCTTTCCGTTGGTCGAAATCATCCGAGGGTGTTCACCCTACGAAAAAACAGAGGATTGGAAATGTTCTGAATTTTTATTACCCGAAAAGGCCGCCAGAGGGCGCTATGTACGGCGTAGACGTTTAGGCAAAAAAAAAAAAAAGCCATTTGTATTATTTCAGGCTGTCCAGCTTCTCGTTACCATGAATACAGAGAAGCGGCATTCCAGTTTCAAAAGTTTTGGATAAGTTTACAGAAAACCAGGTCGGTGAGGAGGCTGCTAATGACCACTTAAAGCCGCTATTAAAGCAGCTTGGGTCTCCAGACCACCTCAGCCGATCCACAGTCGCTCTGATTCTTAAATCATACAAACAAAGCCCAGATACATAACAGATTATGTTCAGTACTTCTGTTTAGGTCCAGATGTCTGAGGGTAAAATTCCGACTAATGTTCAGATTTTCTTAGGTTTTAGGCTCTTGTTTGTTGTAAACTTCAATGATCGTGTGAAAAGTTGTACATATATATATATATATATATATATATATATATATATATATATATATATATATATATATATATATATATATATATATATATATACATATATACATATACATATGTATATATCTAATTTGATCTCTCTCTTTATTAAGATAATTAATATATATATATATATATGAGATTAATTATCTTAATGCAATTATTGAGTCTTTAGTTTTTCGAATCCAATCAAAATGTTATTATAAAGCTCTTTTAAACCACCAGACCCAGAAGGTTATTGCTGCTGTAACAGGAGGAGGAATTATGCTGAGTAAATCTGCAACGGTGAAGGAGGTGGAGACACAGCTGCGGCAGAGTGCTCTCGTTGAGATGGATGTGGCGAGGAAGAGACAGGAGACGCTATCACTGTATCTCAAGGTAATATCTCTGCCATGACCACAGGAAGGCGTGTAATAGGCCTTTCAGTTTTTGTTTCCTAAAACATTCACCTGAAGATGCATGAGTCTATTTGAAACAAGTTTTTAAGGTTTTAAGGTAACAAGGTTTTAAAATATTGAAACAAAATGTGACCGATTGGTAGGGACATTTGCAGAACAGGTGGGGGGGGGGGGGGGGGGGGGGGGGGGAAACTAGTGCTGACCCATTTCCTGACTGAAACCAGGACAAGTTTCAGGAGGATCAGAAGAACACTGCCGAGAACCTCCAGAAGCTGAATGAAAGCTTCAAACAGAGCATGAGTCTGACTCAAGGCAGCGAGCTGTTGGAAGGCATGAGGGCTCTGAAGCATGGGAACGAGAAGCGCCTGGAAGAGATGGACTTCATCATCCAGGTGAGGAGTTCAGAAGATTCCAAAAAAGTTAAAGTTAAAAAACAAACCATCTTTTTTTTCTTCCAAGTTTTAAAACTTTCCACTTCCTTTCCTGGAAACTTTCTCAATTCAAAATGTCTGGATTTGTATTGAGTTTAGGCTTTATAGAGCTACCCAATGAAGCCTTGTTAACCCAATGAAGCCTTAGAAAAGAAGCAAATTGAATCAAAAAATGCATGTTTGTTGTTTGTATTTTAACCTTTTGGATTTACTATGAAGTGAATGACTGAGAATCTTCCCCAGCAGCTTCATCAGATCCATCCCGTTGTCACTGGCCATGATCCTTCTCACTGTGTTTGTGCTGCAGAACTTGGTGGGGGAGCTGCAGGAGGCAGATCGTCACATCGAAGATATACAGCGCAGTCACCTGCAGCACATTGAGCCTCTTTTGGATCAGCACAAGAGGATGCTGATGAAACTGGAGCAGGAGAGGGAGAGCAACCTACATGACATCAGCTCTAAGTTCAGCTCAGAGAAGTCAGTCAAACACTCTACATAGATATTTACTGTAAGGGGCTCAAACGGTCTAATAGCACAATAGAAGCAGCCAAACAGGCCTAAACCATCCAGTCATCCAGCAGCCAAATCTATTGCAGCAAAACTATAGTGATAGCTCAGGACAACCTGAGGCGGATTAAAAGTCGGGCATCCCGAGAAGTGGTTCTTAAAGTTTGCTAACTGTAATTACAAAAGTCACAGTTACAATATAAAGTCCAGTTTATCTGGAAATCGATTGAGAGTTCAGCTGCAGCATAACTATAGAGATAGCTCAGGATAATCTGAGTCCCTCTAACTATAACCAGTGTTGCGCATGTTACTTTGAAAAAGTAATTAGTTATAGTTACTAGTTACTTCTCCCAAAAAGTAACTGAGTTACTAACTGAGTTACTCCACAATAAAAGTAACTAGTTACTAGTAAAAGTAACTATTGCATTACTTTTGCGTTTCTCGCCCCCGTAACCCTCACCACCCGGCCCCCACCTTCTCGCCGTGTGTTTCCAAAGCCAGCTGAATAGAGCGGACGACAAGACAAGAACCTGCAGAGAGTTTAGCATTTATTGCAACTCAACGTAAATGACATCAGGGGGGAACGCGATGTGAAGTTTTTTAACAGGGCATTCAGATCTGGTGAGTATATGAAATTAATAACTGGGGATGTCTAATTCTGAAATCCTGTGTGTTTGGGTTGTTATAGATACTGCAACATCTATCTATCTAGATGTATACTCTGTGTGTGACATAAAATATGGATCTCCATCCCTGCCACAAAGGCCATCAAATAATGTTTAAAATAAAAAATACAGTAGGGTGAAAAGGCAGAGTATCCATCCAGATTTCTCCCTTTCTCCATATAGGCTATCATTTGATCGTTCACGCTCTCCATAGTTCCCCTGTGGCGCGAGCACAGGGCGACTGTTGCGCGCCTTTAGCGAGCATGCGCGTTTCCTGTCGCTTGCGCGGTGAATTGTGTCGCCTGCGCTGTGCGGAGATGCAGGGGAAACCGTTATGTGATGGGGAAATGCAGCTCGACGTAACACCGGTATTTCCATGTGGAAAACGCTGTTTTGCTGCTGGAGTCATCCTCGCTCTCCATCTCTCTGTGTGTGCTGTACGTTAACACCCACCAGCAGAAACACCCACCTACCCAACTGACAGACGGAATCTCACTATACATCAGCCATTCTCATCCTCCCATCTCTCATGACAAGGCGCGAACGAGTCCTATCATGAAAAAAGGTTCATTTTGCGACCTGAGTAACGCACAGTAACAGGGTGTCAGCAATGGTAACTGCGTTATAGTTACAGTCAAAGTAATTAGTTAGATTACTCGTTACTAACACGTCACCCCATTGCAGACACCCCCGTTACTGTGCGTTACTCAGGTCGCAAAATGAACCGTTACTCCCATCACTGACTATAACCTTCATCAAAAAAGAAAGTTTTAAGCCTACCCTTAAAAGTGATTTAAATGACAGATCCTGATCAAAAACAACACCAAGATTTTACTTTATTATCTGAAATCAGTTTAATCCAATCCAAATGAAGTGACTGACTAATCAGCTTCTTTTTTTAAAGAGTCTGGTCCAAAGACTTTAACTTCTGTTTTGTCTGCAAAATTTGATTCTGAATCATCTCTGGTGTCTGCAGGGAGAGGATGTTGGCTACCCTCCAGCAGCAGAACCAGGCCCTGGTGGACCTTCTTGACGAGCCCATGGGTATTTCTGAAACCAACAAGGAGTCTGATGATTACAGATGGATTCAGAGTCAACTGGGTTCTTCTGGTAAGATATTCACCATGGGTATGGCTGAAACCATTGAGAAGTTAAATCAGCAGAAAGACACTGGCAAACCAAATACTCACTCTGAAGCAGGAGAACCAGCAGCTGCAGGTCATGGTGGATCAGAAGGGAAGAAAAAGAAAAAAAGGGCCTGTAGGGACACCCCACTCTGCTCCTGGCCCTCCAGGTTCCATTCTCCCCCATTCAGGAGATAGAGACACAAAAAGCTAACCAGCTGTGTTATTTGCTCGTCTGACCAGTTTTTACAGTTACAGTTGATTTAATAAAAGTTTTTAACACCATAGAGCATAGTATTTTCTTATTTATGTCATTAGACAAACTAGAGAAGTATGACTTTAGAAGCCCTGCACCTGCATAGCTGATGAGTTATCTGAAAAATAGATGACACCCCTCTATATTGTTCAGGGGAAAACTTGCACCAGCTTATCAGTGATATAAAGAGAGAACTCCATAGACTGAAAATATGGTTTGATATTAAAAAACTATCTTAAAACTAATAAAATTATGTTTGGATACTGGTACATTTAAAATTGGTTGGATTTGACAATAAATGGCGGAGTGTACGGAAATACATTTCTGGGAATAATTGACTGCAAATTATAATGAAACACATCACTTATTTACAAACAAAAAAAGCAAAAACATCACCAATATAACTATGATGGGTAAGAGAGTAAAAGCGACAAATTGGACAAAACACCATAAAAATAAAACTATTAAGATGTTATATATAGCAATATCATATGCCAATTAAGATATTTCTGTTAGAAATATTTAAATATTGCAGTTTTATAGTAGAGGTCCTGTTATTATAATGCATTCAAAATGTTCATTTTAACAAATGCTGATAGTACAAGGAAACTTAACATTTCCATGGTTTTATATGTGAGGGTTGCCTTACTGCCTGGCATTTCTTTTGACTTTTAGCAAGAGGTAAAATAAGTTCAAGGGAGCAACAATAAAGGACTGTTTGCTATCAAGTTTAATTAGATGTTTCAGCAATAGTAAAAACAAATTAGTTATGCTTTGCTTTAAAAAAATATATTGGAAGATTATTTGAACTCTGGGTGAAGATAAAATGTCTGTTTGAAATGATTACATCTCTTGTAGAGGATTATTTATTCTAAACTGAGAACTATGTAAATGATTGAATTAATGTGTTCCAGTAGCCTGCCATGGCCAGAAATGTATAGAAGCAAACAAACAGCTTGTCGTTCTGAGGGATTGGCAGCAGGCTACCATGATAAAATGCTACTTGAATAATAAGCAAAGTTACAAAATTATATTAATATCAAATATTCCACACTGCATTGTCACTGGTAGTATAAACTCAGTTAATCTATCATTTTACTTGGCAGGTCGAGTTAAGCAAGAGATTGGCTTTCAGAATAGTACTAAAGAATAGTGCAATATATTGTACCTCCAGCAATTGTCATGGTTTTAAGATGTTTGGCCCACATGAAGACACAGACAGAGAACAAGGAGCAGTTTAAGATGTTTATTTAGGTTACAAACAACAATAAATGGTTCAGAACGGGAGCCGCCAGCGAGGTTCGGAGCGTCAGCGTTTGGGGCTCAGCAGGAAGAAAGAGGAAACTGATTAAAACTAAGAAATTTAGGGGAATCTGCATTATTGCTGTATCGCTTACCGCCAGGTACGGATAACCTATCCGTACCTGGATGAGTGGAGGAAAGGGTTCTGTAACTCACAGATTTCCAATGGGAGGTGGTGGCTGAGCGACAGGTGGGACTTGGCGGGGGCCCAAGCAGCACTGCAGTGGAGGCAGGTTCGAGGAGCAGCTGAAGGAACCAGCGTTAATCCAGGAAAGGGGTTCTCTTGTACAGCTCAGGAGCACGGAGGAGGCTTGAGGGGAACACCATAGCAAAATCTGAGCAGCAGGGATTCAGAGACCAATCTTCCGAGCACTGGAGACAGACGAGTGAGCAATCAAGAGCACAACGAACTGAGGAAGACAAGAGACAGGTTAGAACCAGGAATCCAAAACATCAGGTTAACGAAGATCTGTCGACAGGACAGGCCTAGGCGTACCACAACAGTTTAACCCTCTGGCGTCCTTCAGTTGACTGAAACGAGCCGCAGTTGGGGGGCCATGCCCACCCGTCGACAACAGCCACCTGTGGAAGAGAATCAGCAGAGCACAGCACACAGAACCATGACAGTAATAATCTCACTTTTAACACGGTCTGCAAGCAATGTATCATGTTAGAATTCAAAGAAATATTTAATTTCTGTTAGGTCATAATAAAACACTTTCTGCATCTGCAGATCAGAAGTTATTTAGTTTTATGAAGTTAAAACCCAAGAGCGGCCCATTAATAATCTTAAGGAGGCCTTTGAATTTCACCCAGACTAGGGTCTCTAAGGTCTGTAACGTATGAGTTAGTACCATGTTTCTTATTGCATATGTTAGAGAGACACAACTTTATTTGGAGTCTGAGGATTTAAGAAGCCAAATAAACCATTTTATTTGCTAAACCTGTTTCTGAGTCACCTTTGTGGCAGAGAGTAATTTATTTCATTTATATCATTCATCATTTTATATTATTTTTTTATTTGTTTATTTATTTGGTTTTATGTATTTAAATATTTATGTTAATAATCCTCTATAGCAAGTCTACATTATAGATATATTTCATATTTGCATGAAGAGATGCACCCCTTGGCTATATTTTTTTTCTTTTTTTTTAATAGCAATAAACTTTTATTCATTTCACTAGTTACCGTCCAACAAACAAATAGTCCAAGGTGCCTTGAAAGCACAATATATGACTTCACATCACAACACAATTATTTTTTTTTTATTGAAAAAACAGAATATCAATGACAAATTCAACAATAAGTCAATATTACAAGAATATTATATTATTATTTATATTACAAGAAACAAATAAGATCCCAACTCCTATTAACTCCAATAAAAAATTACAGGCTTGAACAAGGAAGGGGGAAAAAAAATAAGAATAAAAAAAATAATAAATAAATAAAAGAAAAATAAATAAATTATTAAGAGGAGGGGACTAACTGAAATTCTTTTTTGCTTTAAGGTTCTGCATCTTCTTCAGACATCGGTTGAAGGAGGAAGGTTCGTTTTTGAGAGCAGAGAATGAGAGGGAGCATTTTGCATAGCTATATTTTCAATGTATCCTGACTTGAAGAAACGAACTCTATGCAGCAAAGCTACTAAGCAATCTTGAAAAACTAAGAAGTATATAAAGTATATCATTTTGTTAGACCATAGACTTTGAAATAGTTGTCACTATTTATAAAACACATTCCAGTCTTTCTCCTTTACGTTTTTTTGACGGTTAAACGCGTTTGGAGTGAAGACTTTCAAAATAAAATACATTCTCGAAAGATCTCGAGGTTAAAGTTGTCATTCGTGTCAATGTGTATGCAAACGATGTAAAAAAAAAAAAAAATAGGAAAATAGCATTGGATTTTATGAAATTCATTTGTTTGACAATTCTGTCAGATGAAAAAATAAAATAAACGTAATTTGTGTTTTTTATTTTGAAAACTAAGTTTTGCATTGAACGTGATCCCTTTTACGTATTTCCGGTGTCGTGCCAACCTGTTACACAGGACTCAGGGGTTGTCCAACTTTAAACTGCGTCAGCCTTAACTTTTGGTAACCAGGCACAGTTTTCCCTGATAATATTTTATATCGTAAGGCTTTTTGGGTCATTAATCGAGTCCCTAAAAGTTGTTTATGGAATTGAGTAACTTTCGAAGAGTTTTTGAGAGCATTGAGTTAAGAAACCTTTCTTTGGGTACAGAGGGAAGCTGCTCTGGGTGATTTTTCACTCTCATTCACTGACAGGTGAGCAAAATTGATTTGTTTTTGGACATAATTGTTTTCTGCAAAGGTTGCTGGCTCGAAGTTAGCCTGCATTAGCATCAGAACCATCAGCTGACAGTCAGCCGCTCCGTCTTTACACTGTAAAGTTTACAGTGATAAGCTAAGTGCTAACACCAATTTTAGCTTTAACTTAGTTATCTTGCAATTTAGTTATCTTCAGCAACAGGACGAATAGCATGAAATATCGCTTAAAAGTGTCAGACTATCTTGAAATGCACTTAAAAAAGATGTGTTTTTTGCTCTGTCTGAATCTAATATCCAAGTGTGTCTCTAAATATTTTATCATTTAAAAGTAAATTCATTTGATTATTTGAGTTAAAAAGTGTTATTTATTATACAGACTGAAGGCAAATATGCTTTAAGTGTTGGTGCCCTATACTGATAAAGATCCAAATCTGGATCTTCACTTTTGGGAAATTAAAATGGAGAATTAGAAAAACAGACATTTAAAAAAAAAAAAAGTATTACAGAAGTAAGGAAATACTGATGCATCCAGTACAGGTTACTGTATGTTCTCCTTATTGGGTTGATCCTTCGTTTGGATGAATAACTGCATCATGGCCATGTCCTAGAGCTGGTCAGCTTTAGTAGCTGTCTTCAGATGATCTGCATGTTGGGTCTGGTGTCTCTTTTTCCTCCTGGTTATACCGTATTTTCACGACTATAAGGCGCACTTAAACGTCTTTTTTTTCCCTCAAAATGTGCGGTGCGCCTTATGTGTGTTGTAACTGCGACTTTTGAGACCACCTCATTGAGGAGATGATGAAAGAGTGGCTGAATGTAAGGAGACCAGGTATTTTTTTTCCACTCATCACCATCGCTGTTAATATGTAACTCCATGTGTGCCCATCTCACAGCTGATGTGAAAAACATGGGGAAACAAATTAAGCTGTGCTCGCTGTTCAACCGCTCGACATCGGTGTGAACCGGACCCAGCAGGTGCAGCAGAAGCAGCGAGTTTACATGCAAAGTCAATGGTTGACGCGCGTATAGGCGCAGCAAAAGGTCCTGCAGCGCGTTTTGAGCAGCAGGAGCGTGCCAACGCGCTGCTGCAGCTCGAGATGGAAAAATTGAAGTTTTGCTGCTGGACGCGCCGCATCAACCAATCAGAGAAGCTGATCTGGGAGCTGACAGCGAGACAGACACAGCGCTCTGATGACATATGATATTAATGCAAATGAAACGGGCTGGATGGATGAGGAGATGATGAAAGCGTGGCTGAGGGAGGTGTATGTGAGGAGAACAGGTGTTTTTTTCCACGCATCACCATCGCTGTTAATCTGTGACTCCATGCGTGCCCATCTCACAGCTGATGAGAAAAACATGGTGAATCAAATGAGCGCTGTGCTCGCCGTTATCCCGGGGGGTCTGACAAAGGAACTTCAACCGCTCGACATCGGTGTGAAGCGGCCGTTCAAAGTAAGGCTGCGAGCGGCGTGGGAGTGATGGATGACACGGAGACCACAGTTTCAGGATAAGTGGAAGGCAGCGCCGGGCAAGTTACGCCACCGTTTGCGGATGGATTGTAGATGGACTAACGTGTCTGCTGGCTCTGTTGTTCAAGCTTTCGCAAAAGCCGGCATTATTTCTGAGGAGCCGCGCTGCACGGAAAGTGACTCTGACAGCGAAGAAGGGGAAATTGGCATGTCTGATTTAGCGCAGCTGTTTAATTCAGAAACAGAGGATGATGACTTTGATGGGTTTGATTAATACTTTGTAATAAATACATTAATAAAGCACAATCATACTCAGTTTTGCTCCCGCTGTGTTTTTCTCTCTGAAAACTTAATTCAACGGCAGCCTCTGGGCGGGTCTCCTCCTCTTCACCGCGGTGGCTGGCAGGTGTTTTTTCATCTAAATAATCTAAATCTTGCAGCTATATTTGCTGTGATCAGTGGGAATAAAGTAGTTTTAATATGTTTTTAAGTGAGAAAGTCCACCTGAAAACTTCATAATTGCAGTCAGTTCATCCAGATTATCTATTTCTGTCGGAGGCGCTCAGACCCCCACATACCAGCGGTGCACCAACAGGAGAAATCCCTTCATCTGCAGCCTCTAGGCTGGGCAGCCTCCAGGTTCACCGCGGCTGCTGGCAGGTGTTTTTTATCTAAATAATTTTAGCTGCAGGCACCAGGATACCGGTAATAAAAGCGAACAAATTCTGTCGGCAGGTTTCAGGATTTTAAGTTAATTTAGGAGTGATCACAGCGCTGTGTCATCTGCGATGTGTCTGTCTCACGGCCAGCACCCAGGTTTGATTAATACTTTGTAATAAATACATGAATAAAGCACAGTCATACTCAGTTTTGCCCCCGCTGTATTTTTAAATACGCAGTAGAGGTATTTAAACGTAGTAGAGGACATGTACCTGTATATAAAAAACGCGCCCTATAGTCCGGTGCGCCTTATGTGTGTGTTAAATACAGAAATGGGACACATAACTGAGACTGCGCCTTTTAGTACGGTGCGCCTCATGGTCGTGAAAATACGGTACTCCATAGACCGTCTGTGGCTGTTTGCTGGTTTATTAGGCCCAGTGACCTCATGGTCATTGAGCCAGCTTTTAGGGCCTTTTGGAAGTGAGGAAAAATGCCATGTCCTGCCAGAAACGAACATTTCTATAAAGCTTTTTAACAGAAAGAAGCATGATGTTTTATAAAAATGTCCCCATTGTTATGCAGGACATAGCCATAAATCGGTCCAAGTTTTGATGATTCATTAGTCATAAGCAATAGTTATTAAAATGAAAAGAAATAAACACTTGAAATCACCATGTACTCGTACTCGTCGTACTCGTACTTGTCGTCTCCCGCTTTATCCGGAACCGGGTCGCGGGGGCAGCAGACTAAGCAGAGACTCCCAGACTTCCCTCTCCGCAGACACCTCCTCCAGCTCTGTTAGGGGAAGCCGTAGGCGCTCCCAGGCCAGCCGAGAAACATAGTCTCTCCAGCGTGTCCTGGGTCGTCCCCTGGGCCTCCTCCCGGTGGGACGTGCCTGGAACACCTCCCGAGGGAGGCATCCAGGGGGTATCTGAAGAAGATGTCCGAGCCACCTCAACTGACTCCTCTCGATGTGGAGGAGAACCGGCTCTACACTGAGCCTCTCCCGAATGACCAAGCTCCTCACCCTATCTCTAAGGGAGAGCCCAGCCACCCGGCGGAGGAAGCTCATTTCAGCCGCTTGTATCCGGGATCTCGTTCTTTCGGTCATGATCCAGATTTCATGACCATAGGTGAGGGTAGGAACGTAGACCGACCGGTAAATTGAGAGCTTTGCCTTTTCGCTCAGCTCTCTCTTCACCACGACAGACCGGTGCAGCGTCCGCATTATTGCAGCAGCCGCAACTGTGTAAAATGTAAATAATTATGTTCACTTTTTGATCTGAATTGTGAAAACAAATCAAACAATTGCATATATTAAATATAACATGAAGGATTAGATCAGGCAGAAGGGACGCCTGCTCAGCTTATTAAATGGTCAAAACTGTTATTGCTTGTTTTTTTTATACTAGTGAAGAATTACTGACAACTCTTGTAAGACTAAAATATGCTTAACCAAATTGAAACTGTTAATGTGATAATTAGGTAACCTTTAAAACTTTTTAAAATACATTTATGTTCCAAAACACTTTGCTTCCTTTAAATTAATGATGAAAAGGGTGACATGGTCTTAGTCTCCCTAACTCGATAACAACATAACAGAATTAACCTGAACTCTTTAAATTCAATGTTGTAATTTTCTTTAAAAATAGTATTTTTTTTTTTGTTATTGCTCTACATGATTTAAGTCAATGGAGCTGTGCAGTTTGGATGCAAACCTTAGTTTGATTTCATATTTAAAAGCTCTAAGTGTCTGTGCAAGTGAGGACTAAAAATAGAAAAAAAGGTTTGTTTCCAGCTTTTTTTCCTGTCATATTATTCAATCCCACATATCTAACCCTGTTAGAAAAATAAACATCTGAACGTGGAATAACTTACAACTTAAGGTATTAACAATTTAGACTAATTTAGGTGTCACTTTGTATGCAGAATGAAACGTTGCATATGGCTCACAAGAATATATTGAAATTGCAATTAAATAAGATTTTAAATAAGGAAAAGGTGCGGCAGCAATAGGATTGCTGGTGAAGATTCTCATTTTCAGTCACCCAGTTCATAATCGTTCCAAAAAAGTAAAAAAAAAACAATCCACTGGACTTTGTTTCCAAGTTTGAAGATGCTTTACTTGCCATCCAGGAAGCTTTTTAAATTCAAAATATCAGAATTTGCATTGAGTTCACATGCTTTGGCTTAGAAAACATGTAAATTGAACCGGAAGAACGGGTCCGCCCCTTAGGAATGGGGAGTCGTTTGGGTTCTTTGTTTGCCTACAATACCCAATACTGGTCTATGCCGCTGAAAGGGGGGGTCGTTAGGGGCAATTGTTGGCCTGAATGAACAGGTGAAAAACAAAGTCCAGTGGATTATTTTGTTTGTTTTTTTTTTACTTTTTTGGAACAGCGATAGAATTGTATTATATTGTTAGTAGAAATGGTTTATAAAAGTGTGTAAAATGTGTGAATGATAAAAATAAAAAAAAAAACAACATAGATCTGGTTATGAAGGTTAATGTTGATTTGTCACTTATTTTGCCTCCTAATTCCCCACACTAAAACACCTTTGTTTGATATATCTATCAGAGTTAAGGATATCTAGGGGAGCCCCATCATGTGGACAGACAAACAAAGAGGACTTCGCGTTTCTCAGGATGAGCTGCTGTGTAAGAACGCCTGTGGGTATTATGGGAACCCAGCATGGAAAGGCTTCTGCTCCAAATGCTGGAGAGAAAGATCCCGCCCCCCTGGGCCACAACGACAAGACATAAGGTGTATGCTTTCTCTTTATCTCACCATCAGCTGCTTTAAGTGTGATTCTGCTGTATTACCTGCATGGTCCTCCTGTCTCATGCTGCTGCTCCTTGCAGACCCAGCAGTGACGGTGCTCCTCCCACGTTCTCCAAATTTGAGGAGAAGAAATGCATCGAAAAGGGTCGTCGAATAAACACAGTGAGGAGGCTTTTCTGGGGAAGCTCATCACCTCCGAAACCTCAAGGTTGGTCTCCTGAGATTCGTTTGCTATGCTTTAGTTCTAGCATCATCTGATGAACATATTTACTTTAACAGCTATTAGAAAGTAAATAAAGGATTTAGGGCATATGTGCCTAATGATTAATCCCAGGTCCATCAATAAGATATAACCTTTTTTATCCCTTTCTCGAAATCTGATAAATCTGCTGAGCCCCTTCCTGTTTGAAGACCTCACGCCTAAAGCACACCGCTGGTGCTGCTCTGATTGAAATGGCATCTTCTTTATGAACCGATGTGCAGACATAGTGCCCTTTAAAAGTTTTCCCCATCTCATATTTTTCCAATGTTCCATTTTGTACTGATTTTTCTTATGCACTAAATAAAAATAAAGACAAAATGTGAAGTAAAATGTTACAAAAATGTAACCTTAAGCCACCAAATACAGCCTTTCAAAATGAGTTATGAGTTGTGCTATTACCATGACGACAGTGAATACCGTAAGTAGTTTGCAGCCACTGTAGAGACGAGCGGCGCTGTATCTGATTAGATGGAGAGTTTAGCCGAATCTTTATTCAGGTTCTTTTTTATGTTTCGGTCTGGCTTTCTAAAACCCACAATTTAAAGTGAAACTTTACGGTATTGTTAAATGTTTATAGTCATCTTCCTGCTTTCCTCCTTTTGATAATTTCTATCCAGCTTCTCTGTCCTTGCTGGAGAAAAACTTTCCCTTAGCATGATGTTAGCACCACCATGTTTACTGTCAGAATGGTGTCTACAGAGTAAAATGCTATGTTGTTTTTCCTCAACTCATAGCCTGTTGTTGCTCGAACATACAGGCTAAAATTTCCTCTAATTTATAATAATAATAGAACTTTATTGATCTCACATTGGATAAATTTACCTATGCATTTAACCCATCCCCCCATCCACCATGCGGCGCCCGTGGAGCAGTGTGAGTTTAAGACATGCGTGTTTGTTAGACATGAGATAAACATCTATATTATGTTAAGCTGTTTATGTATTTGAAAAAGCAATGTTGTATTTGCAGAAACTTCCGAAAGCCACACAAAGATGTTAAAAGCTTTTGAAAGCCTTGAGCCTGGAGACTTCCCCGGCTTTCTGAAGATACTGCGGAGTCCATCTTCTCAGCGACTCCAGTCCCGCTGTACAGCTTTCCTCAACACAATGGAGGCTTATCATGTAATTATTGCCACAACTGCCCACTCTTTAACTTGCATTTTGTCACGTTTAACAACCTAAACAAAGACTGATCCCACTTCCAGGATCTGCCGATACAGAAACAGTCGGATCTTGTTCAGGATTTCTATCAGTCTTTTGCTGAATGTTTTAGAAGTGAGTACAGATCTTTCCAGTTTTTTCTTTTGCTCCAACCCATAGAAAGGATGTTCAGATAGTCATTTTCTTGTTGTACAGGTTTTCCTGAGGCGCAGGTCACTCAGATAATGGAGCACGTTGAGAAGCTTATAATGACTCGGCTGCACAAATGGGTTTTCTGTCATGACAGCTGTGATGATGAACAGAAGGATCTGGCTCTTCAGAGGCGAATACGGTAACTGTAATTAAAAATCACCAATTCAGCCTAGAATTTAATCTACAATTATTTCTTTTATAGCTCTCAGGGTTTGTAAGCATTTTCTGCCTTTTTGTTTCCTCTGGTTTGGATGTGTTTGGAAAACAGTTGCTTAAAGAAAATGTCTTTTAATATTCATAAGATTCTGCAGTCTGACTATGTTTGAAAAAACAAGGTTTATGTGATTGCCAGATAATGACTCTTCTATAAATTTAACCATTAATTCATGTGTTATTTTTGTAGAAATGAAGTTAAGTTGCAAACTTGGAATGTAGGAACCATTAAAAAAAAATGGATGTCAAGTTGTGCTTCTCAATGATCCTTTTCCTTTTCAGCTCCTTAAATTGGGTCACTCCACAGATGCTGAGTGTGCCTTTTCCAGATGAAAACACTCCTGTCTCAGGCGACCCTTTCCTTCCTGCCATAACAGGTGATTTACCTAATTTATTGACTTGTAGTTGCATGGATGAGAAAGCTCTCAATCTTTGTTTAAATATATAATTCCCAGAAAATTTGGCTGCTAAATAAAGTTCATGACATGCTAGTGCATTAAACTAGTCTAATATGACGGTTCTCAATCTGTGTTACAAATGATGCTCAGAGGAAATATTAGTAACAATTTAAAATCTAAATAAATGGAAATTCTCTGTAATCTAGTGCTACTCAACTAAAACAAGCATCAGAACTTTATACAGAAACCTCTCAAAGAATATGGGAGGTAAAAAAATAAAACCTGTAAACATAAAAAATTGGGCTGTCTATTAATCCTTCATCCATTAACGTACAAGGTTACAGCTTGAATTTAGGAATGACACAGAACCCTGTTTACTGAAATTCTACATGTAAATCTAAGAAACCAGCAGGATTTTCCAGTATTGCACCAGTGGTCAGATGAATTGCCATAAGCAATATGAAATTTTTTAAATTTCTTTGTGCATTCAGTGAAGAAACATGATCACAGATTTTAATGTGAGGCATTAAAATGCAAACAGGCAGATGTGTGAATAAACGGGTTACTACTGCAGCCATAACCGTAGTTTTAAAGTACAGCGACCGTATTGGATTTGAGGGTTGAAATTGTTAAAAAATCTTTGTTTTAGAAACATTTTGTTTTGTGCACATGAAAACTCATGTGCACAGGTTTGGCCATTGCCGAAATTATTCACGTTATTCATATTATTCACATTATTCAACACCCCTTTGCAAAACTCGTATGGTTAGTATTGCTAAACTTAGCATGCTACCTTGAAAGCTACAATAATACAGTTTATTTACAGGTTGAAGTCCAAAATGTAAGAAAGTTGAAAGAAAAAAAAAAGAAGAAACATTTTAAGAAAATGCCGAGTTGGGACCCCCTCTGCTTTGCCACAATCTGCTGGGAGATGCGCGTTCAAATTAGCGGGGGAGGGCATTTTTATTTACCAACCATAGCTTTAATGGGTGCTAGCTTTTTAGTTTAAATCTTAAGGTATTTATAAATACTAATATAGGCAACAACAGAAAAAATAAAACGTAAAATTGATAAACTTTAAAATGTCTTGACAATATTGGGGTTCATTTGACAAACGTTTATCTGAGATGTTGTTATCTCGTCTAAAAAATAGCTATAATAGAGATGGATGCCAAACGAGCGCCGCAGGACAAACTTGCCTGTGTCTCCAAATGCAGCCAGCACATCTTTGAAGCCCTCTCCACTTCCAACAATGAGCCTGCCAACGCTGATGACTTCCTGACCAGCCTGGTGTATGTGGCGCTGAAAGCCAATCCGCCTCGTCTCCACTCTAACATGCAGTATATGATTCGTTTCGGCCTCCCCCACAGCCTCATGGCTGGAGAGAGCGGATACTATTTCACAAACTTGGTGAGTTTTGCAGGAAAGCGCTCATCCTCCTTACACCGTAGGTTGGGAAGATAACCCATGTTTGTCTTCTTCTTTAGTCCTGTGCGGTGGCCTTCATTGAGAAGCTGGATGGACCGGCGCTTAACCTCAGTCCAGAGGAATTCGAAGGCTACATGCAAGGTCAGCGTGCTCCTGCTGCGTTAACCAAGAGGCAGCAGATGATGGGTGACACTCAGAAGCTGTTAGAGGAGCTCCAAGGAAGGCAAGAGAAGCTTCACCAAGGTGTGGATGCTCTAAGCATGCAGCTGCAGAAGTGGGTCCAAGTAGTTAATTCACAGCTAGATGAAGCGACAAGTGGTTTCGATAAGGTTCAGAAGGAGATAACGGCTCAGGCTGAGGCCTCTCAGGATGGATCCCAGCAAATGGCAGAGGAGCAGCAGCCTGGGTTTCTGCCTAGTGATGACTGAAGCTCCATCTGGTAGTGCAGGTATCAGAAACCCCAGGTGTGGTACTTAATGATCAGCACTAACAGAAGTGGGGAAATAACAAGACCTGCCATTCCACTGACAGATTTGCACAAGTTTCAAAAGAAAAAGAAGTGAAAAATGAAGGAAAAAACTCTTGAAGGAAGGGGGCGGGGGGGTTGCATGTTTCTTTTGAGGCATCTGAAGGGCATAAATAACTTTATCAAATTATAATAGCTTTTTTTGTGATGGTTGAGGAGAAATAAAGAGTAAATGCACTTCTTCAACAACACTTACAGGTTTGAAGCACAACATGACATTCCCTAACATTGGATACCTCTGACTTTATGGTGACAGGTCAAATGTGAACGATTATCACTACAAGTTTACAAGGGGCTGTTTGTGAGAAGAAAAGAAAAACTTTTTCAGAGTTTTTTAAGTCTTAACTTAAAAAAAAAAAAAGTCTTCTTTACAATATTGTCTAACATGTTTTCGGCTGTGATAGGTTTACGGTTGAATGATTTATGAAGAAAGTTAAAAAGTTATATTTTTGTTTGGTAACTAATCAAATTATTAAAGCTGAACTATTTGTAACTGATGATGTGTGACGTTTTTGAGTTTGAATTTTAACAAGCATCAATCACTTTTTTCTGTTTTTATTTATTTATTTTTTTATAGAGCCATCAGTATTATTCTGGGTAAATCAGACAAGATGTGGATATATATATGCATTGGTTTGGCAGAATAAAAAAAAATAAAATAAAATAAAAAGGCCAAATGGTCCTGATATGATTCTGAGGTTAGTTCAGAATAAAAGCAGTTCAGACTTTTTAATTAGTGACGACATTAATGTTGAGATGGCCCTTCTCTAAAAACTGTCTGCAGGGACTATTCAGAAGAACACTGGGCTTTAATAAAAAAAAAAAAAAAGGATTAACTATAAAATCTATAAAAGGGAAAAATGTAAAGAAATGCAGAAAATAGCAGCTTTGCAAAAAAAAAAAAAAAAAAAAAAACGAAGAAAAAAAAAAGGAATATCTTAAATGGCAATGACCCAACCAACATTCGGCTCCACAGGGATCGGAGGTCTACAGATGGCATAAGACTGTTTTAACATTTAGTGTGAAAACAGAAGTATTGAAAGAAGCCCCAATTATTGGAAAACAAATAGTTTTTATAATGAGTCTTTAATGTGCCATAGAATCCAATAATAAGCTTTAAAAGAAACATGTTTCTGACATGATCCAAGATTGTTTGATCTATTTATCGTATACAGGTGCTGGTCATAAAATTAGAATATCATGAAAAAGTAGATTGATTTCAGTAATTCCATTCAAAAAGTGAAACTTGTATATTATATTCATACATTACATACAAACTCATATATTTCAGATGTTTATTTTGTTTAATTTTGATGATTACAAATGACAACAAATGAAAATCTCAAATTCATCATATCAGAAAATTAGAATATTACTGAAGACCAATAAAAAAGGATTTATAGAAATGTTGGCCAACTGAAAAGTATGAACATGAAAAGTATGAGCATGTACAGCACTCAGTATTTAGTTGGGCCTCCTTTGGCCTGTATTACTGCAGCAATGCGGCGTGGCATGGAGTCGATCAGTCTGTGGCACTGCTCAGGTGTTATGATAGCCCAGGTTGCTCTAATAGTGGCTTTTAGCTCTTCTGAATTGTTGGGTCTGGTGTATTGCATCTTCTTCTTCACAATACCCCATAGATTTTCTATAGGGTTAAGGTCAGGAGAGTTTGCTGGCCAATTAAGAACAGGGATACCATGGTCCTTCAACCAGGTACTGGTAGCTTTGGCACTGTGTGCAGGTGCCAAGTCCTGTTGGAAAATGAAATCTGCATCTCCAAAAAGTTGGTCAGCTGCAGGAAGCATGAAGTGCTCTAAAACTTCCTGGTATGTGGCTGCGTTGACCCTGGACCTCAGAAAACACAATGGACCAACACCAGCAGATGACATGGCACCCCAAACCATCACTGACTGTGGAAACTTTACACTGGACTTCAAGCAACGTGGATGAAGTGCCTCTCTTCTTTTCCTCCAGACTCTGGGACCTTGATTTCCAAAGGAAATGCAAAATTTACTTTCATCAGAGAACATGACTTTGGACCACTCACCAGCAGTCCAGTCCTGTTTCTCTTTAGCCCAGGCAAGACGCTTCTGACGCTGTCTGTGGTTCAAGAGTGGCTTGACACAAGGAATGCGACAGCAGAAACCCATGTCTTTCATACGTCTGTGTGTGGTGGTTCTTGAAGCACTCACTCCAGCTGCAGTCCACTCTTTGTGAATCTCCCCCACATTTTTGAATGGGTTTTGTTTCACAATCCTCTCCAGGGTGCGGTTATCTCTCTTGCTTGTACACTTTTTTCGACCACATCTTTTCCTTCCCTTCGCCTCTCTATTAATGTGCTTGGACACTGAGCTCTGTGAACAGCCAGCCTCTTTAGCGATGACCTTTTGTGTCTTGCCCTCCTTGTGCAAGGTGTCGATGGTCGTCTTTTGGACAACTGTCAAGTCAGCAGTCTTCCCCATGATTGTGTAGCCTATAGAACTAGACTGAAAGACCATTTAAAGGCTTTTGCAGGTGGTTTGAGTTAATTAGCTGATTAGAGTGTGGCACCAGGGGCCATCAATTTTGAACCTTTTCACAATATTCTAATTTTCTGATATGATGAATTTGAGATTTTCATTTGTTGTCATTTGTAATCATCAAAATTAAACAAAATAAACATCTGAAATATATGAGTTTGTATATAATGTATGAATATAATATACAAGTTTCACTTTTTAAATGGAATTACTGAAATCAATCTACTTTTTCATGATATTCTAATTTTATGACCAGCACCTGTATAAGGGTTTGTGGATCAATACATCAAAATACTTGAAAGGACATGTTGAACTCTACTAGGAAGAATTACCCTTGGAATGGGAGAATAAAATGAGCAGAGAATTTAGTTTTCAGACCAGCCAGATTAGCGTTATGGAGTGGTCTGTCCAATCCCACAGAAAACCTGTAGAATCCTGAAGCAGTAATGCAGTAGAGTTGTGTGGTGTAGTTAAGGCAGGTGTATTTATATGGCACATCGCAGTAGCAAGACAATTCAGAGTGCCTTACATGGGGAAGAAAAAACAATCATTTTTTCTAGAAAATCTAAATCTTAAAGCAGCTTTCCGTTAATTAATTAAAATGAAATGCCATTATAATATGCCTTATACTCCCTTTATCACACTTTCTATTGCGTATCTGCATAGTAAAAGTACTTAGGAAAAGTAGAGCATCATATGCAGCAGATTGGTCACATTGCAATCTTTATAACATAAGCTGCTGATGCCTCTTGGGTGATATGGAACCTTGGCAGAAGTTCATCTGAAGAAACTCATTGTTCTTCTACATCCACCTTCGACACAGCAAATCGGCTTTGAACCACACCTCCACGAAAGCCAATCGGCATCCAAAGTTCATCTTAAAAGGCCTGGATCCGCACTTGTCTGCTCCTGTGCGCATGTGGGGGATGCGCTGTGTGACTACCCCATTCCAACCCACCTCCAGCCCCTCCTCCACCATCGTATCTAAAGCTTCATCAGAGTGTCATTTCTCCCAGACTCTCACTGCGTTCCCTGTCTCATCTCAACCAGTCCGGCAGAAGACCACCATGTTGAACCTGGTTCTGCCATAAATTTCTTCCCAACGGGGAGTTTTTCCTCTCCACTGTCGCTCCATGCTTTCTCATCATGGACAGGTTCTCTCAACCTGTGTTATCCAACTGGACTTCCATCTTCCAGGTCCCTGAGTGAAGCTCTACTATCAGCTGACACATTCCACTGGATCTCCCCATAAAGCTCAGCATACCATCTCACTAACCAGCAGTCTACAGACTGACCAACTTCATCTATCTCCACTCCACCACCAGTTTCAGGCCTGGGGGGGGGGGGGCAGCCCTATTCTTTGCTCCTGTTCATGCACATCTATCAAAATTAACCATGTTTCCTGCCAAGGTCTGGGCGCTAAAGACAAAGTAATTGTATCAATAAATTTCTCCTAATTGTATGTTCTCATTGTGTGAGTTTTTCAGAGTAAACTGATTTTGAACAAACTGCTTAAACCATCTTGTTGAAGCACATAGTTTTAGTCTGCACTCAATCAATTTAATAACAAAACAAACTTTTTCCCCCCAAAGCCTTCTTTAGCATTGATGCAACTAAAGGAAATATGTGATGCGTCTAATAGATATTTATTATTTAACATCTCATTAATTATGTAAATAAATTTTTTTAATGCTGTTTTGTTTTTGTTTCGTTTCTTTTTGCAAGTACTGTAAATGGTTTTACATTTTCGGTACCGTCGCCATTTGGACACGTGGGGGCGCTGCACCGGAACTATCGTCATAGGAACTTTTGCAGCCCGGAAGCTCTGAGTGTAGCAGCCATGAAGATGACGGGAGAAAACAGAGCAGAGGGCTCTGAAATAACAATGGACGACGTGAAAAATCTTTTTAAAAAGAAAGATGAAATCGAAGAGCAGATAAAGGCTTACCAAGATGTCTTGGAAGACGTAAGTTTACCCACAAACGGTGCAGATACGAGTTAATGCGGCGCTGAACCAGCAGCTCTCCTGTTGTTTACAGCAAGGTGTTGGGGTTGATGGTCCTCTGGTGGACGCTGAGGGCTACCCTCGAGCAGATGTCAACCTTTACACGATTAGGGACGCGAGGCACAATATTTCATGTAAGTCTGAGTTATTTGATATTCTTCCTGGTCCAGAGCCTTGGCGAACTAATGATAGCCACGAGAGAGTAAATGCATTTTATAGTAAAATAAGGTCTCTAACATGAGAATGAGCTACAGAACAGGGCAACTAACCATTATTTTGCAAATCAATTAATTTGTCGACTATTTTTGTCGATTAATCGATTAATGATCGGGTAGCAAAAGATTCTTAAAAAGAAAACTTTTTATGAAAGTAAATCAGGTGAAACTAAAAATATCTGGATAGAGAATATTGACAGACAAATTTATTTGATCTTAAATGCAACATTTAAATTTTTTTTTTTTCCCAGTTTTGGTATAATTACTGCTCTAAGTGGGTCTCTGTCAGCTAAAGGCACGTTTTAGAGTCTCTATACTCCAGATAATGATTAATCGATTACTAAATTAGTCGACGATTATATTTCAATAATCGATTAATCCGATTAATTGTTTTAGCCCTTCTACAGACCTAAATCTATTTTTGATTCTGTGGCAAAATGTCCAAGAAACTCATAACTGGTTCGTCCTTGAATTCTAGGGCTGGGTATTTTCGCCAAAGTCCTGAATCGATTCGATTTTGATTCATACAGTTCTAAATCGATAAATTTCGATTCGATCTGTTTTTACAATAATGAAAGTGGTTCAACTGTGTTTCAAAACACTCATGTATTTTATTTTTTCCTGTCACATTAAACACAAAGTGCAAACTTGTAAATCAGATAGTTTAAGCTTGAGATGTGAACAAAACTGTCTCATTAGTGCAAACTTGTATGTGAAAAGTGAAAAAGTGAAGCCTCACTCGAGCAAGCAGACGTGACACAGCGGAGAGACAGCAAACATGCATGAGCATTATCTTCAATGCACAAAACATATGTGCAGCATTGTCTGTAACAACTACAGGGTGTTTGCTGGTCAGTCCCCATTTGTTATTGTCTTCAGTCAACCTATTGGCTATATTACCGGTAATTCACAGCTAGATGAAGCTGTCTGGCTTGAAGTAATCTTGAGTGCATCTTTCCTGCTCATTTGAATGTGAACGTCATGCATGTCACTATTAAAATAATCAATCTCATTTCCTAGACATCGATTCTGCAAAAATGTAAAGTAATCGATTCAAAATCGATTTTTTTACCCAGCCCTTTTGAATTCACTCATCAATTTTTTACAAACGTGAACTTGAGTGGCATCCCATGATTGATAAGATGACCTCAGTATTTACAGTTCAAGAGAGGCGAGATTCAAAAAGCAGATTAGTGGTAATAAATGTTATAATACAAGAACCTGCGGCTGCAGAGTTGTTTCTACAGTGGCTCTTAATAGTGGCCTAAAATTATATAACGAAGCAGATAGTCTAGTGTAATGATAAATACCACTCTTTGAAGAGTTCTTATTTTGATTTAATTTTCACAACACAAAACATTAAAAGAACAAAAAAATATATGTTTTATATCTACTTTTCTTATCAGTAGATATTTTTTTTTCTTTTTTTACATAATCTCCTATGAAGGGAAAATCCATGCTTCATCTTTATGAAACATTTTTTGCTTTTTCTTATTTGAAAAGCTAATGATACAAATAAACTGGTTTGAAATGACAACAGATTTACTATATCAGATATGCAACAGATGAAGCTGTGTTCAATTGAACTGTTATAAAGTATTTGCAGCTCTAAACAACCAGACATGAGGCTAAATGGCTCTTTGGATTTCAAAGGTTGCAGACCTCTGCTATAAGGCATCATTGAGCATCATTCTTGAGTTACTTTGAAAAAGTTTGTAGGTCTTCAAACCTCTTGATTCTAGATGACTTCTCTTCTCTTCTCCTGGACCTCCGCTGTGATGCGATGTTTGCTTCCACTATTTAACTTTACTTTCGCTCTTTTACTTTCCTTTTTCTTTCTTGGAGTTTAAGAGATACATTTTTAATTTTCTAGCTGCTGGAACAAGTATACGGTAATTAATTGGTGCCTTTGTATTTCAGGCCTGCAGAATGACCACAAAGCCATCATGGCAGAGATAGAAGAAGCTCTGCACAAGCTGCATGCTCGAGAGAAAGCCAAGCGGGAGCAAGATGAGGCTGGAAGCCAGCAGGAGGCGATGGAGCAGCAGTCCACTCTGCCTCCTCCTTTTGCTAAAGTGGATGCTGTCACTGGCGGCTCGCCTGCCTTTAAAGCTGTGAGCGACATTTGTTTCTGCCTTTTAACTTAGTAAACCCGTCATGTGTCATTTACTCTGACAGTCATGCATATTGAGCTTATTTCTTTAAGCATTACTTGTTTTTATTTAATTTTTTTTTTTGCACAGGGTCTGAAGGTAGGAGATGAAGTGATTGAGTTTGGCTCTGTGAACACAAACAACTTCCAGAACTTGCAGAATATTGCTTCAGTTGTACAACACAGTGAAGGAGTAAGTTTGTTTTTTATTTTACTTAATTTTATTTAGAAGGAAAAGAAGTTATGCATCTTCATATGCTTTTCAGCTGTTAATTAGATTTAATTCTTCATATTTTGTCCAACTGTATTATTTTCATTTTTTGTGTTAAAAAATGTTGCAAACTTGGATACATTGACTGTATAACACCTTGACTATAACACCTTCTGAATATGGTGATCACCCAGTGTAAACAACAGCGTAATGTTTTTGCTTTTAGAAACCTTTACGCGTCGCTGTGATCAGAGACGGCCAAAAGGTTCAGATGAGCCTGACTCCACAGCGGTGGTCCGGCAGGGGTCTGCTGGGGTGAGTGCACAAGGGAAGGAAAGAAAAAAAAAAATCTTTCTCTATGTAGATGGCAGGTAGCGATAAATTGGTTAAGTCAGCTTTGTAGAATAACTGTTAAGATTACAATCCTTTCTTTTTCTATTTTATTTTTCAGATGCAACATCATTCCAGTCCAGCGATAATCATCATAAGCTTTTTCCAGGTCGGAACCTGGGACTCTCATTCTCCTTCCCTGAGTTTTGTTTTTGTACTCTATTCAACAGAAGTTTGGATTTATATTCAGTTTCTCAGTGTGAACATTTAAACTTATTATCCGTGCAGTGACTCTGAATGGATTATGTCAAAATTGGAGCGCTGCAGCAAAGGGGACTGAATTAAACAAACTACTAAGGAAGAAGTGGATCAACTCTTGTGTTCTACCTGTTCTTTCCCCAAGGAGCTCAGAAGGATCTGGTTAATATGGGTGCAGATGAGTTTCTTCTATAACTTCTAGACTGGGTGTGCACAATATTACTGGAGTTGAATAAAGGTTGTTCCTGAAGAAAATCAGCAATATTTTCACTTGTATAAAATGCAGTAAATACATTTCATTCAGTCCCCATGGGACCGGCTGCTGCAAAGAAATGTATTAATTTAATTAATTCAGCATAGGGTGAATTATTTTACAGAAATATATTTTTTTAGAAATGGCAGAGATCAGTTTATGCAGATATGGTTGTCATTGGGTGGGATTCCTTTTTTGATGTTTGGACTGTTGAGGTAATCTTCGGTTGTAAAAATAATTCCTATATTAACCTGGATGTGGTTTATAATTGTGTTTTTTTAATATTGACCTTCAAGGGAAATGATTTGATATTTTCAGCTGTACATTAGACAAAGCATCAGAGGTAGAACATGAAATAGAAGATTTTTAACCTTTTAATAGCGATAAGAGTAAAGTGCTTCCTCTGAAGTGTAAAACATTAAAATCGGCGATTAAAAAACCAAAAGCTACAAAATACTGATTTTTTTCCCCAGTAAAACAGGAATCTGGTCGTGGAAATAGAGACATCCACCCATTTGGACAGTTTTTAACTTATTGCATATTTCTGATTGAAACCAGGCAGTTCTCAATGAGTGCAGCAACTGCTTTGGGTTGAAAAAAATATACAGTTAAGCCATATGTTTTTCTTATCCTTTATCTTTACACAAAGGCAGAAGCTTGTACAGATCTTTTTCAATGTGTGCTTTGCTTAAATTTATTTTTTGCTTTCTTATGAGAACAAAAAAGCTGAGTTGATCTAGTGTGGGGAAGGAGCAGCAATAATCTGAAGATAACCTCTCTGGAGTCCAAGTCTGTGGCCAAATATTTCCAAGATTAAAATAACAAACTTTGTTGTAATTTTAAATGAACAGAGTATAAACACTGAAAAATTATTGAATATGCCTCCTAATACGAAGAAGTTGAAACAAAAAGGATAAAATATTAAGTGCAGCAGTGACAGGACTGTCATATTGTAAGGTTTTAAAAAGTGTGCAAAGAATGTTTAAACGTTAACGGAACAAAAATAAAAATGGTGCAAAAAGGTTTTAAATTCAAATGGATTTAAAATTGTACAACCATGCTGACACTGCAAAATGTCAGACGTTCAGTTCTGAACTATTAAAATTAAAAGGAGTTTTAACACATTCGCATAACACATCCAGACTCAAATACAGTATGTACAAAAAGCCAAACTAATGGCTGGTTTAACGGCTCTTTGGATGTTGCACAAGATTCCCAGACTTTAAAGCTTACAGGTGCTGGTCATAAAATTAGAATATCATGAAAAAGTAGATTGATTTCAGTAATTCCATTTAAAAAGTGAAACTTGTATATTATATTCATACATTACATACAAACTCATATATTTCAGATGTTTATTTGGTTTAATTTTGATGATTACAAATGACAACAAATTAAAATCTCAAATTCATCATATCAGAAAATTAGAATATTGTGAAAAGGTTCAAAATTGATGGCCCCTGGTGCCACACTCTAATCAGCTAATTAACTCAAACCACCTGCAAAAGCCTTTAAATGGTCTTTCAGTCTAGTTCTATAGGCTACACAATCATGGGGAAGACTGCTGACTTGACAGTTGTCCAAAAGACGACCATCGACACCTTGCACAAGGAGGGCAAGACACAAAAGGTCATCGCTAAAGAGGCTGGCTGTTCACAGAGCTCAGTGTCCAAGCACATTAATAGAGAGGCGAAGGGAAGGAAAAGATGTGGTCGAAAAAAGTGTACAAGCAAGAGAGATAACCGCACCCTGGAGAGGATTGTGAAACAAAACCCATTCAAAAATGTGGGGGAGATTCACAAAGAGTGGACTGCAGCTGGAGTGAGTGCTTCAAGAACCACCACACACAGACGTATGAAAGACATGGGTTTCTGCTGTCGCATTCCTTGTGTCAAGCCACTCTTGAACCACAGACAGCGTCAGAAGCGTCTTGCCTGGGCTAAAGAGAAACAGGACTGGACTGCTGGTGAGTGGTCCAAAGTCATGTTCTCTGATGAAAGTAAATTTTGCATTTCCTTTGGAAATCAAGGTCCCAGAGTCTGGAGGAAAAGAAGAGAGGCACTTCATCCACGTTGCTTGAAGTCCAGTGTAAAGTTTCCACAGTCAGTGATGGTTTGGGGTGCCATGTCATCTGCTGGTGTTGGTCCATTGTGTTTTCTGAGGTCCAGGGTCAACGCAGCCACATACCAGGAAGTTTTAGAGCACTTCATGCTTCCTGCAGCTGACCAACTTTTTGGAGATGCAGATTTCATTTTCCAACAGGACTTGGCACCTGCACACAGTGCCAAAGCTACCAGTACCTGGTTGAAGGACCATGGTATCCCTGTTCTTAATTGGCCAGCAAACTCTCCTGACCTTAACCCCATAGAAAATCTATGGGGTATTGTGAAGAAGAAGATGCAATACACCAGACCCAACAATTCAGAAGAGCTAAAAGCCACTATTAGAGCAACCTGGGCTATCATAACACCTGAGCAGTGCCACAGACTGATCGACTCCATGCCACGCCGCATTGCTGCAGTAATACAGGCCAAAGGAGGCCCAACTAAATACTGAGTGCTGTACATGCTCATACTTTTCATGTTCATATTTTTCAGTTGGCCAACATTTCTATAAATCCTTTGTTTTTATTGGTCTTCAGTAATATTCTAATTTTCTGATATGATGAATTTGAGATTTTCATTTGTTGTCATTTGTAATCATCAAAATTAAACAAAATAAACATCTGAAATATATGAGTTTGTATGTAATGTATGAATATAATATACAACTTTCACTTTTTAAATGGAATTACTGAAATCAATCTATTTTTTCATGATATTCTAATTTTATGACCAGCACCTGTAGATTCTTCACCACTCCTTGTATTTGAAACAATACAGCTATTTTAAATCTATTATATTCCTGGGATCCAATCCAAGTGCGGACCTTAACCTTTGCTTACAGTGTTGATGTTGGAGCAATTCTAGAAGCTTCACTTTAGCCTGATTTATCCTTTCTAAAATGGAAACATCATTAGGTCATCTTTACACGTGCTGAGGTCTCTTTCAGTGTTCCACCCACTGCAACTTACCAGTGGTGTTGAGACGGGACCGCTGCATGATTATATCACTGCCGTGCCGAATAGTTCGTCCTTGGTTGTTCAGTTTTTAGCCTTAATTTGGAAAAACATTTATCAATCTTCATCTCTTCCGTTACAGTAATTTTGTTGCTTCCTCATGCATATCGTTATGTGCAGACCTTCCAATGTGCTCAACTACACTATACATTTCCATTAATCCCTTTATCTGCGCAGGTGTTTAATAAAAGTGTGTGATTTTGTTGGCTGGTTTTGACGTGTTTTAAAACAGCAAACAATTGTATTGAATGTATGAAATATTTAAATAACTACAGTTTATTTTCTCTTTTGCTTTACAGTGTAACTGACCAAAACATTTTCCTCTGTCCTCTGAAATGTATGGGTCATTTGTCACTGACCCATCTGAATTTATCTATTATGGGATGGTAAAGATTTTTTTTTCCCTCTTTTAGTTCATGTGAGGTGCTGGAATTCTGCCTCTCATGCTTGTAGGTTCTTTCTTTGGTCAGCCTTCTCTCAGTCCATGAAGATCTTAGGACAGAAATACAGATGTTCCAGCATATTCTAGGTGGTTTCTGTTCCTGCCATCTGAGTGTTGCAGTTCAGATGACTGAAAGCTGGACACAAAACGATCCCAAGCACACCAAAATGTTTTTATTCTGATGTTCCTTAACTCAATCCTCTGAGGCTATGGAGTCCGCTTAAATTTAAACATTCAAATATTTAACCAGATACATGTTGGGACCTAAATTTGTGCTACAAAATGTATTAAAGTTTATCTGCAATTTGCAAAGAGAATTTTATCCAGATATAAATAGATTTTAACATAGCTAAACCATTTCTGGAATGCAAGAAGTTTGCAATAACTTAATTAATTCCTCAAAAGCCAATAAAGTTAAGATATTTGACATATTTGTCAGGAAATCAATCTTTGAAAAAAAGGCTGTCTCTTTATTGTTACCAAATTACATTCTAAATCTGTGAATAAAAATACTGCTGTATTTGCTTTAAAATACTCTAAAATGAAAATGAATCCCTCACATATAAAGAAGATAGAAGAAACAAACATTGATAGAAAAGGTTTATTATAAAAAGACATGTCCCAGCTGCAGTTATTTTTAAGTAGCTAATGTCAGCTTTCATTTTTTTTTTGCACAAATAATCAAATACGGTGAACAAATAATTGAGTGTATCTTTAAGCTGAAACAATCTTCCCCTTCTAAACAAAGATTTTTTTCCTCATATAGCAAATCATTTTACCCAGGGTGTTCAAGGAATGAGGGGCAGCTTCTCATATGAACCAGACAAATCTGCCTCAATGGCATATAAAAAAAAAAAAATCATCCGACCGCTTGCTTCAGTTTCTTCTTTTTAGGTTTGACTATCTGGGGTAGCTGGATTTTAAACGCCGTCCTAAAAAAAAAAAATACGAATTAGTTCAAGTGATCAGAAAACTGTTTTCACTTACGTTGTGGTGACGCTACATGAATGGACTCACTCGCATGTCGTGCAAATAGGACTGAAGTTGCAGAAAACTTTAAGAAAATTAGAAAAAAGTCATCAGTGCATTTTTTTTTTCTTTCTATGAAAAGCATTCATATTCCTGAGTGCGGTACTCACTGGACAAACAAACCGAGCAGACATAACCGATTTCGATGAGGTTCCGGTGGCAGAAACAGGCCGCTCTGTAGTCCACATGAGCAGGAGGCGGCAGCACCAGCTGGGAGCGCTGCTCTGTGTCAGGCAGAAACACCCACTGTCCACACAAAAAAATAAAAATTTACCTTCAGCACAGATCAACCACAGACTACAGCAGCGAGAGCAACACTCACCAGGAGATACTGAGCCAGGGCTACTTTCTGAGGTATTTTCAGGTACAAACCTCCTGTTATGTCACAGGCCTGAAACACATCCCAGCTGTTACAACTTTTTCCTTTTCATATCTTCAAACAACTTGTCATTGATCATACTAATAAGCCTCCTATAGCATCAAAACTACCTGCTGAAGGAGCCCTGAATCTGAGTCCAGCACACACGCATCTATTAGGATGTTCTGAGAAAAATATAAAGAATAATTTGTGTATCTTCTGTTCTTTTTTTTTAATGAACTGAATAAATGCATAATAAAAGATGAGTAGAGCAGTGGAGTTTGGGATTTCACCTGTTTTTGTGCAGCAAAAATCACATTCATGAAATTCATGTACTGGAGAGCGCAGTCATCAGCTGCTTTTATCACCTAAACAAATATGAGAAAAGCAAAAACACGATCCTCAGTCAGAGACAAACTGATCGACAGTGATCAGGAGGAAGCTTTAGGATCAAATAATGGGACATTTTATCATTTTATGGGCTGCACCATGTTTAAATTAAGTATTTTTCAGTAGTAAACGTGGACTTTAAAATGTAAATAGAAATAATTAAAAACAGTCATCTTTTTTTCTCAAAGTAGGCGATGGGACTCTCTGCCCAAAGCTGAATACATCAAAATGCATAACTAGCAGGAGAAGTAAACTGGCAGGGAATTTTTAATGAGTGCAAAAAGGCAGGAAGTAGCAAAACATGCGAGTACGACTTAGAAGGCAGGCGAGCAGATATGGAGACGTTCAAATGATAGCAAATCAGCATTAAAAAGAATAAAGTGAAAAATAAAAGGAGACCTTACCAATATCCTTGACTTCATCTCCTGTCCAACTAGAGAAACAATCGAGACACTGTAGTGTGCTAATAGAGGACAATGAATTAAATTTGGACATAGTGATCTAAGCAGACATTACCTTCTAATTCCTTTGACACCCTGTGAATATCTGTGAGGTGAAGTTTTAAGGAAATTTCCAAAACAGCTTACAGAGCCAATACATCTGCAAAGTGTATTTAAAAGGTTCAGCATTAAGAAGTTTAGATCGTTACATATGTGTGGGTCGGAGTTTCGCCTGTAGAGATTTTTCTCCAGCGTGTAAGATTTCCAGCATTCCATGTTTGTTTAGACTAAGCTGTCTATTTATCTATTTATATGTAAAGTAACTAAAAAAAACCCACCATGACTTTTTGTCACATTCTTTCTCTTTATAGTGAACATTGGTTAAAAAAAAATTTATCAATCTGACAAAAACTCTATTTAGCTTCACTAACAATCAGCATGGCCCTGATCTACTTATTACATCAGTTCTTATTTGTCCCAGCGTGGAGATTTGACATTTTTGTGTTATTTCACCTCATCAGGCCCAGAAACCTTAGTAAAAGAGACTGAACAAGATCTGCTGATGAGTGTCTTCCTGAAGTTCTGCTGATCTTTGTAACGGACAGTACCAAATGTCAGCATGTTGATGCTGTTGGAAACATTCAGAGATGTTGAATGGGAAGAAAATCTCACAATGAATTCAAACCATCTTATTTTCTATTTTATTTCTATCTTATCTCTTGGAAATAAGTAGAAAGCGGACAATAAACCCACTTAAGGATGGTTAACTTTGATTTTAAAGAAGTGCTTTATTAGACTAAGGTGCATTTAATGACAACCATAACTGAAAGCAAGAGTTATTTCAGGATAGACCTGAATGCATCATGAGGTCTTCACAAGCAACTATTTCCTTTCACACCTGATGGTCCTGATTTAAGATGCCTTATAAATCTGTGTCTAAATGATGGAGAAGATTCTCAGTCATTACAGAAAACTTAAAAAAACCAACCACTTGACTTTTCCAAGTTTGAAGATGCTGGATGAGAAGCAAGTTGTCTTAAAACTTGAAAAACAAAGTCCAGTGGGTTTTTTTTTTGTTTTTTTTTTTTGTTTTTTACTTTTTTTGGAATATCCACTGCATGTTTTCCCTCCAATCTGTAGAAACCTGCTAATTCTGCGTCCATTTAAACACTGTGTTGAATGCCCATCCTCAACGGGATCAGCAAATACAAATGAGACCTTTTTAAGTTAAGCACTAAAACGTGAAAGGAAAATTGACCATAAAACAATGTGCACGATGTTAAGGTGTTGGGAGTATTAGAAAAACTTCAGCCTTACGTTTTAAAACAATCCCAAAACAGGCAGGATGGGGTTAACTCCAGTCCTCTGTATTCAGTGTTATGAATGTTGTAGATGTTAGAGGTAAGGGTTGACCAGCTGTCATTCAGCCACTTGGCTTTATCTACAAGATGCAGGACCCTGGCTTTTGAGGCCTAAAGCTTTACACCTGAGGTAAAAGGGAAATTTAGCAGACTTTTTTAGCATTTCTCCTGCAGAGCTCATTAACTTAAAAATATAATGATACAATGGTTTATCACCACAAAAAAGAAGGAAAAGAAATAGTTTAGTTTCATACTGTATGTACATGCCAAAAACCATTGCAAATTCAAACTGATGAGAAATGTATTTTTTGTTTAGATGAAAAGTCAGTATTCAGTCAAATTTAACTCAAGATCAACATTTAGTTCAAAAACTAAAACTAGGAAAAATGGAATAAAATAATTTTAGTTTATCTGCCCAGATGTCATGAAACTCTCTTTAGAGAAATCACATAAATGGCATGAATTCTCTGTTTTCTGTCACTTCTCCTGAACTGGACCAAAGTGACTGAAAGGATACAGCACAGAGCTTTAGCAAGAGATCCTGCCAAGAGGGTGTCGGTTGAATTCCCTGTTACTTCAGCTGCAGGAAGAAGACACCCAGCAGTTTAATAATGAATTATCCAACAAGTTATATCTTTACAGTATCACACAGATGCTTGTCAGTAAAATCAAATAAAAAACTTTTAGATTAGTGTTACCAGGTATAAATCACAGATTGATACCCACTTTTCATCATAATGTTCCTGATCTCTTCAGTAATAAGGTTGTTGGCGACAGACAGGAGTTCATACTTTCCATCTCGGCTGGAGGACGACTCATCGCCACCGCTGTCCCCATTATTCCAGTTCTTACTTGGATACAGGAAGTGACTGGAAGAAGGAAAGAAATCGTGAAACGTATAAAACATTTAATCCAGAAAGTTAAAGAAAACAAAGCAGTCGTAGGTATTTAGGTGTGACTGCATTTCTGCTTAGATGGACATATGATGACAACAGAATACTGTGAAAACAGAACTCTATGTAAAACTTTAGAGTATAATAAATGGAAATTTAAATAAAATTCCTTAAAGAGATAAACTAGAGATGTGCTGATCTCGACTAAAAACAAACCTAACCTTTTGAATAATACTGATTTTTATTCAATTACAGTAAAAATTATAAATGCCCTGTAGACCCTTTAATAGAGGTATTACTTTTTATTCAAACGATTAGAAAATAAAAAAATTGGGAATGTGAATATTATTCAAATTCATTGAATGATCCCAAAAGGAGATTAAATGTTGTTTTAATTCATATTATGCAGCTTCCTTATAGATTGCACGCTCTATAATAGGCTTATATATAAATATTGGTCAGACAGTCAAATGGATGGATGGAGCTTTTGACAAAATATCTCAGAAATCTGAGCATAAGGATTCTGAAAACATGCTAAAGCTCCACTAATCCCAGTCAGAGCATGTAGCTCCTAACTGTAGTTACCTGTCTTGACAGTGACTGGCGATAACAGCCAGCCTGTTTGTCCTGGTCATCGCCATGTGGGAGTTTCCCATCACCATAACAGCATCCAGACACTTTGACAAAGTGAACTTGAAAAGCAGAAAGATAAGATTAACTTGATTGTCCCAAAGGAAATGGGATTTGGGTACAGACTCTCGCTGCTACATAGTCCAAACTATGTGTCACACTGCATTCACACATAAAAACACGCTATAAAAAATCCATTAAAAGATAATAAATAAATACATAGGGAAGCATGTTACATTACATTCACACAAAAAAATTGCGGGAAAAAAACAACAATAATAATAATTTAAAAATGCATAAAAACAAAGCAGAGAAAACGTGTAAAATTAATAAAATGAATAATTTAGCCAAATCACTCCAGAGTCAAAAGATGTGACTGAGAAGACAGTACCTCTGGTTCTCGCTGACCTTGCTGACCCCACCAGATGGGATTTACATCCACCACGATGACCAGAAGGTTCCATTCATCCTCTGCAGAAAACAGGATACAATATGAAACACATGCAAAGGAAAGCATCCAATTCCACAGCTGTTCAAACACTGACCTGAAGCCATGTAGGTACTTTGTTTGTTTTAAAGCAAAGGAGAAGAAATGTTATTCTTTATCTGCTGATGATTTCCATCTCAGCTCAACTACTCCACATAACATCCGCCGCACTGATAGTCTTAAAAAAATAAAATAAAATCAGGCTATCGTTTTCCAGCTCTGGGTAAACTACACGGCTTCCCCTTCTTCTTCTTCTTATGAGATTTTATGGCGGTTGGCAAACTTGTGAAATGTGCATTACCGCCACCAACTGATATGGAGTAAAGCAAGGAAACAGGAAACGATTCACCCCCCCCAAAAAAAAAAAAAAAAAAAAAAAAAAAAAAAAAAAAAAAAAATACAATAAAATAACCTGTGTAACTTAAACCCACATAATACTAAATTATACTAAATTACATTTGCCCGTATAATTTTAATTTACTCTAGGTCATCGTACCTCTGCCAGTTTCTGATGGTCCCATTGGTCTTTCCATCATGCTTCCAACCATCTCCCAGTTCATATCTTTAACATCCAGATATTTTTCTGCAGCCTTCACTATTATTTTGATTTTTTCTGTTTTTTTTGTCGTCTGAGCAGTACAATTAATCACTTCCACCATGAAAAGAACAAAATTTGTCTTTTTAACAATTAGTGAGTCTTCATCAATTTTTGGAGATTTCTCTAGAGGTTTGAAATTTGCCGTGTGTTGAACTGTAGGTTTGGGTTTTTCTGACTGAGATGGGATCCTTTTTGCAGCTTCAGCATAAGTTATTCCAAGCTCAAATTTCATTTTTTTTATTTCTTCAGACCTTTTGCTTGCTTCACAGCCGCGATAAGCAGCAGTATGTTCTCCACCACAATTACAGCATTTTATTTTAGCTTCTTTTCCACATTTACCATATTCATGTTCTCCTGCACACCTTCCACACCTCTGTTTCCCTTTACAAACTGCTGCAATGTGTCCGAATTTTTGACATTTGAAACATCTCAATGGTGGTGGATTGTAGATTTTGACATTGTAACTGATGTAACCGATGAATACTTTGCTTGGTAATTGCTCTTCCTCGAATTTAATTAGTACAGATAAACTGTCAGATCTTTCTCCGTTTCTTGTTGTTTTTAACCGTTTTACTTCTTTTACTTTTGCACCGCTTATGTTTCCCAGAATCTCTTTTTCAGAAATTTTCAGAGGAACTCCTCCAATGACTCCCCTGCTGATCTTTTTGTTCTCCATTAGGCTGCACTGAACTCTTATCCCGTCAATTTTGTTAATACGTATTGCTTTGCACGGCTTCCCCTTTTCTTTCAACATCCCGAACTACGACCTGCTGCGTCTTCTTCTACTTCCTGTTAGTCTACAGGGCCTGAAGCGGCCTGCTGCCCCCTAGCGCCAGGTTTGATATTGCACGACAACGCGAGACGTTCAAAAAGGATTAGGACCACTGAAAAAATTAAAAAAGTTAACTGATTTTTAAATTTTATTTCTGTATAATATAAGGGGGAAAAAAATCAGGATTCTGAGAAAAAGGTCAGAATTCTGACTCTTTTCTCACAGTTCTGACTTTAATCTCAGAATTCTGACTTTTTTCCCCTCAGAATTCTGACTTTAATCTCTTATTTTAATCACCTTCTCTTCCATTAATGAAATAGCATAACTGGGGAACCCTTAGGCACGTAAAAAATCACCTAGTTCTGGCCGTCCCAAACAACTCACATCTTTGTCATTAAAGCTGAGTGCTCCCACATCTGTTCCTTCAATAAGATCCAGAATTCTTAGATTAAAGTCAGAATTCAGAGATTAAAATCAGAATTCTGAGGGGAAAAAAGTCAGAATTCAGAGATTAAAGACAGAATTCTGAGATTAAAATCAGAATTCAGAGAAAAAAAATTCAGAATTCAGAGATTAAAGTCAGAATTCAGACTTTTTCCCCAAATTAAAATGAAATACTATTTAAAAATCAGTTAACTTTTTTTTTTTCAGTGGCCCTAATCCTCTTCCTTAAAAACATGCTGGAATATTCAAAGAAAATTGTGAAAGGAAAAAAGTTAGATAAATAGACGAGAAAAAAAGGACATACTTAAAAATAAATGACAAAGTCAAATCGACTTAAATCAAAAGTTAATATTTTATTTCAATAGGCTTAGATGTGTTTGAGAAGAATCGCAATTATAATGGATGGAAAGTATTAACAGATTTCCAGCTGGTAGACCAGATAGTCTTTGTTGGAGGTCTGCCATTTTAATGTTCACAGGACCTTGTTAAGGGAGGTTTGCATGGTCAGCTCTTTGGTCCTTTAGCCACTGTGCATCACTCTTCAGCTTTGGAAAGTTGGCTTGTGTTGTTGTTACCCTGCCACTGGGAGTACCCCTCAGCTGGTTCAGTGGAGAACAGCCAGTTTATTCGCCTGGCTTCCATCTCTTTGGTGTAGCTCTTTAGTTAGGCTGCCAAGGCTTGGAGTCTTTGTTTGCCAATTTCCAGTGGCTGAGGTATGGGCATCTGTTTATATTTCTGCAGCATTCCTTTGCCAAATGATCCCCTCTGGAGTTCTGAAAGAGTTGGCTTACTTCTTTCCATGTTGCCTTGATTTTGGCTTCTAACTTTCTCTGCCATGGTGGATATTTTCCTCTGGAAGTTCTTGATTACCTTGGCCAAGCAACTCAAGAATCACTAATGTTGTACTGTATATCAGCTCATATGTTTCTGTGATGGTCGCAGTAGAGATTGTAGTTAGTGTTGTATTCACATTAGGCTGTAAGGGTTTGTTGCATATTTGCAACAATTGTCATAAAGGGGTTAATAATCAAAGGGTCCAGTTTGTCTGAATATGGAATCTAAAAAAAGAAAAATCCATCCATTAAGGTCTTGGTGGAGCTAGGACTTACCTCCAGCAGTCTATTATTCTATTGGCAAAAGGTGGAGCACACCCTGGACAGGTCACCAGTCTATATCAGGGAATCACAGAGACATACAACCATGCAAAATTTAGGGATACCAATTAACCTAAAAGTCATATTTTTGGACTATAGGAGGAAGCAGGGGAATCCGGAGAAAACCCATGCATGCACAGGGAGAACATGCAAACTGCATGGTCCGGGAATCAAACCAAGGACCTTCTTGCTGCAAGGCAACATTGCTACAAACTGTGAGAAAAGAAAATATCTTTTCTATTACAAATGTGTACATTCAGTCAGTAAATATAGCAGCTAAAAGACGGCAAGTAAAATGTTAAATTTATGGTGATGAGAGGCAAATGAAAGGTTAACCATGCCACGTCAGTATAAACAATTGTAAACAACAACAAAAAAAGTGCAATTGTGCAGTACTAGTCCTGTAGAGAATGGAAGAACAAAACATTCTTATATTCACCATACCAGACATGGAAAACAAGAAACCAAATTTCAACTGACTAGTCGAAGGAATGGTCAAATTCTCCAGAAAGACCATGGTTTTAAAAAAAGAAGTGTATTCAAACAGTAAAGCAGTTATATTAAATGTTAAAAGTAACTTAAAGACAAAAGGACAACCCACTTTTAAGGACACCAGGGGTGAATTACAGTTAACTTTAAAGTGATGCACATTGGCTTGATCTGTAATGATCTATAATAGCTTACTTCCCTAAGAAAGCTTAATTCTTTCCCTGTGAGGTATTGCTTTGTTTGAAAGCTTTAGAGTTTAAAAAGATCAGTACTAGAAAATAAAAATGGAAAACTATTGACATCATATCAAAAAGTACTCACGCATTTCAGTTTAATTATTAAACTACGTTAGAAAGCAGGAGAGGGTTGGACAATAAAAAAAATAAAAAGTTTAATAAAATAACAGTTTAATAGTCCCACTACGTCTTGACTTTGGGCTGCATATTGAAGGTACCAGTCCTGTATTTCTCAGTCTGATAGACATCAGACTCTATAGGGTCGCTGGAGTCATTCAGTGTCACATAAACATCCCCGCCGACTTCAGTGACTTTATGAACCCTCTGTTTGATTCCCTTGGAGCGCCAGTGACTCCTAAGTGGTCTGACAGTAGGATCGTCCACAGCTTGGTAAAGTCCTTCGCCCTCTGCTAGGGTAATCTTGTACTTGTGCCATGGGCAAACAATGCAAAGCCGTCCATTGAACTCCTTATTGAGAGGGAGGGGACAAAAGCATTAAAACAAAGTACAAATCAGGTATACCAATAAATCTACCTCCATGATTATGATAGAAATATCCAATAAAAAAATCTCCTGTACACACCAAAACCTTAAATATAAAACATACTTAAACTATTATGCACACTGCCTAAAACGTATTCATTAAAAGTTTATTATTGTTTACCATTAAGATTTGCCCAGTTCTCTGTGGAAAACAGGTCAAGCTCACTCAAGAGTTAATATCAACTTATTTCAAATCTATTTCAAGACTGTTTTTAAACTTTAACTTGGTTATCCTACGGCATAAATATACTTTGATCTTCACCTTGTAGCTTTGCCTGGATAACACTGCTGCTGTTTTTCCACTCCATCTATATTCCCCTCTACTCTCACCAACCTATCTAAACCGGCTGAAGTACAATATCCCCAAAGCTTCACGATGGATGATGATATAAACCTATTCCCCCTTGGTGTGTCAAGAACATGTTTTCTCTGTGAACCCATCATGATATGGAATCTATGGATCTCTGCAGCTCCTTCAGGTTTCATATGCCCCATGGCTGCTGCTGTAATTACCGTCTCCTTTTTTGTGATCTGATCTTCTAAATACCTCCATCTTTAAACTGTGGATTTATTCATTGCTCTTTACGATAATGTTTATTATACATGTTCTCTAACCAGCATGTTTGTATTAATGTATTTATTAATTACTTATATCATATCCAACTTTTATTTTGTTTGCAAAAAAACACAATTGTTCATTTTTGTTGATTCATTAAAACCCTATATACATTTATGATGGTGGGGTAAACATTGAGTATGAATACAATAATTTACAAAAAAAAAAAAAAGCCAACCTCAATGTCTCCGTTCTGTAATGAACCACCTGCATCTGATGGGGAGAGAGGGGGGGCATGCAGTTATAACTTACAGTAGTTCAACTGTGTAAATAAAATCACAGATCTTAATTAAACGGAGCTTACGGTAACAGCGCATGTCCAATGCATAAAGCTGCCCATGGTGGTACATGACAAGCACATCTCTGCATCCGTTCACCTGCTTTGTCACACGGCCAGCCTTAACAATATCTGCCTTCTTTCCGATGAAATGCATTGTGGGAGAGGAGGAAGGGGGGCTGACTTCCTCAGATGACATCCTGATTGTACTGCTGCAAATCAAACACAACTTGTTTAAAGCATTCTTTACTAACTATAACAGACAACACGATTACAGTCATAAAATGTTGCTGCTTGTACCAAAAGCTTATTCCCAATTAGCTATTGGCAGAAAACTTATCATATATTAAAGTAAATATTAATGGGCCAAGATCTGATCTTTGTTGAACTGGAACCCCTAAGATATATTTGCAATAACTCTGAAGTAAAACATTTCTGTAAATTGTCTAGGTTCTACTTACAAGATCAATTTCAAACTATCCAGCTGCTTATTTGAAAAAAAAAACAAACAACAAAAACAAACAAGAGCTTGACAAGAAGTTTTGTTTAGTTTTGGCAAATGTTCTCAGTAACTTAGGATATGGCAAACCCAAAAAGGTTTTAAAAACAAAACAATGGGACTTTAGGGCTTATAGTGGGAATCCAGTTGTTCCCTTTTTAAAAACCACCTTTGTTGTAGGTGGTCTTCACAGTAATGTTTACAGCAAAATTTTAATAATTTATACAGAGAAAATATAAAGTAGTAGGTTTGTATTCTTTCACTGCAAAGCAAAGTCCCACATCTTGAGCTAAAAATGGGAAGCATTTTAGGATTTTTTACAAATATATTTTTCATTCTCTTTGTCCAGTTTCATCAAATAGGGAAAATGTCTCCTCTGTCACCAAACATGTTAATTGTGAGTTGCCATTCCAGTGCTGTGCTCTCATTAGTGGCATGGGTGGAGTCAGAGAAGAACTGGCAACCACCGGATGTAGGCAAGAATGTATGTAACAGCTAACTACAAAAAAAAAAAAAAAAAAAAAAAAAAAAAAAAGAGAGAGAGAAGATTGGCCCAAACGATTCAAATTATTATTATTATTATTTTGAATGCACCGGAAGTACCAGGATATTGTTTGGTAAGCATTAAATTTAAATTTGATGTAAGTTTTTATTCAAACGTATAGGTTGTTAAATTAATAACAAATAACAAGAATTAACAAACAATTAATTTCTAGTTCTTTATACAAGAATAATGGTCATTCGAAGGACCCACAATAAGTGAAAGAAAACTGATATTCGAATAAAAACTTTATAAAATCTTTAGAAATGACTGGAGATTCTTTTTTGACATATAGAATGGTAGCTCGCTTGTATGTTTTACCCGGAATGTACAACACAAAACAAAGAAAAATTGAACCTACATGTTCTAGTTTTGGTCACTCTCTGACTCAGGTGACTCAGCTGACTGAGTTAAAGGGACCAGACCATGGAGTCCCCAGGGTAAATAGTTTATCTCCAAACTGCTTCCTCTACAGGACTGGTTTTGGTGATTTATCTCACTTAAATTACACTTATGAAAACTTCGTTATATCCAACAAGCTTACCGAAACCTTTGGCCGCGAATAAACAAATAAAAACTACGATAGGAAGTCGAGCAAATGTTGCGGAGCGATGTTGAATTAAGTCCCACTAGAAACATAAAACCACATGCTGTTCATTCCGCCTCATCTTTTACATATTATTTGTTATAACATGTTTTAAATACAACTTAATCAAAACAGCTAAAAAAATAATAAATGCAAACATTGTATAATTTCTTAAAGGTTTTTGATAAGAACTCCATAAATAATGATTTTGAAAATGTTTAGGACGAACAGCAATTAAATGTATTATTGAATGTTTTCTTTTTTTTGCGCAGATGTTCATCCTAATCCCTTTTTGCAAATAACATCTAACTATTTTTAAACATTTACAAATTATGCTTAAAATAGCCTATTTGACTGTATTTAGCTTTACCGACATATTATATTATTATTTATAACTATATTTTTTATGATAAATCGGTCTAGTTGTTTTGCTTTTCTTTTTCTTTTTTTCAAAAGAAACAACAAACAACCCAACACAGTAAACCACCTTTATTAATAACTCCCACGTGACTATTTAGTTGACCATTGCTTGAAGTGGTTAAGTGTTTGGGTTTAGTAGTTGCTCTGGTGGGGTTTAAGCTTCTGGCGGATTATCGTTCGTGCTGAACAGACCGGCTGCATATAAACCTCCCTTTATATGAAGGTTCATTTGAATAAAGCTTTGCTCCCAGGAAGAGAGAGAGAGAGAGAGAGAGAGAGAGAGAGAGAGAGAGAGAGAGAGAGAGAGAGAGAGAGAGAGAGAGAGAGAGAGAGAGAGAGAGAGAGAGAGAGAGAGAGAGAGAGTAAGAGCGCTGAACTGTTTCAGTAGTTATGGAGACCGAACTGTGTACGGAAATGCCATTCAGGCTGAAACATTAACGGCAGCGTAACGTTCCCTTCTAAGCGTGAGTATTTTTTTTATTTATTTATATATATAGTCGGTTGTATTTAAGAGATAAAGATTATGCGTTTTGGTTACATGTATTCAAATGAAATATGGCTATGAAAGGCATCTTAATTCTGCATTTCTTATGTTGCATTTTCTGGCACAAATTTCAGATATTTCACAAATTTCATCAGATTTTAATTTAATTATGTCATGTTAATTATAGCTTATTTAATATTTTCTTAGGTTGCATTATATATTAGATCATATAAATATACTTACAGTGATCCATTGGCTCTTATGTGTTCTAATAAAATAATAATAATATAAAAACCTCCCATCCTCTTGGGGAGCAGTGGGCTGCCATCGTGGGGCGCCCGGGAGCAATGGGGGGTTAAAGGTCTTGCTCAGAGACCCAGAGTGGGGTTCAAACTCAGAACTTTAAGATTCCAACTTTTATGCCCTAACCACTAGGCTGACACTCCCCTATATAATATCTAGAACAGATGAGCAGGAAATAAAAATAAATTATTTTATAGCTCTTGGTTTGTGACTCATTTGACAAAACATTTCACGTATCCATTTGTTTTCCTCAAAATTTGAAAAATTCAAACTTGAAACAGAATAATCAACAGAAGGGTCCCCAGTAATCAGAGATCCAAATAAAAAGGCCAGAAGTATCTCCTCTACCCAGACTTCACAATCCAGTATGGCTACATTGTTCGTAAAACGTAATGATAGCGAATCTACTTGATTTATTGTTAACCTTTTTCTGTTTTTCTGTAAAAGTTTAAAAAACAATCCACTGGACTTGGTTTCCAAGGTTTGAAGACGCTTCGCTTCCCGTCCAGGAAGCTTTTTCAATTCAAATGTCTGTCTTTTTCTGTTTATTTTTCAAATAATAATATCAGCATTTCCTCTCAAAACCATTAAAATCAGATTAAGTGCCACCCACTGCACATGTAGTACAGTTTAAGAGCCGGCTGTACTCTGAATAATACCAACTTCCCTTAGCAAGTAGAAGAAGCCTCAAATTTGAAGCATTTGAGAGAATGCGTATAAAGCTCAAATACTCCTTGAAAAAGTGGCCAATCAAAGCCTTGAACCCTCAGGAATCAGAAAAAACACAATTCAGTAGCCGTTTCAAATTACATTGATAAATTCCTTACAACCTTTCAAAGAATCCATCCCTCTTTCGTGGTAATATTCAGCAATTCCCTAATGGATTTTATTGCGTTTTTGAGGCTATATAACAAATTCCCAGTGTCTTGATCCGTTCAGGAGGTAGACTCCTTCAGAGACTATGACAGCTGGGGCTAAGCACCAACCCCCTGCGATCATGTAAGGATTAAACATGTACAAAAAAGGATGGATGGTCTAATAATGTCGTCTGTCTGACTAATTGAAAAGGACTGTGGTTAAAAAGATCTGTAAGTGGGTTTTAGCTCTCCATTTGTTAGCATACTGTAGTTCTAGCTGTAAGCAAGTGTAAAGTACAAGTCTCCAGTTGCTTGGGTTGTGTTTTCTATATTTAAAACATTTGCAACTGTAGAGAAATGTGTTACAGCTGCACCGGTGTCAGCCATGGCTCCATCCTGCACACGTGTCAGGTTTCAGCATCGTGCTGCACCTCTTTGCTTTGCTTTCCAATCAACAAGATATGCTGGTAGTATTGCCACAGTAAGCAAACTTTGGTCATCATTTTTAGCAGACAGGGTACTGTTTTACCCACTGCTGTGGCAGTTTCATTAACACAAGCTGCTCACTTCATATTCTATTTATTTTCTAATAGAGAAAAGCCAAAGTGACATTTTCCACTTGTCTCTTGTAAGGTGGAGTAAAGGATTAAACGAGGAGAAAAGCCAAGGGAGGAAATGACAGTTTGCCTTTACAAATGTCTGACAGCTGCTGGGCTGCAGCGTTATTATGCAAGGTAAGCAGACAGGTCATTCAAATGCACGTTGTTTGTTTGAATTATCTGATGTTATACTGTATACTGTGTATGTTTTTTTTCTGTCATAGGTTCACCTTGATGGGTGTTTACCAAGCAGCCCACCTTTCGGCTCTCAGGATGGAGGACTACCCCCTCCTGGGAGTTTGCTCAATGGAGGACAGAGCTCGCCTTTTCCAGCTCGTTCAACTAGTTAAAAGCCATGATCTAACGAGCCTTACATATGACAATGTTGGGATGTACAATGAGTCCGATTATGAAGGAGGTGATGAGATGTTTCCTCTCAATAATTGTAGTTTAGGTCCAGATGGGTATGGAAACCGTGATGGAGATGGGAGACACAACAACGATAAAAGTAGAGCTTTCCTGTGTAATTCTAATACTTCCTGTTACAGACCATCATGCATTTGCAGAAGGCTGGATTTCTCTACTGAAAACACAAATCAGAGCTTGTGTTCCAACTTTGAAGAAACTATTCATGCCTTTACAGGTCAAAACAGGAGTGATGATCCAGTTCCTGAAAAGGCATCAGCCACACCCATTCAGCTCAGGCTTTGTAGCCGAAGTGCTTTGGTGTGTGACCTTGGACAAAGCAAAAACAGTACGCTAAATGAGCGTAGCTGTTCAGGTGATCATCATAATGGAGAAAGCATTAAGCAGCGCATCACACAAGAAACCTCTGTGTTCAACTCTCACATCAGATCAGTACCAAAGAGTCAGACATGCAACAAACCATTTGCACAGAGAAAGAGAAAAACAAGCTCTTGGAAGAAAAACTGCCCTGTATATGTTACCAAGCCCATACCTGTTTACGAAGCAAAAAGAACAGCTGACTACAACTATGGACTGCCTCTGAGTTCTCATCCAGCTGCTAAGTAAACTGCTCTTCAGTTCTTTTATTTCTAGGTTTCTAGATAATAACATGACAGCAAAATGTTGTTGTTATATGATTTTCTTAGGGTTATTAGAATGAAGGGGTCTTAAAACACTTCACATTTTTTTTTATTTTAATTTGGACAAATTTGTGTTGATCCATTTATTCAAAATCCCTTTAAAAGACGCAGCATTTTGTGGGTTATAAAAACTTTGATAAGTTTGCTATAGTAACAACTAACACTGCGATGTATTTGTTTTGTTGCAGACATGTGGAAGGACGACGGATCAGTGTGTGTGTGAGGAAACGACCTTTGATTAACGCAGAGTGCAGAAGAGGAGAAGCAGATGTTGTGACCACTCCAAGTGCAGAATGTGTGGTTGTGCACGAAAGCAAAGAAGCTGTCGATCTCAGAGAGTATATACTACAGGTAGACATGCAGAGCAGAAAAAAAAAATGATTCCATTATATTGTTATCATGGAAACATGTTGCTGTTCTTCATTTGCTTATAGTCTAATTCTTTGTGTTTCTGCAGCATAGGTTCCATTTTGACCAGGTTTTTGGGGAGGGGAGCTCCAATGAAGAGGTTTATCAGAAAACGGCATACCCTTTGGTTCAGCACATGCTTAGTGGGTATGTGTATACTGCTGAATCACAATGCTTAGTCTATGCCAAAGTTTCAAGTTGCTGAAATGTTCCATCATTGCATTTCTGTGCTTTAAGGTTGGAGTAACATAATAGTGAATAATGCAGTCCCGCCCCGTTTAACTACATTTACATTTTGCTGTGCACTGCCAGTAATCTGGCAGAAAGAATCCTCCTACACATGGAAAATTATTTTATCCCTTTAGAAATACTTCTTGTAAAAAAAATGTAAAAAAAAAATTGTGTGCATTCTTCTCCCTAGGATAGCGATATAAAGAGAATCTTCTCCTGGCCTATGCCTGGTGAACTGTCCATGTTTTCATCTTTTCTCTTAACAGCATGAAGTGTTTTATCTCCGGCTCTGCAAGGTATCACTTTATTGAACTGTCAGTGTGTATTTTTGTTGTATCTATCCACAGAGGCAAGGCCACCTGCTTTGCCTATGGACAGACGGGTGCTGGAAAGACTCACACCATGCTGGGTTCATCCCCTGGAGGAAATGGGTTATATGCTCTGGCAGTTCAGGACATTTTCACTTATCTGTCCTCGACATGCGCATCACTGCTGGTTTATGTCAGCTTTTTTGAAATCTATTGCGGTCATCTGTACGACCTGTTGGGACACAGGAAAAGGTTATTGGTTTTTCTTTATTAATGTTTTATCTGGTTTTGTTTCACTGTAGTCTATGTTCTTCATGTTTTCTCAGTTGTACAGTTTATTTCTTCATAGGGACCAAAATGTATACTTTTCTTTTCTTCACTGAAGGTTATTTGCCAGGGAGGATGGAAAGAAAGTGGTCCACATTTTAGGTCTGCGGGAGGTCAGGGTGGATTCAGTCAGCTCGCTGCTGGAGGTTGGCTCCTTTTTTTAAATGATAATTGTTATTCTCCCAACGTGTTGCCCAGAGTTTATACTGTAAAAAGCAAACCAACTAATTATAGGGTTTAAATAAACTTAAAACTAAAAGCTGAGATCAGGAAGTTATTTTGATTGTCAACGGTACAAAATAATCTCTTCTTGGAAATTATATATGTCGCGGTTGAGGATTTAATGAGCCAACTGAGGTAAAATCCAAAAATCCGAACACCAAAAATACAGCTAACCAAAACGTCAGGGAAAAGTCACGTGGGAAGCCAGAGACGAGGGAACGACAAAACAGCCATTATAGACCCAGCAATGCCCGGCCTGGAGGACTCAAAAACAGACTTTGTCCTTATCATAAGAAATCCTCTGGACATAGTCGCTACTCTCAGCCCGCCATGGAAGAGGGTGAGTGCAGTTGGTCAGTTGAAGAAAATTCTTTTTGCAAACTTCACACTCCTTACCGCCCTAGGAGTAAATGGCCTTTCTGAGGAGCTTGAATGGAACCTACAAGCCACTGCAGTTACCCAACCAACCTCCACCACCCAGACCACAACTTGCCTACCTTTCTGGAACTCCCCCTCTCACCCCAGTCACAGCTGTTTCGGTTTTCCATGGCTCCTACTGCTGTTTCGCTGATGCAGAGAAATGCTATGGCCTGCCAAAAGGGGTCTGATGCCACCACTCCGTCTTCGATGGATCAGTTTGACACCACCACTCTCTCTACCATGGGTCAACCTGCTGCTAGCATTAGTTTACCTCCAAACCAGGTCAGTTTCTACATTAGTCTCAGACGCCACCTTCATGATTCCCCAGCTGTCACCATCTTTAAAGCTTTAAAGTGTTCATTTGGCCGCCATCCTCACGGCCATCCTCCAGAGTTACTCCATGGCCACCGTCCTCACGGCCATCCTCCAGAGTTACTCCATGGTCGCCGTCCTCACGGCCGTCCTCAAGACTCTTTGCCTCGCCTCTGGCCTCATGGCTGGCCTCCAGAGACTTTGCATCGTCTCCAGCCTAATGGCCTCCCTCCATAGACACTGCTTCTTCAGTGCCCACCTTTGGTGGTTGTTTTCATTTTTGGGTTGTTTTGGACTCTGGTTTTTGTTTTCTTGCCCTCCTTCTTTAGCCCTTGTTCGCCCACTCTGGGTGGCTTGTTTTGTGCTTTTGGGACTTCAGGTTTGCTTTTGGACTCCAAGGGCGTCTCGTATCTGCCCTTGAAGTGGAGGGTACCGTTTTAGTTTCTTTGTGTTCTGTGTCTTTGTAGTTGAATTCTACCAATGCTGAGTTCTTTAGTTACCCTATGTTGCCCCCTTGTGCTTTTTTCCTTTCCCCTTGGCTTCTCCCTAGTTGGTCTTACCCACACCTGCTCCCCATCTGCTGATTAGCCCATCTTTGTTCAGTCTCCCAATATATACACCAGCTCTGCAGTAACTCAGTGCTGTTTTTTTTTTTTTTTTTTTTTTTTTTGTGCTTTCTCATCTCTGGCTCTCAACGTGAGTTTTCCCTGATATTTTAGTTTTTGGTTCCTTGTATTTTTGGTGTTTGGATTTTAGCCTCATTAAATTTGTAAGACTCACCTCTGCCTCCTGGTCTCTGCATTTTAGTCCTCATAAACCTCCACTCAACCATGACAATACATGCATGGTTACATCCTCTATTCACCCACTATTTGACACTATAAATACTATAATATACCAAAGGGATTTTAGATTGTATTTGCATTTCAGGTAACAGAACTCCTGTAAAAGTTTTTTCTCTCACACTATTCCTCTTTCTCTGCATTCTGGATTCCTTTAAGATAATTTCCCAAGGATCAGCTGAACGAACTCAAGGGACAAGTGGTGTGAACCCACTTTCGTCTCGATCTCATGCCTTGCTTCAGATTCAGCTCAGGGATTTCAACCAGAAGATAGCTGGACGGTAAGAAACAGTTTTTGTCTTTCAATGTTTTAGTAGAGAGAAATATAGAGAAAAGGTTGTATGAGTGAAAAGCAGGGTAGATGTTGCAGAGTTAACCAGTCAATCACAGAGACACACACTCAGTAAAAGTATTCGCCCCCCTTGAATTTTCCATATAAAATTTTAATTTTTGTGAAGAATCAACAAAAAGTGGGACACAATCATGAAGTGGAATAATATCTAATGCATATTTCAAACTTTTTTTAACAAATACAAATACTGAAGAGTCGGGCGTGCAAAATTAATCGGCCCCTTTACTTTCAGTGCTGCAAACTCTCTCCAGAAGTTTAGGATCTCTGAATGATCCAATATTGACTTATATGACTGATGATGATAAGTAGAATCCACCTGTGTGTAATCAAGTCTCCAAAGAAATGCACCTGCTCTGTGATAGTCTCAGCTCAGAGGTCTGTTTAAAGATCAGATAGCATCATAAAGAACAAGGAACACACTACACTGCAAAAACAATCTAGAAATAAGTGAAGATTTCTTAAATTAAGTGAATTTAACCTTAATTTGAGTAGATAAATAAGAGGTTTTGCCAATGGTATGAGTATTTTTACTCTTAAAATAAGACGATAAGATAAAAATGCACTTGAAACAAGACAATGCAGTTGTTTTTTCTTCTTTTAAATGTAAATTGTCTTGTTCTATTGGCAAAGTGTCTCACTTACTCCCTCAAGCCAATTTAAAATACAGTTATTTTAAGAAAAAATTACTTATTAAGATTTGAATTTTTTGCAGTGTAGGCAGGTCTGAGATGCTTTTGTGGATAGGTTTAGAGACAAAAAGTTTCCACAAGCTTTAAACACCCAAAGGAGCATAACATTGAAATGGAAGGAGTATCAGACCACTGCAAATCCATGAAGATCCGGCCATCTCTTTGAACTCTCAGCTCAAACAAAGAGAAGATTGATCAGAGATGCATCCAAAACTGCAGTTCATCCAGAGAGCTAGCTCTCTGGATGAACTGCAGAGATCTATAGCTGAGGTGGGAGACTATGTCCATAGGACAACAATAAGTCATATGCTGCACAAACCTAACCTTTATGGAAGAAAGTCATTTCTTTAAGATTTCCATAAAAAGTCATGTTTAGATTTTGCCTCAAGCCACCTGGGAGACCCAGCAAACATGTGGAAGAAAGTCGTCTGGTCAGATGAAACCAAAATCAAACTTTTTGGCTGTTGCAGCATCATGGTTTGGGCCTGCTTTCTTCAGCAGGGACAGATGGTTAAAATGATGGATGGAGCCAAATACAGGAGCATTCTGGGAGAAACCCTGTTGGAATCCCAAAAGACCTGAGACTGAGATTTATATTCCAACAAGACAATGATCCAAAACATAAAGCACAATCTGCAATAGAATGGTTCACAAATAAACAGATCCAGGTGTTAGAATGACCAAGTCAAAGTCCAGAACTGGTTCCAGTCGAGAATCTGTGGAACGAACTGAACACTGCTGTTCATAAAGCGCAGAAAGACCCTTGACCACTTTGTTGTTGCAATGCAGGAGTGTTACAAACCACTGTTCCACCGTGCTGCCCCACATGAAAGGGAGAGTTCCTTATTGGGGTTTTATGACATAGACCATCTAAAGTAGTCTCTGCGTGGTCAGAGTTGCATTGAACAACTTGTATGTGCATGTTTTTGTTAGAATATTCACAGGTGGTCTAATTTCAGTCTTTGCAAAGAGGAATGGTTTAGCATGTCAGACTCTTGAAAGCTAATATGGCCTAAATGTGAAATTGGACTTAAATTGAAAAGTACAAATGTTGACAAGTAGGGAAGATTTCAGGTGCACAAATTCTTATTTGTGAATAGTTTTTTGAAGTGTTACCTTCCAACTCTGGACTACTTTAAGCTAGTCTTCCACATTAAATGGTTGTTGTGGAGACCTACAAACAAATAAATATGTCCACTTTTTCGAAATTCTTGGATCTCGACATATCCTATTTTTTGGTCAAAATTAGTTCACATAACTTAGTTTGATGTAATTAAAAGCTTTAGATTTTTTTAAATGTGCAACCTTTTTTTCCTATTTTAAGGTAATTCATTCATATCATTACATCACAGTTAACAAGGGTTGCAACAAATGGTTACAGAGGTGTTTTATTTTTTTCATTTTACTTTTGACTGTCCAAAACACCAAACACTAAATAAAGGACTTCAGGCACCATTTTGGTAGATTTACAGAATATTCTTTACTTTAACACCATGACACACTCTGATAATCAGTCCTGCACTTTAATGAATATATGATAATGAAATGTAAACATATGGTGCTTTTAGTGAACTAATGACTCAGATTATTCACTCAATAACCTATTTACATGTTTCAGTTTTAATTTTACAGACTTACTGATGATTTCATATGACCTTTTAAAGCCTGGAGAATTTAAGCTGCACATATTGCTGGCAAAGTGGTTGAAACTTTTCATTCAGTGTTTTGTCCATTTGTGTGCAGAATGTTTTTCGTGGACCTTGCAGGAAGTGAGAGGGCATCAGATGCCTGCGAACCAAACAAACTGAGCCGTATGGAGGGAGCTGAGATCAACCAAAGCCTCCTCGCTGTAAGACATATTCCATTAACTCAAATATATTTCATGATACGAAGTCATAGGAGAAAAATGTTAAAAACTGAATAAAGGTCATGATTCTGTGGCTTCTAAAATCACTTTGGGTAAGTTTAAGTTAGTGTTTTCTGAGTGGATTTATCAACTTAAAATTGTTGCCTGGAAACATTGGCTCTACAGTAGCAATCAGCCTTACATTAGCTGGCTCTTTCGTTTACAGCTATCTTATGGTCCTGACACAGCATATCAATTGAGTTAAAGTGGGAACTTTAACTAGGCCTTTCTCTCATACACCTTCCCATGGGCGTAGGTTTGCATAGGGACCATAGGGACATGTCCCTACCAAAATTTTGAACCGACCTAATTGTCCCTACCAATAATTGGATGTGAGCAACATGTATATAATTTACAGCAGTAGTTGTTGCAGCAGTGGCTTCTTTTCCTCTCGCAGCTCCTCAGCCTGGTCTCTCCTGTCCCTTTCATGTAGCAGCGCATGGAACTGTGCTGCGCTGTTTAACTCCACTCTCATTGGTTGTTCTGCCTTAAGTTCCGCCTTCTCTCTCTCTGATTGGCTGTTTTCTAGTCCGCGTGTGCTTGGAGCACAACATTGAAAATTTATTCACACTAGAATGCAGCGGTTACTATAATTAAATATAATAAAAATGAATATCATGTACACTAAAAGACAAAAACCTTTTTTTTTTCTTTTATAAAACGAAATATTCTGAGTCAGCCAGGAGTTCTGAAGACTGTTGAAAAAATGGGCAAATAAAGGCTGTAAGCCATCAACATTTCTGATTCTTAGCCACAGCCAACTAAAAAAGAAAATGTGAGGGTTTCCTTTTTACCGATATTAAGTTGATATTACTGTTTTCATTTTTTTGTTTTTATTTTTACAATTTTGATATAATAACTGATCTAAGTGGGTTGCTCTGTGGGGAAAGGCACATTTTACATTTATATTACTGTATGTTTTAAAGTCTCTATACTCCAGTTAATGATGAATCACTTACTAAATTAGTTGACGATTATTGAAATAATCAATTAATATGATTCATTTTTTTCAGCCCCAGATGAAATACATGAAATTGGCAACACAGAGTAACTACAGCCCAGATGTTCAACTTTTATAGTGAAGTTAATATTTTAATGAATGTATTATTTTGCTTGATACAGAGAGAGCATAGTAGGTAAAAATATAAGAGTGGGGTTTAACTCTGCACAATTCTATATCTTCAAAAGAAAATACTGTATTTACCTTCTCTCTTAGTCGTTCAAATGAAACCGTTTTCAAAGTGGAAAACAGTCCTAATTCCACATTCATCAGAGCCGGTGATACTTCAAACATTGATAAACAGCATCTAATGAGTGTAGAGCTTATAACATTTTTATTAATAGAGCAAAATGTTGCTTTTCTCTTTTAACAATGAATTCCTCTTATCAGTACAGATTCTCACATCGAGCATAGAAAAGGGCACGCATATTGCAGCACCAATGACACCAGACCAATAGTGTCCCCACCAAAGTTCAAATCAAACCTACGCCCTTGCACCTTCCACTGTGTTGTTGTTAGATCTATGGATGTTTAAGGCTACAGAGTCGCATTTAACTCTACAACACACTGGCATCCAGAAGAATCTGTGTTTAGCTGAAGATTTCTAAGCTCCTGTGGCTGTAAAACGAGCCCAAATCATTGGTACTCTACCACCTTGCTTGGGTGTTAGTATTGGGTGTTTTTGGTCATACCGGTAAGTTATTTTGCTTTTTGACAAACACCACATTGTGGTCTCTTCTACCCAAATAAATTGTTACTGGTTTTTTGGTGGTTCATTCATGATGCTTAAATATCTAACATGTTGATGCTGCTTTTGGTGTTTAGCAGTTTCTGAAGATTGAATAGTCTGACTTTGGAATAAAATAGTCTGGAAGTCCACTCTAGATGAGTTTAAAAGCAGACCCCCCAAAAAAATCATTTTTTGGTATAGATTTATAACTGTTTTATTGTTTACTAACGTTTTGCATCCATAGGGCGCTTCTCTGAGGTCATTGGTAGTCTCTTGCCACTTAAGCATTGTTGTCAGAAAACATCTGTGATCTCCTGATCAGAATCTGTCTGTTCAATTAAGTTAGTTAGTTAGCTAATAATCAGCTCATATAAAAAATTTTATTAGCAAAGCTTGGTTGCTAACTTTCCCTATTCAATCTTATGCAAGCAGGAAGGGTGTTCATAATTTTCGATCACCTGTATATCTGCTACTCACCGCCTCTGCTTCTCCCCTTCAGCTGAAAGAATGCATCCGTTCTCTTGACAAAGAGGAATCTCACACCCCTTTCCGACAAAGCAAGCTCACCCAGGTAGTTAAATCTGTGTAACTTAATAAAAAAAAAAAAACTATACAGATTATTTTATTTTTTATTTTTTTTTCCACTTTTACCCCAAAAAATATGTTTAACTAAATTGTTTAATTCTCGTTTTAGGTACTAAAGGACTCATTTGTCGGTGATTCAATGACATGTATGATTGCCAACATTTCACCAGGTCACTCAGCAACTGAGCACACGCTCAATACTCTGAGATATGCAGATCGGTAAGTGTTAAAAGCAGAAGGGAACAAGTAAATATATGAGAGTTTGACCTACTTGATGAAATGTCTGATGATGATGATGTCATTTAGTCTTCATTTAGTTTTTAGTTTTATTGTTTTTACGGTTTCTACCCAACTTTCCAAACTCTTGCCATTTTACCATAAAGTCCAGTTATTTATTTTTTTTTTTTTTGGTTTGTTTGTTTTATTTCTCCCAAGTTTCCAATTTTTCTAACCTAATAGATGTTCTACTGGTGGCCAGTTTAGGTGGGTGAACATGTTGTTATGGGTCTAGTTTTGCAGAGCAAAGATTTATCTGCATGAAGTCTGAAATTTAGAATCTGTTTTTTTGTTTTTTACACATCATTGATCTTTATGATGCTGTTTGTTCACTATTATTCTTTAAGGAACCTCTGGGGTCTTCACACAGATCAGTATATTTTCCTTCCTCAGATTATACACAGGAAGATTTTATTTACTAACTAGTTAGTTAACCTCTAAAGGTAGCTGGTTATACTGGATTTTATTCATGGGGTTCAGAATGAAGGGAGAAGAACATTTGCATGGTACACTTTTCAGATTTATATTGTAAACCGTTTTGAAGGATATGCATCATAATCCTTCCACTGACATTTCTGCCATGAGTTCTGTTGGTGTACCACAAAAAACTCTATACAAAACACTGACGTTTCTGGTTATAATGTAACAAAATGCTGCAAGGTTTAAGTGGTTTGAATGCTTTCACAAGGCATTATATTTGCTCAATTTCTTACAGTGTGAAGGAGTTGAGAGGACAAAGTGGGCTAATGGGAAGAAGAAGAATCAACAACAACGTATCACAGTTTGACAAGAAGACCCCATCTGGCAGCATCAGGGACAGAAGAAATGCTGGGACCTCTAAAAATGCAAAGTCAGAAAATAAGGTCAAGAATTTTAGAACCAAAATTTCCACAAGAGCACACCCATGGGACGCAGTTTTGTGCTCAACACCAAAAAAAAATCCCTATGCAGAGGAGGCACTCCCGAGAGATGGAAAAGACATTGAATTTCAACATATCAGTCCAGTTAGAGGGTGTTTGGCACAAAATGAAGGACCAGAAGTCAGACAAGATGGGAAGACTGAAATTGACGTTCACAGTAACTGTGTTAGCGGGAAACATACCAGAGCAGAGGGAATGTTTGGACAACAAAACGGGAAAGGCGGGATTTGGGATGCTTTAACTGTTTCTAAAAGAGAATCTGGATTCTACCAAACAGAAAAGGAGGCTATGAAATGGAGGCAGAGAGAGGAACAAGAATGGATTGAAATGAGAACACGGGCGGAACGTTCTAGAGACACATGCAGGATGGACAAATTGTTACATAAAGCTGGTGATAATGATGAGAAAGTCAAGCATTTAAGAGAGTATCATCAGCAGCTGCAGCAGTTCTCACCTTCACCATCCTCTTCATTAGTCCATCCTCTTTCATCATCAACATCGCCACGTTTTTCTACCTCCACTCAGGGACATCCATCTTCCTCCATGCATTCATCTCACTTTTCACTCTTGACCCATAAGTATCCTTGTTTGGAAAAGACTTCAGAGGTACAAACTGAAACATCTGCAAACAGCCAAGAGAATATCCCCAAGGGTGACATATGTGAAAGGCAGAGTAAGATGGTTACTGACGCAGCAGGTAGGGCAACTATAAGGAAGGAGGATGAGAGGCTAGGTGGTAGGAAAGGAAATACAAAAAATACTGAGACACATCTGCTGGGTAGCAATGTTTCAGATGACAGAAGAGATGAGGAACTACAGAGACTTGAAACTAGAGGTAGTGTCTGGCGCCTCAAGCAGAAAGGAATGTCTGACTACAGCAGAAATCCTCTGTTTGACTCACCTCTCCTCCAAGCTATTGCTGAGAGGCCCCTTTCCCCAATTTGTGTAGATACCAGAAAAATGCATGTTTTACCTCAAGTTGACACTCATGGAGATTCTGTAAGCCACATTATGGATCCTCTCTGCGTGTCCCAACTTCATGTAGACCAGCAGGCTTCTCTAGGCCCCTGTATCCAAAGGGATAAGAGCAGCACCTGCATCTTTTCAACTAAAAATGAGAGTGAGATATACAATAGTCAGGAAACTAGAAAAGACTGTCCATGCTATGTAGAGAAGGAAGAGAAGATGGTGAATGATTCATATGCAAAGTTTGATTTGCCTCTTTTGGAGCTGCCGCACTCAAAGAACTTCAAAATGGATACATCTTCTACATTAAACACTTCAACTGGAGCTCTTCACCATCCACAGAGATACATCAGTGGAAAAGGTCAGAGCGATGCTCTTTGTGGTTCACTACAAAAGCACAAAGTGCAGGTGCTTTAAAATGAATTAGAATAGAAATGTTAATTTATGTTAGTAATTTCATTTAAAGGAGAAGTTCGGTTTTTAACACTTTTAGCCCATTTTCTGTAGTGTCCAGGATGAAATCGAATGATCGACACCAAAATTTTGACAATTGGTCCTGTCTCTGCTTTTTGGCTCATTTAGAATCCACCCCTGGCTGCTTTAGAATGGCTTCCATAGAGCATGTCCGATAATGTCCTTAAAACAACCTTAAACGTTCTTTTTTTTTAAATATGCTACTCACCGGGTCGTCAGCGCTGTTCAATGACGTTCCAAAAAAAGTTTCGTAAAGAAAAAACGTTCCTGTAGTGTTTTATTTAGCATTTTGTAAATCCCATTGAGTTTTGTTGGAATAGTCAATATTCCCCTGCCACCGGAAACGGAAATGGGGCCTGTTTACACAGTTGTAGTCTTTTCGCTTCACTCTGTGTACTCCGACGTCGAGAATCAAGAATCCACCTTTCGTATTCAATTTTCAGAGTTTTTTAAAGTGTTTAACAGAGACGTTAGCACCTCGACGGTTGAGTACACAGAGTGAAGCGAAAAGACTACAACTGTGTAAACAGGCCCCATTTCCGTTTCCGGTGGCAGGGGAATATTGACTATTCCAACAGAACTCAATGGGATTTACAAAATGCTAAATAAAACACTACAGGAACGTTTTTTCTTCACGAACCTTTTTTTGGAACGTCATTGAACAGCGCTGACGACCCGGTGAGTAGCATATTTAAAAAAAAGAACGTTTAAGGTTGTTTTAAGGACATTATCGGACATGCTCTATGGAAGCCATTCTAAAGCAGCCAGGGGTGGATTCTAAATGAGCCAAAAAGCAGAGACAGGACCAATTGTCAAAATTTTGGTGTCGATCATTCGATTTCATCCTGGACACTACAGAAAATGGGCTAAAAGTGTTAAAAACCGAACTTCTCCTTTAGGAAGTCAGACCTACCACAGACGGAGGAATACATTTATTTCTGTAAATATGATTAAATAAGGCTCAGAGCAACATTAAACAGTACCAGTAACAATGGGCTCATTTTGAATCAATTACTGCATCAGTGTGGTGTGATCTGATCGACACTGGTTTTTCTGGAGTTTTGAGGAAAACCAGCTTTACTGATATAGATGCAGTCAGTTTGTCTGTATTTTGGATCTGGTGGTTGGATTTGACTATATAATTGATAAACTCTTAAAGTCTGCATTTTTGACAAATATTTTTATAACTAATAAGTTAAAAATAATCCAATTAATGGTTTCAGCTCTAGCCTGGTGTCTCTCATCCTCTTCATAACTATACACTTAGATAAGAAAGTTTACAAGGTTTACGTCAGGCCAGTTTTTACCCAGTGAAGCAACATAGTGATTAAAGCAGGTATTAGTACGTTGTGCCCAGTGGCCAAATTTGCTTGTGTGTTAGTGTTTTAGTCAATATCACATCACCCGAGACAGAGGAGCACCATGAAAAGGCCAAGAGCTTTAGAGGCCTTGACTACACCACTACTAAGTGCTTTCAAATATGAAATCAGCATCTGGATAAAGCTCTGACTTTGAACTTGATAAAATACAGTCAACCATCAACATTAGTTAAGATGGATCCCACATCACCACTAACTAGACTTAGACTTCTTTATTTGTCATTTTGTATGCACAGGGTGCATACAGAACGAAATTGCGTTACATACAGCTTATGAACGTTGCATTGATATTTCAAATGGCACAAGTTATAGAAAAATACAAAAAGTGCAGCAGTGGTCAAAGTGTGAACAGTGCAGAGGATAAGAGACAGTGTGCAAGTTGCAGTGGATTCAGTGCAAATAGGCATTTGTGCAAAAAATGCGTTATTGAAAATAGAATGAGATGAACAATTAAAGGGCTAAAAGTTAAAAGTTCAGCAGCATTTGACGCCCGATAATGTGCAATAGGTGCAGAGTTCGGTTTGTGGATCAAAGGTTCAACAGTCTGATGGCAGTGGGGAAGAAGCTGTTGCACAACCTGGTGGATCTGCAGCGGATGCTGCGGAACCTCTTTCCAGAGGGCAGCAGGGAGAACAGTCCATGGTGGGGGTGTGAGGGGTCTTTGATGATATTACGGGCTCGGGACACACAGCGCTGTGATGAAATGTCCTTAATGGAGGAAAGAGGAGCCCCAATGATTCCTTCTGCTGTCCTCACCACCCTCCTCACATTCTTCCAGTCAGAGGCTCTGCAGCCTCCACACCACAGAGAGAGACAGCTGGTCAGAATGCTCTCTATGGTGCTTCTGTAGAAGGTTGTGAGGATGGGCGGGGGCAGGCGGGCTCTCCTCATCCTCCGCAGAAAGTACAAGCGCTTCTGTGCCCTCTTCACTAGAGATGAAGTGTTTACAGTCCAGGTGAGGTTGTCCGTGATGTGCACCCCCAGGAACTTTGTGCTGCTGACCACCTCCACAGCTGAGCTGTTGATGAGCAGTGGAGCATGGTGGGGGCGGTTTTTCCTGAAGTCGACGATGATCTCCTTCGTCTTCTCCACGTTCAGGATCAGACTGTTTTCACTGCACCAGCCCACCAGCTGCTCCACCTCCTCTCTGTAGTCCAGGTCGTTGTCGTCCCTGATGAGGCCCACCACCGTTGTGTCGTCCGCAAACTTCACGATGTGATTGGTGGTGAACCTGGGGACGCAGTCATATGTCATCAGGGTGAACAGCAGGGGGCTCAGGACGCAGCCCTGAGGGGAGCCCGTGCTGAGGGTGATGACGTCAGAGGTGTTCTGACCGACCCGGACCGACTGAGGTCTGTTGGTGAGGAAGTCCAGCAGCCAGTTTCGAAGGGGTGTGTTGAAGCCCAGATGTTCCAGCTTTTCCACCAGGTGCTGTGGGATGATGGTGTTAAACGCTGAACTGAAGTCCAGGAACAGCATCCGCACGTGGGTGTTCTTCTCCTCCAGGTGGGCCAGGCTCAGGTGAAGAGCAGAGGAGATGGCGTCCTCAGTGGAGCGGTTTCGCCGGTAGGCGAACTGGAACGGGTCGAGTGTTGGGGGGAGACTGGAGACGATGTGTTCCTTTACCAGCCTTTCAAAGCACTTCATCATGATGGGAGTCAGTGCGACGGGCCGGTAGTCGTTGTAGCAGGTGACTTGAGGTTTCTTTGGCACTGGGATGATGGAGGCAGACTTGAAGCATGCTGGCACTGTGGCTTGCTCCAGCGAGGTGTTAAAAATGTCCGTGAGGACACCAGCTAGCTGACCTGCACACTCCTTGAGCACCCGCCCAGGTATGTTGTCGGGACCTGGGGCCTTCCGCGGGTTGACCCTCCTCAGAGTCTTCCACACGTCGGCTGTGTCAAGGCAGAGCACCTCCTCTTCCTGATGTGGGACAGCCTTCACTGCTGGAGTGCGATTTAGTGCCTCGAACCTCCCAAAGAAGTTATTTAGTCCGTTTAGGAAGTCAGCATCAACTTCATCCACCGGGGCAGGGGGCGTGTTGTAGTCTGTGATCGCCCGTATGCCTTGCCACATGCTCCTGGTGTTGTTGGCGTCGTGGAACAGATGCTGGATTTTCTGGTTATGGTTCCGCTTTGCTAACCTGATGGCACGGTTCAGGGTGGCTCTAGCTGTCCTCAGTGCCTCCTTGTCACCAGACTTGAAGGCTGAGTTCCGTGCTTTTAGCGCGTGGCGGACCTCCTCAGTCATCCAGGGCCGTTGGTTGGCTCGGGTGGTGATGGTCTTTGTTGTGCTGACGTCCTCGATGCAGTGGTTGATGTAGGCTGAAACAGTCATGGCGTACTCATCAACATTGATCTTGTTGTCATATGTTGCTGCTGATTTGAACATGTCCCATTCAGAGCATTCAAAGCAGTCCTGGAGTGCCTCCATGGCCCCCTCCGTCCAGACCCTCACCTGCTTCACTGTAGGTTTTGCTCTGATCAGCAGGGGTCTGTATGCAGGAATTAGCATCACAGAAAGGTGGTCTGAGGAGCCGATGTGGGGGCGGGGGGCTGCTCTGAATGCGTCTTTTATGTTTGTATAAACTAAGTCCAGAGTGTTCTCTCCACGAGTAGTAACTGTGGACTGCAAGCAAGTCTCTGGTTCAGGTTTGGGTTCAAGGTGATGGGACTATTGAGATCCATGCCTTGGATACATCTGCATGTGGTAACACTGAATTTTTTTGTATTTTTTTTTATTTTGTTGCATCTCTACATTTTGCTACCACAATTTTTCCTTCCACTTATCTTCCCAATTAACATGCCTAAATACAGAACTTAGTGAACAGTCAGCTTCTTCTGCATTGATCTTTATTGGGGATACCCTGTTTGTCTTCCAGTCAGCAGACATAGCATTACTTCAACCTAAACATCTCTGAATTGGAAATCCCTTTTTGTTATTTTATAATAGGAGCCTGAATGTTGGGTTTTCATTAACTACAAGCCAGAACCATTAAAAGGAACTGATATAAACATATAAAGTTATTTGCTAAATTTGTAAGGAATCTATTTTATCTGAGAGTAAATTTACATTTTCATAATAATTTAATTAATGAAGTACCTGCATGGATACGTCTCTTTTTTGTGTGTGTTTAGGTAAAAACAACCCTTCTTTCCTTGAAGGCCATGACAGCAGTGAGAAAAAGGAACCAACTGTGGAAAGGAATACAGCTGCATCCATGAGGAAACCCTGGACTACTTCCTTTATACAGAGCATTGAATGTTCTGACTCTCATTTTTCAAACAGCGCATTAGAATATGCTCATGAAACGGTATCAAAATCTTTCTCAAACATATCTGAGCAACAATTGGAGCCTCTCTCTGGGAACTTGAACTTAGCACAGTCAAATTATTGTAATTGCTCAAAATTTGTTGCTGAGACAAACAATTCTGCTAAGCTTAGTGATGGAGAAAAGGGCAACCAGCAAATCACCATGGAGAGAATGCACCATGCAAGGTAAGTATCGGATTATCATATTATATGTCATAAACCACTTTGATTCTTGTGGATAATGACTACTTTAACTCAGCCTGTCCTTTAGGCTGTGTATTATTGAAGCCCACATGGAGCAGCTGAAAGAGATGAAGCATCTATGTCACAAAGAGGGAGAACTTCTGTGCCAGCAGCATGATTTGGTTTGATCAAATCCACTTCAATTTAAAGCTAAATGAAGACTTTCTTTCATTGGTTTATTATTTTAATTATCATTATTTGTCTTTTAATCCAACAGGTCTTTGTGGAATTTGTCAACAAGCTGGTAGAGATCCTGGACAGAAAGGCTCATAGTGTAAACAACATGAGAGCTCAGCTGATGGCATATCTGAAGTCTAACCATGACGCAACACAAGAGGAAGATGAAAATGCTGTTTTTTAAATCAAACTTGTTTTTTAGAAAAATAAATTGAGGAGAATTGTGGGTTATATTGATGTCCCATGAGATAGCTGCAGCCTCATGTCTTATGGGACATCAATATAACAATCAGGAGGAAGCTGGGGTATGTGCAGAAAACATGGAGGTTCAACTAAACATTGTGCAGTTAGAAGTGGCTTTTTTTTTTTTTTTTTTTACAAAACAAAAGTGATTGGACAGAAATCAGACACAGAGAGTTAGGCCACTTACTAATACAGCATGTCTAGGAATAATTAAATTGAAAGCTACAAGCCAGGATTCCCAGTTTAACATCAATGTGTAACCTTGCTAATGGACTTATAGAAGAAAATTCAAAGTTTTCTATTTACACATTTACACACTTAAACCTTCTGGACAGCCTCCCCAAAAGAGTTAAATCTGTTATAACTCTATAAAGTGGGCTGACATTACATTAAACCCTGTGGATAAAGGAAGTTCCTCAAGTCTAAATCAGTCTGAAGGTGGTCAATAGCTTTACTAATTTGTTTTGAAAATGTTTTACACTCTTGTTTTATTTTATCCTGCAGCACTATACATCACATGTCTTGCTGCAACTTATGATTATTTTAATGAACAGTTGATCATTCTGAAACATTTTTTAAAGATACAATGCTGATGTTATCTCTCACATTTTAATCATACTCTGAGTTTGCCCAGAATAGTCCTCCCCAAAAAGTTGTAAACAGTGATGGTTATGTCTGACCAGTTTGCTGGTCAATCAAGTACTGTGATGTGATGGTGATTAAAGCAGCTATTGGCTTTTTCCCACAAGTCTTTTTTGTTACTATCAACCTTCAAAGTGAGTAAAGTTCCTGACAAATAAGTTTACATTGTGGTTTTTAGTACTATAAATAGGTGATTATAAGTTTTTGGTAGAACGTCATTTGTGAGATGAATATCAGATTTGATTTAAAATGGTGACAACTGTGAGTGTCTCTTTAAATAAGACTTTAGTGGATTACATTTGAAAAAAAATTCTTCATTTGATAATTTTTTTATTTATATCAAACATAAAATCAGTTGAATCAATTTCTGACTTTTGTTTTCTTCTGACATTTTGAAAAATATTTGAAAACATAATGACTGTATTAAGGTTTAATGTGATTTTAGTGTGATCTGTTCTACTTAAGTCAAACTGTACATACACACTGTTCAGTTTTCTTATGCAAAATTAGGTCTGACCTTTTAATTTTTACTAAGAGGGCAAAAATATTTTCCTCGCAAACCTTAATTGAAAAATTTGGAGTTTGCTGAGGCATGACTGCCATGTTTAGATCTTAGCATTCCAGAAGACTCCGTTTAGCATGCTGTGGCTTTATTTTAAGGTGAAGTTGCCTAAACAGAAGTAGATAATCCAGATCTAGAAATTTTAAACCCTGGCTAGTTTTCCTTCATCATTGTCACCCAGTAATTGGCCTCTACTCTGTGTTGTTGTGCTGGATGGTTGACCCTAATCTCTGTATAGGCTGTTTACTTTATGGACCTGGATTATCCACCCGTTTAATTTTATTTTTCTTAACAGTCAAGTTGATATCAAATTCTACTGAGATCTCTATAAATATTTTAAAATACTACTAAAGGCATCTTTCCAGAAGGCTCTATCAATCACACTATGTTGTTTCATCTAACTTTCACAGTAAAGAGCTGAAAAAATTTATTGTCCAAGCCCTAAAAATTAAAAGAAAAAGTAAACAGTGTTTTAATTGCGGGAAAATAACGTGATCCATCTGTGTTTAAAAATAGACCTTTTAACTGGAAATGCATGTATGTGTTTCCTGATTTAGTTTAGTCAATTAAGCTATAACACTTGACTTTTTTTCAAAAAATATTTTTAAATTACTGTTATATATCGATGTGTCTAAATTTGCTTTAAAAAAACACAGAAAGAAACCAAATTTTAAGATGACACGTAAATGTAGTGACTTTGTTTTAATTTTTGTTAAATACTGAATCACATTAGTAAACACACTCCAAACGGCCACGCTCACGTTGCTGCGACGTTTATGTCATGTGACCTCCTAAATTAATATTGATTGGTCTTCCCGTTTGTTTGTGGAGCGTCGCTTACTTACGTTAAACAACGGCGCGGTGCGTCACGTGACACTATCTGCTGCTGCCTGCTGGCTGAGCGAAGCGTGTTAGCAGGTAAAATAAAGTCAGATTTGTTTAGTGAATGATGATCAGAAACCACCTCAAATTAAAGAACAAATGTTAGCTGGGGTACTTTTGATCATGTTGTCATAGCCTGCGATTAACGTTCATGTGTATAAATTAGTCTGGAACGGGTTATTTGGTGTTTCGCTAACACGCGAGACGCATTCCTAACTGAGCCATTGTGTTGTATTTGGAAAAAGGCCTTTCACATGCCGGGGAAGGTAGCATATATCTCCTCCATTAGTCGTTTTGGCTTAATGAACTACTTGCATTTCCGCAAATTTGTTGGTTTCACCTTCCTTGGAGTAAGATAAATCAAATATCTAAATATTTTTGGGGGGGAGACACGCAACTGCGTTTACTTTCGTTTGAAGTGTTAGCCTGCTGCTAATGTTAGCTTTTAGCTCGGGTTTACACAAAGGGGTGTCGTTTCACTTGAGATGTTTCGTTGTTTCCTCCCAGCCTGCCTTTTAATCGTATATAACGGCATTTCGATTATATGGCACGTTGAGCAACCGTAAAATACTCTGAAGATATTTGTTAATCTGAACACGACGGTTCATAGGGATGGCGTAGCGGCTATTGGAAGAACAAAGGCAGGAGGTTAGCTAGGCAACAGCCCTTACGGACTCGGCTGAACGTTAGTTTGTAAGTTTCTTTCTTTTTTTTAAATTTTACGTCAAACACCCTATTACGTCAGTTAAATTAAGCTGAGTTATTTCTGCCAGAAAATTGGAAAGTCACTCTGTTAAATCAAATTACGTAGTCTGTATTACGTTTTTTTTTTTCCCTGCTCATCAACTATACATAAACAGCCGTGACGCAGATTTTTTATTATATTATTGTTTTTACCGTTTTTGAGATAGTCTTCTTCCAAATAATTATTCTGGTTTTATTGTTAACTGGCTGGTCATTTGTGACGTAATCGTTGTTGGTTTTGCGCTTTCGATGTCAGTTTTGAGGGTTTATATCGGTTCACTTTTGTAATGCGTTGAATCTATATTCCATTTGTTCATGTGAAATGTCTTGCTGTTAATAGTAAGAGTATGTATTCTCTTTATTATAAACACCGGTTCACACTTACTGTGTTTTTGTGTGGGGAAAAGGTGGGGGTGCTGCAAGATGACACCAGGACAGTCCTCTCTTGGCTGGCTAAATTTAACCAGGGATGTGGGGGGGCAGATAGTGAGGTTATAGTCTTACATGGTATATAACTGTGTGTCAGTCTGCCTATATAGAGTGTACAGCTGTAGTGTGTCGCATTTGCCCAAATGCTTTTTCTTTAAATACATTACTTCAGTTTTACATTTCCCACACTTGTCATTCCAAATAATTTATCTGTACATTGTTGTTTTTTCCAGATATTTTCTATTTTGTACATTTTTTTTGTATATACTGTATATGATGACTTCTGTGGTCAGCAATCCAGCTCGAGGGACTCGGGATAAGACACTGCCCACAACCACCCAAACAACACAGCCACAAAAACAGATACAGGTGAGATAATTACTCTTTTTCATACTATAAAACATGGAGATCCATCAAAAAGAGGTTAGAACAGAATCATCCCAATTAAAGCTTATTTGGCTATGGGTAACAATCTGTTGGAAATTTCAACATCTGATCCGAAATGTGCCCTATTTAATCCGGATGTAGTCTGCTGACAACACTCTTCAGTGTGCATGCTGTAACTTAAGAGATATTTCAAAGTGAGCTCAGGGGGTGAATTTATTCTGTTTACTTAGAGCTTTATCCACTCTATTGCAGAGCCAGTGTGCTGCCATTTTTGCTGATAAAAATGTTTCAGATGCATTAAAAAAAGTTCACATGACATGTTTTGGAAGAAACCTAAGGATTGTGGAATAAATACCTAAACCTAAATGAATACCTTCTGTTCACTCCCTGAAAGCAAATTAATTTGGTGGATCAGAAACCCAGACCTGGGGTAAGTGGATTTGATATGACTACGTTAAATCAATTAAGTTGAATGTTAAATCTTCCAGTGTATACTTCCTACATTGATGGCAAAAAAGGCAGCATCCTGCTCTGCAGTGTGGTACTCTTGCTTCATTCACAAGAAGTGACAGAAACCTTTAAAGAATATTGTAATATGGCAGAAGTAGAACGCAGTTCCTTTGATTTATCATTTAATCTTCCAGCTTCTGCTTGTATACTTAATGAATTAAACTTGAGGTCTGCCTTACTCTATGAAACACGGGTTACTGCATATAGGTTTAAGGGTTTCCATCCTAATAGCTTATCAGTTTCAGGGATTATTTAAAATGTAAAATTCGTAAACATTGGGTTTCTTCAAAGGTATTAATGCAAGCTTGTTGAAATTTGAGTGCTTCTCCTTTTATCCGATAAGTAAAGATCTTCACAAAGGACAGGCCGTCACAGTTTTCTGATGTAATTGCTGAACTCTTCTTCTTTCTTCGCAGGCTACAGCTGAGCAGATACGTTTAGCTCAGATGATCTATGACAACAATGATGCTGACTTTGAAGACAAGGTCAAACAGGTATGTTCATTAAAATATATCAGATAGAAAGAAAGTAACTTAGCATAGATTCATAATGCTACTTCACGCAAATAACTTTGTTGATTGAACCTAACATCAAATGTTGTTTTGTGCTCCCAGTTGATCGAGGTAACTGGAAAGACCCAAGATGAATGCGTAGTTGCCCTTCATGACTGCAATGAAGATGTAAACAGGGCCATCAATTTTCTGCTTGAGAGCACCTCCGACACAGTAAGAGCCGACGCCGAAACAGATTTATGGATTTTTTTTTATTTAGATTCTTTCAAGTTGTCTAACTCGTCTTAAAAAAAAAAAAAGTTCTGTTTAAACAAAGAATTCAGAAATTTCTGCATTGCTTTAATCACACATTTAATGCACCATTTTGTACCAATATTTGTTTTGTTTGCTGTTCAGACCTCCTGGGAGACTGTGGGAAAGAAGCGTAGTATTGGTAAAGAGGGAGGAAGCTCAGATTTAAAAGAGAGCCGTGAGAAGAAGGGAGATCGTGAGGCCAGCCGTGGACGTGGAGTGTCCAACAGGAGAAGCAGAGGAATCAGCCGTGGTCGTGAAGGTAGGAAAGGATAAAATAGTGCCAGAGTATTGTTGAATGTGTGTATATTCATAAAGTCGCTTTATTTTCCCCATTTTGTTTCTGGTTAAATTATAGGTCGTTCAGAGGAAAATGGGTTTGAAATGACTCCTGTTGAGAGAGGGGCTGACCGTGGGCGCCGGGGTCGGGGCAGAGGTACACTCCTTAGTTGATTGTTTGGCTTACCAATCTTACTAGACCAACAGCACCAATTATAAAATCTTCAGTCAGAAATTAAGGCTGAAGGATTCTAATTATGCCCTTACATTCTTTTTCCTCCCCAGGAGTTGGGGGTCGTGGAAGAGGAAGGGGAGCTGTCGGAAACAGGTTTTCTTCACAAGGAATGGGGTGAGACAATATATTACATACTTAAAGGAGAAGTTCGGTTTTTTACACTTTAAGCCCATTTTCTGTAGTGTCCGGGATGAAATCGAATGATCGACACCAAAAGTTTGACAATTGCTCCTGTCTCTGCTTTTTGGCTCATTTAGAATCACCCCTTGCTGCTT